TACATGTCATTGTTTCCCAATTGCGTGGAATATTCATGATGTCAATCACTAAATTGTCTGCTCCAGATTTGATTATTTACATGAAGCCCTCATTAAGCTGGAATATTGCTTAGTGTGGCGTGCAACAACAAATATTAGGTTATTGCAAAAGGCTTTCCCTGCACTTGAAGTCTACATGAGGATGTTAACGTACGAGTGTAGACAGTTTCCACTGTTGTCCGTCAGGAGACAGTATTAAAAGGACAGGCAGACATTGGAAACACCCCCAGTCGTTACATCACCTTTGAATGTATGGACTGCACCTTTGATCTTTGGTGCAGACATTTATGATGCATGTTATGCACCTTTGTGGCAGCCTTGATTTGATTAGTGCATAGTTATTCATAACAGCATTACACGTATTCCTGTTTCAGCCGCGTCATATATAATATTCACTCCGTTCTAGTCGGCTTATTCCGCCATTTCTACGTTATACCTCGGGTCCCTCGACTCATCTCGATCCAATAAAACCTCGACAAGCACAGGCGGGAATCCATCATAGTCTTCTTGTAAATGTTCAACTGTTTTTCTTTTGCTTTTTTCTTCAAATCAAAGCTATTTTCTAAGCACTGAATGTCAACAATGTGTCAACACATTCAAGATATGTTGAGATCCAAATCCTGTTTAAGACTGTGTTTTAAATCCTAAACGGAAAACACATTTGGTATGTTCTATTTAACATGTTTAGGGTCTAAACATATGAAATGAGCTATCGTCTCACAGCCTAAACACCACCTAAACACAACATCCTCATAATATTCACAACCTGTTTAAAACAAAATGCATATCATTGTGTATTATCCTCATAGTCCAAACATGTTTAGAATTTGAACATAATTTAAAAATACATTTCAATAGGCAGTTAGTCAAATTAAGAAGAGATTTATAATAATATATACTCTGCAAAAAAGGAAACGCAAAAGTGGTAAAATCGTAAATATCTGACAGTGTTGCCGACATCCATACAAAATTAATACCAAAAATGATTTCTGAATGGATTTGGGATTTATATGCGTGGAAAGAATGAGATAATGCAGAAATTTGGTGAAAAGATGGAAAAGTCGCAAAAACACAACCACGTGATATTCACGTGCACCATCGCGGCTATAAAACCGTTGGGTTTTCATTTGCTTCTTACAGCAAGTGAAAAGCAAAAACATGCCACTACAGACGGAAGCCCAACACAACAACGCCATCGTCCGATTGCAAACAGGAGAATCATCTTCAGCTGTTTAGCTTTCACCAAGCACCATTACAAGATTGTGGAACCGTTTTGAGACACACGGGACAACACGGGACCTCCCCAGATCTGGTCGACCACATATCACTACAAGAGCAGAGGGAAAGAACTACCACGATCACCTCTACAACTACGACAATACCAGGATTCCGTAGGATATAAACCCATACAGTGAGGAACCGTTTACGCGCTGAAGGTATTCGCGCTAGACCACCATTTTGAGGTATCATTTTGACGGACCTGCATCGCCGTGCGGATGGTAGCCGTCGTGTTTACAGGCGACGCGGGGAACGTTATGCGAAACACTGCATACAGGAAGTGGACAGTAGACTGTTGTGGAAGTGTGATGATGTGGGTAACCATCTCCTAAACTGGTGGAACAGACTTGGTACAGGATCTGGGGAATTTAACGGCATAATGTTACACGGATGAGATTATTCGGCCACGCGTCCTTCCCATTATGCAACAAGCGAACGCCAATTTCCAACAGGACAACGCACGAACTCTCACGGCAAGACTGACAACAGCCTTTTTCAGGGATCACAACACCCAGGTCCATTCGTCACCACTCGCCCCTTTCCGTAACCTGCAAGAAGACTCGTCCCCCTATCGATGAATGTTATGTGCGAAAATACGACAAACCAATCAGAATGCGCGTATGATTTCAAGTTCATCGTCAAAGAATCCCTCAGAAATAATTTCTGTTTTTACATATGTCTTGCATCTAAAAATATACCCAAGACGCAGTTAAATGTGTTCAATCATACTGTATAATTTCGCATGTCCTGATGTGCTTTAAATTGCATTTGAAATATAAATAATATATAGGGAAGTATATGTGAATCATTGCGCAACGAGTTGACAATTGTTTTAGGTATGCCCGTTTACGCTAAGACGGAACCCGGTTGCAAAAATGGCCACGAGAGGGGCACGAGTCGCTAATCGGCTTGTCCCGGAATAACACGAGTTGGTCACGAATGCACCCAGGTCCTGCCAGGGCCCTCCGGGTCTCAAGACTTAAACCCAATCGAACATTTATGGGATGCAATTGATCAACGACTGCCCAGGAGCACTTCAGCAGCAACCATCGAACCTCCGACAGTTGACACAAGCACTGCAGGAAGAGTGGGTGAACATTCCCAAGGCCACAATTCAGCACCTGATTGCTTCCACTGGACAACGATGCCAGTCAGTTTTGGACTTTAATGGTGGCCATACAAGATATTGAGAACAGATGACCACCTGGGAAATATACTGTTCCATGTGTGCCATATGGAACCTGGGTCGATGACAATGATGTGTGCCAATTTTAAACAATCGATTACCATCTGTTGATTGTTTATATGATATATAAAATACACATCTGAAATCACTTTTGCGTTTCGTTTTTTGAAGAGTATGTATTGAAATTAGATGTGCAAATCAGATTCACAGGCATGTGCATAACACATAAACAACTATAGGACTTACAACAAACTTGATACAATATTAACATAATAATCAAGAATCATTGACGTTTGTGACGTCAACAATCTCCGTAGCGCAGGTGTTATAGCGTGAAGGACTTCACATCAAGAGGTTGCAGGTTCTTATCCCGCCGAGGTTTTAAAAGTGGTGTCTTCATGAATGTCTTGTTGCTGTATGACTAATAGTTTTGTACATACAGAAAATGGAAGCTGACAATAAAACTATACCTGATTATTACGATAGACTACTTACTTTTTTAAGTAACAGTTACTCTTACCAAGGATGAATTTTTGTTGTGTTGTGTGTGTGTGTGTGCGCGCGCGTGCCTGCGTGCGTGGGTGCGTGCGTGCGTGCGTGCGTGCGTGCGTTCATGTGTGTTTTACGGCCCTCTCCCACTTCAGTCCCTAAACTTGATTAGACCCTAAACACGTCAAAATTATGGGTTTGTGTTTAATGGTGAGTAGAAAATTGACACTTGTGATAACAGTCTCTGTCTCACAGGTGATGTAGCGTGAAGGACAACAACCAATCAGGAGGATGCAGGTTTGTATCCCGCCGCGGTTTGAAAATCGATGTGTTCAGAAACGTGTCCTTGCTTTTTGATTAGCACTATTTCTCCCATAAAGGAGTTGACAATGAAATTCTGTCTGATACTACGATAGGGCCTTAATCACATTAGTTACCATGACCAACTCACCCCTGCTGAGACCTGTGAAGATCCGGGAAAGGCGACTATGCTTGTCGTAAGAGGCGACTAATGGGATCGGGTGGTCAGTCACATTATACAACATACAACTTACCAGCTGTATTGTCATTCCGTTTTGTTCATGTTATGTTTTCTCTTTTCGTTAGCACATAATAATTTAAACTTCTTGACGACTCGAGAATAACTGGACATCTACATTTTATATACAACCCTTATTGAAAACAGAGGAGTTCAAAGAAAAGTGTCGTACCTTAGTCTCATTAACATTTAACCCAATCCGGATTCCGGATAGAATAAGTCCATAATTATAGCAGTCTACAGATCTTATTTATCGTAATAGGAGATTGACCCAGGCAGTCAAATACAACACTTGATTAATTACAGGTCGGTCTATATATTTACATGAATCTTTACTGTTGATGACTGGATCGTTAAACAACAAACAAACTGTTCCATTTATGCATCCATTTACGACTTGCGGAAGGACAAATGTATTTTATACTTCAGTAAGAAAGACTGAGTTTTCTGTAGTTGAGAAAAGTGATATTCACATTGCAGTGAACATAACACTTGACAGAGCTATTGTCATACAGGAGTTAGCTCCCTTCGAATTGTGTCCCTTTATCGTTAGTGTCTAGCCCGTACGCCTGCTGACGTTCATTTTACGTTAGATCCAAATAGACAAGGCAAAATAAATACAGGTGGTCATTTATGGAGATAATATCAATTCTTGTCGTTTGTTATTCTCTTGAAAATGTTTCGTTATAAACTGTAGATTGAAGACTGTTCGTTTCGCAAAGCACCGTTTTTGTTACTTGAAAAGCGTAAATTCTTTCGTTTCCAAGAGCGTTCTCGTAGTTTTCAAGAATATTTTTTTAATAATAAAATTGATTTAGTATATAATCATATCTAGATATATATATTAATAAAGAATTTTGTTAATATTTCTTTCAAGATTTTGCAAACACGAAACTACTTTCTAATACAAGGAATGGCACGTGAACCGTCCCTGTGTGTTAGGTAGGGAGAATTTACGTTTCAAGCTTTTACATTTGTAATGAAATAATTTAATTTCCGATAGACAAATGCACTAAAATTATATACTAAATAGGATATTCCACGTTCCTCATAAAATATCACGTTTCCCTCATCGTGACAGGGGAAAAGGAAAGACATGATATTTCACTCGACACATAAAATATCCTCTATTTATTATATACTTCAGTGTGAAAGACTGAGTTTTCTGAAGTTGAGAAAAGTTATATTTTCATGGTTACACCACTCGTGAAAATATCTCCTTTCCCCCCGTCACTCGATGAGAGAAACATGATATTTCACTCGACACATGAAATATCCTCTATGTATGAGGAAGTTCGCGGGTGTACGACACAAACGTTATGACGTTAGTCAAACCATGACGTCAGCGCACCAGACGGAAATAGCCGGACGTTAGATTGGCGACCGCAAAGAACATTCGTCACAACTCGTCTCTTTCCGTAACCTGCGCTATTCGGCTTGTCCCGGAATAACACGAGTTGGTCACGAATGCGCAAAGAACTCTGGGCAGGAAAGTGCGCCATTTGCAGAGAGTATTCATGCTTCCGGTAATGCTTTCGCTAAAATGTGTAGCATCTACTTCTTATGATGGGGTGTTGCGCCTCCGGAAACGAAGTAACTGATTTGAGGGTAAGATTATGCAAATAATATACCTACTGCAATGGTATTTCGTTGCATTCAATAGATCTGGTCTTCTAAACTGGTATGGGTTAGGAGAACTCTGACTGGGTATATTGTCTCGTTTGCACGCCATTTTGTCGATTATTTTGTGTAAAATCAGGTACATGTATGTGCCTTTTCTAGTTCTGCAACTGGTGTCTTGAGAACAGGAAGTGTTTTTTTTATATTTAATATCATATCAATGACAACTAATATAATTTCCTTGGAAGCCGACACCGTTCCAAGGGATGTAACTCTTATTATGAATAGTTTCTTGCAAGAATTACCACCCTTGAAAACCGTAATCCATTAGCCGAAACTAATGAAAGTTTTAAAGCGGCACACATAACCACATTTTACCTCCACATTGACAAGGCAAGCTTGTCTTTTTCAGATACTTCGTGGATTCTTTTATTGGTTTGTGATGCTACCTTCCACTAGGCAAAAGCAAACTACTCAGGGATTTTTTTCGTTTTCACTTGGGTTACTAAATGATTTTGAACGGTGGCCAGGGTGACAACCGAAAGTGCGTGTTAAGCAAATGTCAGTAGCAAAATCTGAATTCCCAAACTGGGATCAAACAGTTTATACCGCTATATCTACAATTAAATAACACTTTTTGTAATCCTAATAAATATCGGCTAAAACAGCTAGAGTACATTGTTCGATTCCGACTATTTCATAAGCATTTGTTTATCAATCACGAATATTCAGAACTTATATATAATAGAATTATAACTAATATTGTTGCTTGGTAATATTATTGCATTGACGGCAATGTAAATATTCAATGTTGAAATACTTTCGAGTGTAGGAAAATACGAACCTTTAAGAAAAGCCCAATTTGTAAAAAATTAAGGACGTTTACCAATTTTATTCATTGCTCTATCACACACGAGATTACGATACACAAATAGTCACAGAAATAGTATTATGAATGTGAACAACAATCAAATTGAGGCTTTTTAACCTATGAGTAGGTTTAGGTGTTATGTGAAAACGTATTTGAATTAAAGTTAAAGAAGCAAGGATATTTGATCTTTGGAAAAAGGATGAAGTTGAGGAACATGCAGTTATCGTGTACAAAAAGGGTTTAACACCAAAATCCTTCCATGAAGATATGAGTACAACGCAAGGGAAGGATGCCCCTTTCTATGCCACCGTAAAGATGTTTAAGCGGGGTAGGTAGGGCCTTGAAGACGACCACCAACTTGGAAAGCCTGTCAGGTCAACAACACCAGAAAATCAAGGATATGGTGACGACCGACGGGGCTCATTTTGTTAGTTCATTGGTAATGTCTCAGGAGAAAGTACATATCACAAACACGTGGGCAATGCATAAAGTATCAGCTTGTCTGGTTCCAAAGCTTCTGACATCTGATCAGAACCACCAGGCACATGTCTGTTGATAATCTAGCCTGGTCCGAAACTAACCAGAAAACTTCTTGCAATGATTTGTGACTAACAAACAACAATGAGTCCAAACAACAATGAAATCAGAACATTACCGGATCAAATTACGACAAAGAGACGTGGGAGGCTGAGTATAGGTGTGCTCTTCAGTGAAGACAGTGCTTCACAGCACAAATAATCCATTGCGGTGGCGACCATCCACGAGTGTGGCTTTGATCAAAGTTATTCTGGGGCGGTCGGGTAACCTTGTGGTTAAAGTGTTCGCTCGTCACGCTGAAGACCCGGGTTCGATTCCCGACATGGGTACAATGTGTAAAGCCCATTTCTGGTGACCCCTGCCGTGATATTGCTGGAATATTGCTAAAAGCCGCGTAAAACCATAATCACTCACTCCAAAGATATCTCCTGATCTGGCTCCATCAGACTTCCATCTGTTCTCAAACATGAAGAAATCTCTAGCCGGAACTCATTTCGACTCGAACGATTATGTCATAGCAACTGTGGATAGCATTTGGACAGCCAGGATAAAGACTTCTACGGGATAAAATCCCTACAACATTTTTGGCAAAAGTGTATGTATACTGAACCAAATTAAAAACTTCACAATCCTTAAATTTTAACATTTTGACCAGTTATCATTGTGGGCCCTTATTGTGTATTTAAACAGTAATGGAAAACACAAGAAAACAAAAGTCTTTACGGCCATTTGTCATGCCACGCCTTTCAAATGTGCAACGTGAACGTGCCATCGGCATGTTGCAGACGGGAACGTCCGTAGCTGAAGGTCGCAAGGACGATGGGTTGTAGTCGACGGACAGTTTATGATTTACAGACGCGTCTACAGTAAACGGGTACCACCGCTGATCGCCCTCGGCCAGGTCGACCACGTGTGACGTCACATGCAGAGGATCGTCAGATTGTCTTACGTCAACTCCGTAACCGATTTTTGACAGGCTACATCAACCAGAAATGAACTGTTTAGGGGTAGACTGAGTGCGCAAACTGTTCGAAACCGTCTGAGAACTGCTCACCTTCAAGCACGACGGCCATACTGCGGGCCGATTCTGACTCGATTACACAGACGTCAACGTCAATTGTGGGCACAGCGACACTTACGATGGACTCAGAGGTATTGGAATCAAGTCGTCTTCGGTGATGAATCCCGATTTAATCATCGATTTGCTGATAGCAGGGCGAGGGTGTGGAGGCGCCGTCATGAACGTTACGCCCAGTGTTGTGTACAGGAAGTTGACAGATTTCGAGGCGGAAGTGTCATGGTGTGCGGTGATTTCTGTGGCAATGAAAGTTCCAGGCTTCTTGTCATCCGTGGCAACCTCAACGCTGCTGCTTACCGCGACCAGGTACTGGCACCAGAACTTCTGCCTTTTATGGCAGCACAGGGACCCGGTTTGATCTTCCAACACGACAATGCCAGATTCCACACAGCAATTTTGACAAGGAATTTCCTTCAGAATGCGGGAGTCAACGTCATGGACTGGCCGTCAAGGTCTCCCGACCTCAATCCCATCGAACACGTCTGGTATGCTCTTGGCAGAAGTCTGTGCACTCTCCAGAACCAACCACAGAATTTGCAAGATCTTGGCACCATTTTGCAGCAACAATGGCGTCGTCTTCCAAATCATGTGTTCACAAGCATCACAAGGTCCATGCGGAGGCGTTGTTTGGCAGTTGTCAACGCACATGGTGGCCATACACGCTACTGAACTTGTGTGCCATCAGATTCTCGTGCTTGGGACTTATGATTTAAACTGTTGATGTTATTACCGAATACCGTAGGTGCTTGGAACAAATTATTGTTACCACCGTTAATTAACTTCCTTCTTTGGACATTAATGATTAAAAATTACCTTCTCTGATACATTTGTCCGTTGTATTTCATATATGGGATTACTTTTAAAAATGTGAAGTTTTTGATTTGACTCAGTATATGTGGAAGGAGATTTTGTTGAGATTTTGCATAATACTCATTGCCACAATGTGCAACAAAATTTGTGGCAGACAATTTCTTCAGAAGCATAACTATTTTTTTCAAGAATTTTCAGGGACAATATATTTTTTTGGATCATCGTATCCAATCCCGTAAGTGAACTATGTGTCGTCATACAAACACAGCTATGTCCTGTATGTCAGCAAGATTTGAAAATAATAAAAGAAATATATTTAATAAAATATAAAAGGTATCTGTTTTTTGCCCAGAATATCAAATGGTCGGTTTACATCCCTGTAGTTTCTGCAGCTTGTTTGTTGCAAAGTAAGATTTGATATTCTGATTCAAGTCCGTATTTACAAACATTGCATTGCAGTTCATTGCATATAAGGTATTGTTAATTTTGCAGCAAAGTCCAACGATCTCGCAAATGGCTGCTGAAGACTACGCTGTTGGAGTAGCAGGAGGAAGAAGCTGCACCGATATACCCTTCCTTCTTCTGTTTTTGGCTTTTATTGGAGGAATGGTACACAACAAATACCTATAAAATTTAGATTTACTTAGGGCAAATACAGCTTCATAATGTTACAAGTTTTCTGTGGGGCCCTGAATAGGCACTCTGTTAGTTGTAACCATTACTGACAAAAGGAAATTCAAAGGAAAGTGTCACAACTTTTTAAAATTCTTTTCTTTAATGTTTATAGTACATAAGAGTACATTCTCATGGTGATTGGGGGTCCCCAGCAACCTCTGCTTGTCGTACATGGTGACATTTGTGTGTTGTTTAAGGCCCACTCTTCTAGCAGTATGACAGCGGCCTGTAAATAATCGACCAGATCACCAAATGATGGATATTGTGGTAAACGATCCACGCCGCCTGGGTACCATGACATTCAATCAACCAGTTCACCTCGCCTGACCACCCGGTCCGTTTGGTCGCATCTAACGTTTAAAGCATTTGTTGTTGGTGACCTATTCTAACCCAGAATTTCAGGACCTTGGATCGGGTAGTAAGACTGGTTGACTATGAATATGTTGGACGTCATCGCACCTGACGACGTTTGACGTTGCTAATATCAGTCAATGGTTTGTTTAGGAAACAGTCATGAAACAGCATGACTCACTTACTCACTATCTCATTTAGGTGTGTAAATACTATTTACGGAATTAGGATACAGCAATTTAATTCTTCCTTCTTTTTAATATCATCAATCTCGGGTACATTTGTTGTGAATTAGACATGAAAAGCTGACTATGTTTAGGTACAGAATTGCACACATTGCTAAATGTGGTTGATGATTAATTACGTCTGTTCATACACTCTCTGGACATGTGGGGATTCTGGGTAAGAATAAAGGTCCGAAGCAGCCTATGCTTCTCATAAGAGGTGACTAAAGGGGTCGGATTGTCAGGCTCGGTAATTTGGTTGATGAATGTCATCGAATCCCATGATACCAATCACTGGATTGTCTGTTCCATACTTGATTATTTACAAACCGCTGGAATATTGCCAAGTGCGTCGTTAAACAACAAAATATACTCTTTGCCTAAACCAAACAGAAGGGAAAATCAATAACATCTTATCATTGGCATTCCTTTACTTTATACGATTATTAGATTTATACAGAGTAAATTTCAAACATTTGACAAGAACGTGTGTCATTCAAACATTCCTTGACATCTTTTGCTAAACAGAAAAAAATGTAATCCTACTTGAAGGTTGTTTCCATGTCATGTTTGATGGGCAGCATCTAATATAATATTATGTATTCTATTACATGTTTGCAACAGAGCCCGTGATCACGTGTTTACGTTAGTACTTATGTAGTTGATGCTAGTCATCAAAAGCAATTTCATTTCGACTTTATTGTTCTATTATATTTAGATACGGTATATGTTTCAAGATGAGAGGTTAGACACAGCAAATGTCCATTACGCTTCACATTTTGGCATGTGGATAGGAGCTGAATGGTCTTGCACACACCATACATCCTTAACAAGACAACTCTGTTGTCTGAAGACATACTCAATGATACTCATTGTGTCAGTGTTATAGGGCCCGGACTCATAAAGCGGTCTTAACGGTAAGACGTTCGTAACTCCAACACTTCAACATCAACTTTACGGATGGTTTGTTTGTTTGTTTGTTAACGCCACTCCCAGCAATATTCCAGATATATTGACGGCAGTCTGTAAATAATCTTGACCAGACAATCCAGTGATTGACATCATGAGCATCGATCCACGCAATTGGGATACGATGACATGCATCAACCAAGTCAGTGAGCCTGACCGCCCAATCCCATAAGTCGCCTCTTACGACAAGCATAGTCGCCCTTTAAGGCAAGCATTGGTTGTTGAAGGCCTATTCTACCCCGGATCTTCACGGGCCTCTACGTATTGGGTCCCAAGTATGTGTGAATGTTAGTGACCCAGTTTGATTGAACTATGCTTGAGCAGTATTTCAGTTATATCACGGCGGCTTGATACGGAGGAAAGCCCGAAGTTGTGCAGGTCTCTGGTGAAACCATGATCACGGATATGGTGCTGATAAACACCATCAGAACACCATTAGAGTTTGTCCCACAATGATAGATTATATGATAGATATGCACAGTGAATTGTGGTGCCTTAGGCAAATGGGCCACCAGTGGGCAGTGTCCCTGTAATGAAGTTAACTCACTGCTTGGAGATGATATGTATCGTGTCAGATATGCCATGCCATGGAACCGACACATTTAAAGTTAAAATAACATAAATACAAATATCTATAAGTTGCTGTTCCTGGAGTTTGGTTCGCAATGAATACGATCAATAGCCGTGCAAAGGTGCAAACTTTATAGAAGCCTGTGTTCTACGTACTGTGTTGTCATCTATTGTATCTACTTAAGCTCATATATCGTTATATGATCATAGGGGCACCAGTGGCCAGGTGTTTATGAGGTGTCACATTTCACTGTGAAGAGTTTCATCCCTCAGCGGTGCCAGGTAAAGCTGTTCGTGGGGACGAATCATAAATTCACCTGATGATGATCTTTGTCCTGCGGCTCGCTATCATTGCTCTGGTTGTTTCCTCAGTGATAATGATCAACGACAGTCGTCACTGTCACGTGGTAGCGGACATGTAGATGTTTTCAAGGATCAAACAACTTCGAACTATTAACTGATAATATTTACTGGCAGCACTAACACATACGTCTCATTTATGACCGAAATCAATTACGATATGTGCTGATTGAATCTATAGCCTGCCTACACGAGTGAGTGAAATATGCTTTGACTCAATGGGCTTTAGTCCATTCGGGTTGTATGCGAGTGTATTTTATTTTATTGTGTGTCCTTTGTTTAGGGGTATGTGAGCTACATCGGGATACAAGAGGGCGACCCCTACCGCCTCATCAACGGCTACGACAGTTGGGGAAACGTGTGCGGGCGGCCTAACAAGAAGATTGCTAACGTGGTTTACTCAGGACTAGACATGACAACGCGACCGTACGTACTGACAGAGAGAGTGAGGTGGTGTTGTTTGCTCCTTGGTCAGCAATATTACAGCTGTATCACGGCCCTCTTAAGATAAGTGATGCTGGAACATGTAAACTTCAAACGATACTCGCTACTGTGTTACCGTGACATTCAATAATCACCCAGATGTAACCATACATTCCTAGTTTTAGGCTTGGAAGATAATGTTGGGTTACAATAAAAAGGATCATGTAAGTTTGTTTAACGTTCAGGCTTTCACGTCGGTTTAGGCGCCGCATTTTTCCAGAGTTCCTTCCATTAGGTAAGCCAGAATTCCGATTCGCCCTCATTATGTTTCTAGGTTTGTCAGCACCATAACCTTTTCTGGGTGGTTTCACCAAAGTGGTAAACGTCTGAAACCTGCATCACTTTTGGCTTTCCTCCCACATTTAGCTGACAGGTCGTGATACAACTGGACTACTGCGACTAAACCAAACTCACTCACTCACTCACTCACTCACTCACTCACTCACTCACTCACTCACTCACTCACTCACTCACTCACTCACTCACTCACTCACTCACTCACTCACTCACTCACTCCAGGGTGTTGTCTACCGTTGGAAGCGATAATAGGAGAATATCAAAAGATTACAAAGTCATGCAAATCTCCTAACGCCAAGTGCCTATCGCAAAATACCTGACTGTTACTATTTCGTTTCTATGGTCTTTGTTTACTACGATAAAATCTTATACAAGTCACGTGGCTAGTACACAGTGGGTTTTGACATTAAGTTTATAATCTGTTTTGCTGAAGGATCTGCTTGACAAGTTCATCTTTCCTCCTCCAAAGTTGAAGGCCAGATGAGCTACAGAGCCCATGTATCTATTTTTCGTGAATAGCAACATAGATTTGTTTTTGAAATTTTAATCAATTTTAACATTTATAATTCTGCTTAACCTTAGCAGGGAGTAATGCATTGACGTTGCGACGTTTTCTTAGGTGTACTACTACCAAATCAAGGATCACCTGATTCGTTCTTATTAGTACAGTTAATCTGTTATGCCATGTTATCTAATTCATTGGCAGATTAACAATGTTTTTTGTAATATATTTAACTTGATAAGATGCGAAGATCGTTTTCTTAACGGATGTGAACGACATGTTTTCATTGCAGGCGTATGGCTTGTCCGCTAGCTGTTGTGCGGGTCTTCTGCTGTGGATGGCTTCATATCCGATATTACAATGGTTTCACATTTTATGACTTTCCAATCAACGTGGCCTTAGAACAAATGTGTCCATAATTTGTTCCGATTTTCTTCATTTCATTCCGATAGATAGGAAGGTCTGTTTAGGCACTGTTCCTTTTCTGTCGGCAAGGTGGATGAGGATGTAATGTGTTATGTACATTAGGTCGATTTTGTGGAAGACAAATCTACTAAAATAGCAGAGGCGGATTCAAGTCAATAGGAAAATAAAACCACAAAACTTATACCGTATTCGACGTAATTCGCTCTCAAAATTAGTAATAGGGGGCTCTTATTAGAATATTATTTTTGTGAAAACAAAACTGAGTTGAAAGATCGGACATTTCGTGGTTTATGCTGACAAGCTGAAATTTTTCCAGAATTTAATTGCCCGTTATTAAGGCTGGATATAACACACGAGTGCGTATTATATGCGAATAAATAAGTCTTGTGTACATTGATTAATCGGAAGGGGTGCTAATTGGGATTGTTCACTAGCCAATACATTAGCAAATATCGCCATGGCGCTCATTAGAGCGGGTCGCTTATTACGTCGATGTTAACAGTTTTGGTCGGCTGGTGTTGTTGTACAGGCTGCAATACTTCCCCTGCCTGCAACTACCATCTCATACACCCTCTGGGTCCCCTCTGGATTTATCTGGAGATATGCCATTGCATAGTACGGTGTTAAACACTTGAAATTATTTTTCAGAAATACCTTTTTCCAAGACGAAGCATACTTCTTCAAGAAGTTCCTACCCTCTTTCCCTGCTGACACGTTCCGTATAAATCTGCCCCCTTCACTGGCCAACTGGAAACTGGGTGACCCCCTAACATCAACGAACCCCATCGTTTGTGTGGTCGAATGTCCAACAACCGAGCTAGTTACTTCCTCCAGTATAGAATATCTGTGTACATACGACAATGGGACTTGTCCATCATTGCCTGTGCTCCCTCAGTAAGTCCATGATAACAATAATCACAAAATAATGCTTACAATCATTTGCTGTCATTAGCTTTCATAACCATTTCATTTGTTGAATGCGCATTTTTTATTTTTGTGTATTCAAAATATATATTATACTTATATGTATGTAGTTGTTGCAGCAAGACCTATCATCCAAGCTGACAATACCTGTTTTCATATAATAAATACCAGCAGATTTCACATTCGAGTGAAATGAAATGAAATATAGGACCAAACGAAGATTTTTACGACCATTTTATTGAATCATGATAATGAGGGGACGAGGGTGGCCAAGTCGGCTATGGCGCCCCAATTCCCTATGCGGAATTGCGTCCCTTGGATTCGCCAGAAACCTCTGATTGTGGGTTCGAATCCCGGTTCGCCCCGATAATGTTTCTAGATTTGTCAGCACCATACCTGTGCTCGTGGGTTTCACCAGAGTGGTAAACGTCTGAGACCTACAAACTGTCGGGCTCCCAAATCAAGCTGACACACCCTGATATGACTGGAATACTGTTCAAAGCCGGGTTAAACACAACTCACTCATTGTTGAGTATTTTATAAGTCAAGGATTTACATGTGACAAGGGAACAAAAGAGATAATCGAATTCATTGACAACTATTGGAAAACGGCGAGTACGAGGGTTGATTGATAAGTTATAAGCCTCATGTAGAAGGAATTGGTAATAGTTTAATTAAAGTTCAAATTTGTCTGCTTGGCGTAAAAGGCGACTATGCTTGTGGTAAGAGGCGACTAACAGGATCGGGTGGTCAGGCTCGCTGACTTGGTTGATACATGCCATCGATTCTAATTGCGTGGATCGATGCTCATGATATTAATCACTGGATTGTCTGATCCAAACTCGATTATTTACAGACCGCCGTCATATAGCTGGAATATTGCTGAATGCGGCCTTAAACAACACACAAACCAACCAACCTTTTCCAAAGGTAACAGAGCCCTGCTTATTTTACTGACATCTTACAGCTCTTTTGACTCCATCTTTTGTGGATATATCTCTGTGACATCATGTTGTCCATAAGAAGATTTCACTGTTATGCAGTTACAGCAGAGTGAGGCTTAGAACTTATCAGCTCTCGTATATAAATATCTATTTGAGATTCATACAATGATCTTTGAAATATCTTGGTTTTAGCAAGACGCTCCTGAACCGATGTGTGCCATCCTCTTTTTCCGTCATGATAGAAGCCGTCACATCAAGTATTAAAACAGCCATATCAGGAGAAGTCCCGCAGGTGGGTGTGTTTGTGGGTGGGGTTACTCGTGCAATGTTTGGGCTTCATCAGTGGGAGCCCAAACTAGTTTCTCAATCATAAGTATGTAAGTATAGCCCAACATCTTAGGATGTCATACCAACACAGCCAGAAATTTCAATTGCTCACCTCTTGTCACTGCTAGACCTTTTCAGCATGTACTCTCTGTGACTACCTGGTCATATTGTGTTCCATCGTTATTTGGCATCATGAAATTATGATTGCATGAATTAGCTCGCATTCCACTTCAAAACCCAAGAGGACTATGATGAACCGGTATTGACCAAGGTATAAGCCAATTTAACTTTGGGTGACCAATGTTAGCACATGCTAACTGATTTAGTCATACTTAGGTAGACTTTAGTTAGGGGCATCCAAGTGCTGTCATAGTTAAAGCTTATTAGTTTAATTTATTGATTCAGGCAAAATAAAAGTATTATAAATTAAACAAATAATTGTTATCCTACAAGGAAATTTAACTTTCGATTGTTGATATCGATACTTCAGCAGCGATAGAAACGAACAGTTTTAGCCCTTATAATGATAACACATTTCAAAACCCTTAAAAAGTGGAAATTTCTACTTATCCTTAGGATACCTTAACTATAGTTTCTCACGCTGTTTAGAATTATTTAAATGCATTAAATAGAAAAGGAACGATGGCAGCTTTTTCAGGTGTTGACCTCTGTTACGACGTAAATTGTAATAAAAAGGTAAATTGTAATACTTGCAGCAAATTGTAATAATTTTGACGTAAATTGTAATAACAACGTAAATTGTAATAAAATTTGACGTAAATTGTAATACGCAAATTGTGATAAAAATTGACGTAAATTGTAATAATCTCAACTTGCGGTAAAAAGTAATAACTTTTTACGTAAAAAGTAATAACCTTATAAGTTTAGTGTCAAAGGCGTTAAATGATTAGAACTTATCCTTGTCAGGGTTGGTACAGGGTTTATCGTACAATTGTCATTAAAGTATGGGTGTGGGGGAGGATTGAGGTCGTTATCGTGAATTGTTGTATAATTATATGTATATATAAACGCATTGGAATTTCATTTCTATGGTTGTCCAGAAGAGGATTAATTACTAGAATGAACTTAGTTTTCTTATTTATTTGAGAAATACTCTGTGTGTTTTGTATTATATTTTCACGAAGAATTCAAATACATCAAATGAGTGACAAATCTCCTGTGCAATGTCAAATGAAAAAAAACCAGTCGTCAGCAAATGCAGCATAGATTTCCCATGCATGGGAAAGGAGAATACTTAATACATAACATTATATACAATGTTTTTATTAATATCAAAAGAGGGGCGTGGATATTTTTTACCTACATTGCATATACTATTAGATATTGTGTATTCTCGATCTCTGTGAACTTCTCACAGACAAAGAAATAATAATAATATATAAATGCAAACCATGTTAACTTATGCAATATTTGTAGCAATATATGATTAACATATGGATAATTAATATAGCATAAAATTCAAAGCATACAAAAATAATATCCGGTATCTTCGGGCATGTCTTGTTGAGTTTCAAAGAGCATCAGAATGTATAATAAAATTTGTTGCAATCAATTATTGCTGAAATATATTTGTTTTGATCAAAATTGAAAGGATGGAAAATCTATAATGAAAAGGGTTTTGTCACTAACGTAAAAATTCTCTTTGACCTTATACGAAGAGTACTCTAAAATCATTAAATCGTTGATTGATTGCGCCAAGCAACCTTGATACCAAATTTGGTACCTCACGTATAATGCGGTACATAATTTTCGAAACAGATAATTACGTTTTTCATAAGTTATCACTAATTTGTGACATATATACGCACAAAAATTACCTCAGAGGATAATCTTCTCTGGGGGTTTAAGAGGATTAAAATAATTCAAGCTAACATCAAGCACTGTAATACAATATTGAAGTTATAGCATACCATCTTAACATTCCAATGAAAAGAATAGTGACTAACTAAGAAACCAAATTATATTTATCTCCGATACTATGCCCTCATCAGTATACACACACACACAAACATACACACATACATACAAACACATACACACATAGGTATGTATATGTGTGTGTTTGTGTATGTGTTTATACATGTATGTATGTATGTATGTGTGTGTGTGTGTGTGCGTGCGTGCATGCATGCATGCATGTATGTATGTATGTATGTATGCCAGTAATACGACCTCTATATGTCATTGGTATCAGATCTATGACTGCACTTCTACATATAGTTCCAAGTGAAAGATGAGTGACACTACTTTGTGAGAGGTCCCACAAAAATGCTGATATGAGCAATTAAAGGTTATGCAAAATGTAACAAATGGACAAAGTAAGATATTTTAAAAGATAAAATAGAAACACAAACCTGTAGATATACGAATTAGGATGTAGCAAATACATTAGATAAACGTATCTTCTACGTAGACAAAAGTATGTCCAACAAAGACATAAGTATATTCTTCGTAGATAATACGTTTTTCATTTTTTATCACTAATTTGAGACGGACAATAATCCCCTGAAAGCATAACCTCCTCTGGGGGTTTAAGAGGATTAAAGTAATTCCAACAAACAACAAGCACTGTAATGAAATTACAACATACTTTGTTAAAAGCATAGACAGCATAGACACACAAACACAAACACACACGCACACGCACACACATACATTCACACATACACACACACACACAGATACAGACACAAACACGTGTTGCACACACTACATACCCATACAAAAACACCCCCACATAAACACTATGTGTATACATGTACGTACGTATGTATGTATGTATGTGTGTGTGTGTGTGTGTGTGTGTGTGTGCGCGCGCGTGTGTGTGTGTGTGTGTGTACGTATGTATGTGTGTGCGCGCATGTAGGTGTGTATGTAATGACAGTTAATGTGAGCTCTATGTCATTGGTATCACACATATGACTGCACTTCTACATACTCTAGATGACAGTATCATGTACGTAGATGAAAGTATGTAAGTGGACGATAGTATCTAGATGGCATACTATCATCTACGTAGAAGATACTATCATATACGTAGATGAAAGTATCTTCTACGTATATGAGAGTATCTTCTACGTAGATGATAGTATTTTCTACGCAGATGGTAGTATCTTCTACGTAGATGATAGCATGCCACAAACATCACATCGCTTCCAATAAAGGCCTTTCACTATGTTGATACCACCCTTTAATGACGATTGTACGATAAAGCCTATACCAACCATCCCTAACTTAACAGTTTTGTACGTTTGTCATCATACACAGTATTTCTCGAATTGTACATGTGAAACACAAGCTCAACTGACAAAGATCATTTCTAGTCAATTGGCGTCTTGGACACTACGGTAGTAAGGTTATTACAATTTACGTAAGAATTTATTACATTTTACCGCAAGTAGAGATTATTACAATTTACGTCAATTTTTATTACAATTTGCGTATTACAATTTACGTCAAATATTATTACAATTTACGTTGTTATTACAATTTACGTCAAAATTATTACAATTTGCTGCAAGTATTACAATTTACCTTTTTATTACAATTTACGTCGTAACAACCTCCCATAGTCGTTTGTTATAGCAATACCTTGCAATTCGCCATGCAGAGTTGCGTCCCTCACTCAGTCTTGCCAGAAACTTGGGTTCCAATCCTAGATTCGCCTTGATAATGTTCCTATAGGTTTGTCGGCACCATACCCGCGGCTTTGGGTTTCACAATGTAGTCAACTTCTAAGATATGGATCTCTTCGAATTCCACACAAAGGTGACATTTGATATATAACTGGAATACTGTTCACAATTGCGTTGAATCCATGCACTGAGTCACTCACTCTCAGAAGAGAATTGTATTTATTAGGTATTTGTTGGAAATATTAATAGTCACAAAAAATGGCTGGGTTAAATCGCTGCTGGGTGTTGTTTAAGTAACGGGCCACTCTAAACAGTGCAAAATGGGATTTATATACTGTGAAAATACACTGAATCCCATCAAAGTATTTTACCCATAAATGCTGAATCCAATTATGTGTATTTTGTGTCGACTGATGTTGAAGGTAACCACATGGTCTGGTAAACTCTTTTGATGGATTCTGCCAATTATGCTGTTTACGATGTTTTCCTGTCTTAAGCTAATGGTTTACATAAATAGCACGGAGTGCCACAAACACAATTTTCAGAAAGAAATTCCTTCGTATTTCCCATTATATCTTAATCAAACAAAATGTACGAGTTTCAGAACGTTTGCATGTCATATGTAATTATGTTTTGTCTGGCTACAGCATATTAGGAGCTGTATACTTTTTCCCACCAGGTTTTTATTAAAATATGTCCCCCCTTAACTCAATGGCCAACATCAACATACATACAGAGTATTGACTGCGAAACCTGAATTTGGAATCTATAATTCTATACATTATACATATGTTTAGATTTAATAGCCTAATATGCTTCTTTTTTTTCGTCTATTGACTTTTCTTTTGGGAATTATTCTGAATCAATGCCATTGACATGCGCACGCCCTTACCCTCTTCTACTTAACCACTTAATAACCCAGGTATAATGCATTTTGCTATTTCAGAGAGTTTTTACAGATATTCAAAATACATGGCGAGAGCAGTTGTATCTGGCAGGAATATCCTTCGGTAAGCACCAGTCTCCAATACAGATCGAGATACTTCATCTAAACTCCATCGTTTGTATTGCCAGACACACATATTACCACACACACATATCGTTATTTCTTCATTGTGCTGTTTTGTTCTGCTATACGTTAAAATCATGTAATGACCTTTCTAGTCAGAATTGACAGAGCTTCATCAAAAAATTATTTTGATCGAAAGATAAACGAATCTATGAGACACAGTTGTTCACCTGATTGATTTTGATATACATGTATGTCACATATTGTATAAGTTTATAAAAGGCCCAAGAAATTATTTTTTTCTTTATCTTTGAACTTTTGTTTTGGTTTTAGATTGAACAAATGCAGTAGATTGAATAGTTCAGCTGCTGTCAAAAGTTATGATGTAATTGTAACAAGGTGAAAACAATGTGATACGTGTGGCCAGCCTTTTACACATTTACTGTGGACAAAATTACCTACCCATACATCGATAGGGACACATGTAACCTCTAGTAGTAGACAGACTCCGTGGTCTAGTGGATAAAGCGTCTACCTGGAGAGAGGAGCGGTATATGGTTCGATCCCCACCTGCGTCATTCCAAAAGGCGTTCCAAGATGGTACTTAAAACTTTGCCATGCCAGGAGCTCGGTATGAAGGGATAAACAAGATTCGGCTCAGATTCAGTATATATATACTTGCAATAATCATCTCACCTTTGCATGAGGCGATTGAATGGGTCTGGTGATCAGGTTTTATGATCTGGTTCATTGTTTGTCATTGTACCCCCAACGCCGTCGAGAAGGTGCTCATGATGCCAATGCCACCATATAGCTTGAATATAGCCGAATGACGCTATCAGTATGAGCTTCAATATAAGACCATTTAATGATTAATTGCTAGTACCGGTATATTCTTTTCCGATCCGATATCTGTGTATTCCAAGTATGACATGAAAATCAAAGGTCAAAGCTGCGAGAATACTATTATTGTGTGCACGCACGTACGCACACACACACACACGCACATACTTACTGCATATAAAATTAAGAACTGACATTGTTACATGAATAAATGGATGAACACCAGGCATAATATTGTTTGAGAGGATATGTCGAAAATGTCAAACGATTACAACGTACCCACCATGAACAAATGCAATAACATAAGCTCACATGGACCTTGAGCTACAAAATCGACAATTGGTTTAAGTTTTCTCCAACATTTGCACAGGTATCGCCCTTATCATCGTCGTACTGCTCAGGTTCCTGGCGGCGATTGTCGTCTGGACAGTAATCATCTTAATGCTGCTTGTGTTTTTCGCAGCAGCCGGATACTGCTGGTGAGTCTCAGTAAATGCATTTGGAGACAGATGTTGTTTGAGAAATGATATGTTCTGCTAGATTTTGACCATCATTAAAAACAGTGTTTTACATATATGTGAGGTAGATGTCTGGTGAACGTGATGAAGTACTCATCGCCAGGTGTTCTTCCTCAATGTTGACACGCACTCCTGGTTTGAAGTTTCTTTGTTTTTGTCAACCACACAGACAACTTTACTTCAGGTTACTTAGTTAAACTTGCCCCTTATTTTCTTTGTTATGTTTAAACATACCTGCCATATTTGCAAACATCATTTATATGGGATTACTTTTCACAGTAACCCGACGGCGTGAGATGTTGCTCATGATATCAATCATTGGTTTGTTTGGTGAAGATTTTATTATTACAGGCCACCGTCATCTGTCTTTTTCATAATTTTTGGCCATGGGAGCCGTGCCAATTTACATTTATCTGAAGGGTGCACAAAGTACGTGATGGACACTACCAGTTGTCGACTTTTATTTTTGTGGACGCCTGAGTTGGTTAGATCGCTGACTTTGTGTGCAGGCGATTAGGTGCCTCACTCTTGCAGTGTTGTTTAGAATCACGGATGGGACTCAAACCCCCAAAAGTACGAGAAACTGTACTTTGCTAAGAAAGTGTTATCCCAAATATAACATTTGTTACACCGTCATATTGCTTGAATATCGTGGTGTTGAATATATTGAAACAACCAATCTGTGAGGTGCTATTATTTAATAGCATGAGTTATTCAAAACTCCAAATGAACACAGCCCTCAGATCACAACCGCAACGACTGACGGGTACTAATATGCTATTTATGTTCCTCTAGGTATTTGTTCTACAATCTGCACACAGATCTCCAAGAAAAGGTGGTCAAAACGACGGCAATGCAGGCGAAGGTCGATACCTGGATGGTGTATGCCTCTGTTGCATCTGTGATTGCGGTGGGTTGGGGGGGATTATTGACATCTAAGCCTGGTCCTACACTCCGTAAATAGTCCAAACAAGAAAGTGCAATCAGAGGCATGATTGCTGTCTGATCAGGTCGTATAATGTTTCAGAAAAACAAGGTTTCCGTTTACTTCCGTTCAGTTCAACTGCACCAAGGTCTGCCATATTGAAAAAGTTTGTTGCCAGGAGTCCGACATTACTAATTACTATGAAGCCAAATTTGATATGGCAGTGAAGCTCATAATCCACTCTCAACACGATGGGTGATGCTGAAAGCTTTGGTTGAGGTAACAGAAAGGGGCGAGTCTTTTTAGCCATTATGACCATGGACCAGGTTGGCAATACCAATACGAGGTTACTGCTTTTAACCTCAGGTCTGTCTGATCCAGACTTGATTATGTTAAAGCCGACCAAGAAAATGTATAATAGAGTTGACGGTGATATAAACTATATACTCACCTTTCATTGATATGAGAGAAGTCCGTTCAAGGGGGTAATAACAACTAAGCCTGCATAAAAATATGTTCCTGGGCAATTTTTTGTGTGCAAAAGTGAGGAGGTAGGTTGGACATTCTATCATGTTTTCACACCAAAAATTCCAAAAAACACAACTGGTCACAAATCGGTTAATACAATGTCTGTGGTAAAGCATGGATAACAGAGTATGTTTTGCATGATGAGGGACATTTGAAAAATGTTTTTGTTGGCAATAATAATAACTGACGTGCTGGATTTAAAGTGACGCGCTGGTGCCTGAGAAACATTGGGTTGTTGTTTCTTCAGCCTTACCTTTATATAGGTTGCCACCTCTATTCGAATACATGATATTTTGTTTTTAGCCGGACCGTGGTTTAGAACAGGCAAATATGATCAGAAACACACGTAGAAATACCACACAATACATTTAATCGAATACTCCTCACAAAGTCTAGGTTTTAAAAAAGAAGACACATGTGGCAATGCCAGGTAAGAAGTTTATGTCCTTAGCAAACTATGTTCGTCGCAAGAGTGAGTGAGTGAGTATGGTTTAACGCCGCACTCAGCAATATTCTAGCACAATCACGGCAGGAAACAACCGAAATGGGCTTCACACATTGTATGAGGATTTGAACTGGGACTTCCACGAGCCAATACTATAACCACTAGGCTTCCCCACCGCCACTTTTAAGAGGCCACTAAATTGACTGGGTAGTCTAACTGGCTGACTTGGTTGATGCCTGTCGTCATATCCAAATTGCGTGGATCGATGATCATGATGTCAGTCACTAGATTGTCTGACCCAGATTCGATTACTAACAGACTGCCGTCATATAGCTGGAATATTGCTGAGTGCGGCGTTAAACAACAAACAAACAAACTGTCCGTAAAGCTTATGTTTGAGTTACGAACGTCTTACCGTTAAAACGCTTTATGAGTCCGGGCCCTTTAACACTGACAATGAGTATCACTGAGTATGTCTTTAGACAACAGAGTTGTCTTGTTAAGGATGTATGGTGTGTACAAGACCATTCAGTTCGTAGACCGCCGTCATGTGAGTGAGTGTGAGTGAGTTTGGTTTTACGCCGCTTTTAGCAATATTCCAGCAATATCACGGCGGGGGACACCAGAAATGGGCTTCACACATTGTACCCATGTCGGGAATCGAACCCGGGTCTTCGGCGTGACGAGCGAACGCTTTAACCACTAGGCTACCCGACCGCCCAACCGCCGTCATGTAGCTGGAATATTGCTGAGTGCGGCGTTAAACAACAAACAAAAGGTTATGAAATATAGGGTAGGTAGGGTAGGTATTTGTATGCATGCCTAGTGGCAATTGGCAAGCTTCCGCGATTAAAACGCATTCACTCATTGTTTGCCAAGCATGGTATCCAAATGGGGACATAGTTTTGGTCAAAATGACAGACAATATATGCATGGGCGGATACAGCTTTTTTTAAATGGGGGAGTGCACAATTAAGATCTATTTATTGTCTTTGGTGGTAATTTATACAGAAATAAAGATTTTTTTCTCTCTCTCTCTCTCTCTGTATCCGCCCATGAAGGTTATTTCAGGTTTCAGTCTCTTCTTTTTCAGATCATTGTATTTCTCCTGGTAATTTTCCTATGGAAGAGAATCAAACTGGTGAGACTATAATTGTAATAAAATGCATAAACATGTTAAATACTAAAAGTTTTTGAAAGATAAAACAAAAGTGTCAAATGCTCAGGGGCATTTTACGGGTGCTTCGTTTGCTTTGACACTCCGTGTATACATGAAGTACATTTGGGATAGCTGGGTGTTTGAGGAAATGAAAGCATGCCAAACCCACTTAAACTGAAATACATATTCATATATTGTATTTTCATGTCAACCAAATACTTCTATTTATTCTCTGGTCATTATAAGTAGGAACAATATTGATCACGAGAATAGTGACTCTGATGAGGTCATTGTTGTGGATGTAGTGATAGGCCTTGTCTCTTTAATGTTAATGTCAGTGTAGGGAGTATTTAACCCTTGTTTCTTCCAGGTAGTGCAGCTGTTTAAAGAAGCAGGATCGGTCTTTGAAAGCATCCCTCTTCTGTTGATACAACCTGTCTCGGTATGTTGCATGTCATGATGTAGTTTGTTGTTTAAGGCTGCACTCATCGATGCTTGAGCTAATTGATGTAAATAATCAATTAGACCAGACAATCCAGTGATTGACATCAGAGGATAGACCCATGCAGCTCGGATATGGTGATTTTCAATCTACCATATCAATCTACCCCATGCATTCAGTCCACAAGCAGCCCTTTGGAAACCTATAGTCCTACAGTGAATGGCCACAGGTGCCTTGTTTTTTAAGAAAAAAGCCAAACTTAAGTGAAGAGGGGAGTGTTTAATAGAAAATAATAGATTCTTCTTGGGAATCCCTACAGGTCTTCCTGATGTATGATCAGTGTATGGACTGGGTCCAGTTATCATAACATAACTCAAACAATACCTTACCATAACTGAAATGAAGACATTAAGTTCATCAGTATCCCACAGCCACCATTGCACCATTGTTAATGGAGTCTTTCATTCAATGAATAGCTGTATATATTTTCTCCTGAAGCATAGCATCTATTCCAGACTTTGATCATTCTTCTGTCTGTGGTTGGAGCACTGGTCTTCATTGGGCTCTACATAGAGACGGCAGGTAAGAGTTGTGTCCCTTAGATGAAAAATATTGTCCTCATCTCTCAGCGGTGAGTTTCACCAAAGTGGCAAATATCTTTGACCTGCACCTTTGCCCACCTAAGGCAGGGGGCATGTGTGGCCCAGTCGTCTAAGGTGCCACAATTTGCTGTTCAGAGTTGCGTCCCTTGGGTATGCCAGAGACCTAATCGTGGGCTCAGATCACTGTTATCACTGATCATGTTGCTAGATTTGTCAGCACCACACCTGTGCTTTTGGGTTTCACAATTTTGAAGTGGTAACCATCAGACCTGCATCACTTGGGGCTTTCCTCCCACATCAAGATGACACACTGTGATAAAACTAGAATACTGCTCATAGCAGCTTTTAACCCAACTCAGTCCCTCACTCCTACATAAGACATTTTAACGCATATTTTTGTTTCTCATGACCTTTTTCAAAAGTGACTAGGTAGGGAGGTAGGGATAGTTTTTTGTTTGTAGGTAACAGATTTAAAAAGAGTAAACCTGTAAAAATGTACCTGTGACCTCACTCACACCCTGTGTCTCCAAGTAAAAAGAGACTGCCGAAAACCTGTTTAGGACACATTTTAGTGAGTGAGTGAGTTGGGTTTAACGCCCCTGTTAACAGTTTTCCAGTTATATCACAGCGTATCAGCTCAATGTGGGAGGAAAGCGCGAAGTGATGCAGGTCTCTGACGTTTATCACTAAGAGCACACTTGCAGACAAACCTAAAAACATAATCGGGGCGAACCAGAATTCAGACTCACAATCATAGGTTTCTGGCGTGACCAAGGGACACAACTCTGTACAGCGAATCGCGGCGCCTTAGATGTCTGGGTTCCCGTGCAGAGGATACATTGGGTATTGTCATTGGGGTACATAAAGTAGAAATCAGACTTCAAAAGTCATTTTTCAACAGGGCTTAGAAATAGAATAGGGGTGTCCAATAGGAACAGTAAACTTATTTAAAGCAGAGACAGTCTATGATAATTATCTGAAAAACTCTATAAAGTGTGGTTTAACCCAGCTTACTCATTATTTCTTTGTTTATGCCTTTGCATTAACATATTTGAACTTTTACTGCTGAAAAATTGCTAATCACAGAGTCTTTTCCCCTAAACCACCTCAGTGTGCCGCCTCCATGGTCTTGTGGTAGAGCGTCTGCCCGGAGAGCGGAAGGTCCGGGGTTCAATCCCCAGCGCGTCATACCAAAAGACGTTAAAAGATGGTACTTGTTGTTACCCTGTCTGGCGCTCGACATTAAGGGGCTAAAAGGACTGGTTGGCTCGGAGTCAGTATACTGTGTCTGAGTGGGGTATTCATGTTAAACTGCGGCATGGTATCTCAGTGAGCTAGCACTATAAATCGGCATCAGTCCGGACTAGTACAAGCAGCCACACACACACACGTGCATGCACGTCGCTATATTAGTGCAATAATCTTGGACGCGACGTTAAACCCAATTTCACCTCACCTCACCTAAACCACCTCAGTCATCTGCAGTGAGTAATGAGATGCCATCGTTCATGTACATAAAGGTGTAGTTCGTTTATGTTCCTAATTACAGCTGTGTTTGATGTAGTTTCTATTCTGTTTGAGCAGGAGAGCCTGTCATAGACGCCCAGACTACTTTTGTGAAGTATGAGCTGAATGATATGATGCAGGTACCTTGGTTGTTTTTCATAATTTATTTATTTGCAGATTTCGGTAAACTGTAAAAAAAAATTGTTGGCACAGAGTTTTCTTTGCTGCAATTAGATTCTACTTGTGTTAATGTAAAATGTGTTGTAAAGTCCTGTAACCTGGCTGCCAAATTCCTGGTCGAATCCCATATTCCATGTTTCTTTGAATCCTTGGTTTGTCTGTACCATACATGTGCTGTTCATTGATGTTAATAACATGGGCACTTTGGGCTTTCTTCCAGCATGATGGTGACACCACTGTTAGACATTGGCATCAGTCCTATAGTTAAGGTATCATAAGGACTAGTAGAGATTTGCCATTTGATCAGACTTTAAAGAAGGTTAACTTTCTCACACACTCACTCACTGAATACATGTCCGTTAAGAGCCCTGCTTATTCTCTCATGAGACCTACAAAAGTGCTGTCTATTACCCAGTGTTGGAGTGTGAATGAGTTGGGTTTAACAGTATTCCAGTTATATCCCGGCGTGTCAGCTTAATGTGGAAGGAAAGCCCGAAGTGATGCATGTCTAAGACGTTTACCCCTTCAGTGGAACCCACGAGCACGGGTATGGTGCTGACAAACCTAGAAATATAATCGGGGCGAACCGGGATCATAGGTTTCTGGCGTGCCCAGGGGACGCAACTCTGCACTGCGAATCGCGGCGCCTTAGACGACTGGGCCACCCGTGCCCCATCCCAGTGTCGGAGGTTCAGCATGAAAGTCAAAGTGTTCCTTCATAACACTGAGGTTAAAAAAGTTAAGAATATTGGGCTCCCTTACCAGAAGGACCCTAGGATTTCTTTTAATTTGAAACTGTTACCATAAAGATAACTTTACTGGATAGTGTAGAACTATTGTACTATACTACTGAAAAATTAAGAACCACCCGAATTGTTTAGTAGCAATTATGTCAAAAAGGTTCTACAGTTATGAATGAACTTGAATGTAACATTTAGTGCAGTGGTTAATAGTATGCTTACTATTGATAAATAGGCATGTTTCAGATTGTTATATGCAATGACATTCTGTTATAAAGTGTAGTGGTTGTTGCTGACATGTGTCAGTTCTTGGTACTACATTGTAGTACCTACAACAGGGATGTGAGCAGATTTTCCAGAATTAAAAAAAGAGGAAAAGTCGAGGGGGGTCTTTAAACATTTGATTGCATTTTAAGCAATTTCGTGCAGTTTGGACAACATTCACACCAAGAAATGTAATAAGTCAATGGTAAAAGTCAATAAGTCAAATAAACAAAGATGGCGGATGCAGTAAAATTTCAAAGTTAAATCAGTACTTTTAAAAAATCGGGCATAGCTTCTGCGCACATGGCTACCCGCCAGGTCTGGGAGCAGTACTGCCATGAACTTCACCCCCCTTCCCCCAGACTCAAGGACAACTGTCACAAGTGTGACCCTTTCCCAATGTTGAAGCATATTGAAAAAAACTTACCTTGTACTTACTTACCTTTTGTTGAAAAAAACCAAAACTCCATTTCAAACATAATAATACAACATATATATTAAATACAACATATATCCCCATGTTATGGGTTTTCGGACGCTGAAGAAACATTCATAGTTTTCTCGCTAATCACATAAACAACTGTAAAACATCTCATTCACTTATAGGATAAAAGACACCTTTATTTAAAAACAAGCCATCATCCTAGTATTTACAATTTCTGTGTGACGCCACACCCACATTATAGTGCAAGTATTCGTGATAGAAAATGTATGATTTCCGAAAACCTATGACGCTGAAAGCTCTGATCGAAAAAAGGACAATCCGTGACCGTTGTTTGGTTTTCGATAATATGTTTCGGAATGTTGTTGTTTTTTATCTTTGATTATATTTTTACGCAGACTACTGTCTGATTGACAACCTTCTTGCAGATATAAAGCTTTTCAGTGCTCCTAACTACATTTCAGTATCTAGGATTGTACCACCTTTGTCACATTGACGTTTTTCTCTGAAAGAAAATGTTTCAGTGAGTGTTTCAATATATATAGATGGTATCCCTGTCGCAGTGGTAAGGCATATGTATTTTTTTATTAAATGTTTCAGTATATAGGATGGTACCACTGTTACAGTGTGATGGCATTAGTATTTTTTATTAAATGTTTCACTGCTTGGTAGCATGTTTCAGTATAAGGGATAGTATCTCTGTTACATTGTGATGGTATATGTATTTTTTATTAAAAATTGCAGTGCTTGGTACCATGTTTCAGTATATAGCATGGTACCACTGTTACAGTGTGATGGCATATGTATTTTTTATTAAAAGTTGCAGTGCTTGGTACCATGTTTCAGTATATAGCATGGTACCACTGTTACAGTGTGATGGCATATGTATTTTTTATCAAATGTTGCAGTGCTAGGTACCATGTTTAGGTAACTAGGATCAGGTACTCTGTTTTTAGAGCGATGGTTTATCTGTTGACAGAACATGTTTCAGTTTGTGGTGACATGTTTCACTATCTACTATGGTATCACTGTTTACAAAGTGATGGCATATCTGCAAATATTACATGTTACAGTGATTGCTATCATGTTTCAGTATCTACGATGGTACCACTTCTTTGGCGTGCTGTGGATGTCTGCCTTTGTTGTAGCTTGTCAAGATCTCATCATAGCAGGGGCAGTGTCTGTGTGGTATTTTTCAAGGTGGGTGGTGTCTACTTTCTAAAAGGATCAATCTGATTTTTGTCATGCATCTTTCATGAAGAAATTTCCATCCTAGGATAATTTCTAACCTTATACATCTATTTTTTGAATACCATATAGTGAAAAATGACACACATATATATGGTTAAATCAGGGAGCCTTGAGGAGTTTAGAAGTCAGGACAAGTTCCTTCATCAAGATGTTGCAAGAAAACAACTCTCTTCATTACTTCTTTACATATTCTGTGACTTCTCAAGGCCGTAGTTAACTTTTTTTTGACAGGGGTGGGGGGTGGGTCGGGGGCAAATATTTGTACAGGTATCACTTGTCCCCAACTTGTATTTTCATGATTCAAATAAAACTGTTTTCTATAAAAAAAAATCCAGGGGGGGCAACTGTCTCCCCCGGCTGGCTACGGCACTGCTTCTGTTAACCCTAAACAAATAACAATACTTTTTGCATAGAATAGGTTAAACTGCAAGACCAAAGGTAACAGTTGGTTATAAAGCAACAAACCACCTTACTACCACTTCACATGACAACATGTTCAAATAGCTGTAAAGCCAAAAATGTAATCTGAAAGTACTTTTCATCAATAGGATTTGAAAAAACAAATCTTTTGATAAAAGAATAGGAAAGTCTGACAGTTTTGTTCATGACATGTGAAGACAATCTCCTTATCAAAGCTCATGTAACACTGGGTAGTACCTAGAACAGTTACGGTTTGTTTCTGCTAGGAAACAAACTCATTGTTTGTCAGCCATGCACACTGCCTGCAGAGTGTTAAATGTTCAAGACCTGTATTGTTTCAGCAGGGATTGACTACCAGTCACCCACAAAGATCCGGGGTAGATTATGTCTTCAGCAACCCATGCTTGCTGTAAAAGGTGCCTATGCTTGTCGTAAGAGGCGACTAACGGGATCAGGTGGTCAGGCCCACTGACTTAGTTGATGCATGTCATCGATCCCAATTGCGTGGATCGATGCTCATATCAAACACTGGATTGTCTGGTCCAGACTCGATTATTCACGGACCGCCGTCATATAACTGGAATATGGCTGAGTGCGGCCGGCGTTAAGCAACAACCCTCCCCCCCCCCCCCCCCCCCCCCCAAAAAAAGACTACCAGTTTGTTAGTCCAAGACTAGTGAAAATCTAAAGGGACTAGTTGTTTTCTTTCAATATCAATTCAATATCCTGTAAATAATCCACTAATCCAAAATGAGCTGCAGACTAGTTGGATCTGACTTCAAGCGTGTCAGCTGAACTACTTTTCAAAGGGGCATTCAGGGGTGAGAATCTTCCTCTGAACTGCGAATTTTAGTGAACACAAATTAGTTAAAATCTCATGGCTTCCCCACACCCCAAAATTATGGACCACACTCTGTTGCAAAGATGTTTCAGCTGAAAAGGAAAATATCCATTCCCATCCCTGGGCATTAGACCTCCCACACCTCACGCGCTCACTCGATCTCGATGCCTCACTCACCTCACCCCCTGCTCCAACATGGAGTTCAAATATTGGTGTCAATGTGTCCAGTAAAAGTACAACTTCACAATGTTTTAAACTGTGATTCTTTATTTCAGTGACAAATCGCAACTTGGATGCCCAATATGTCGATCCATATACAATCTAATAAGGTAAATATGTCAGCTTTTAAATTATTTCCATTCCTTTTAATTTAATAATTTAAAACATTGTGGGGTAACGCGTTTTAAATAAATACAGCCAACTTTACCTCCTTTGAATTGAATTTCCGAAGATATTGCAAACTCATGAATGAGAGAACGTATGGATAATAGATGAGGTTTTATTCCCAAGCTAACAATATAACATTTACATCACAGGGGCCTTCAGACTTGGACCAGGGAACCCAGACTTTGACAATGTCAGAGTAGATCCCATGTCAGGCCAGAGTAGAATATCACATGATTTTACAGGTCATAATTGTAAATTGATCATTTATACAAAAACTATCTGCACCCATTGGGACCATATGGCCTTTGTTTCGGACAACCCATGAACACTGACAAAGAGCCTCTACAAATATAATTTGGCAGCTTTTAATTTTCATCTTTCTTTTAATAATAGTAAATATAATAATATTTGCCCCCCAATCAAGCCACGGGTATATAGCAGGATATAGCCATCAGGATGGATGCCCATTCCAAATTGTTTTGTTGTCCAAATGTAAAGGAAAATACCTACCCACCCACTTACATACCCAGCCACCTTAACTTACCTACTGTGTTACCCAAAACAGGGATATTGTTCAAGATGGCCCCAGTGTATGTTTGTGAACACTATCTGCAGGTATCACCTGGGTACAGTCGCCTTTGGATCCCTCATCTTAGCAATAATAAGGATCGTCAGATTCATCCTGTCCAGGATTCAAAAGAGGTAAGTAGACCAATGATTCATTATTCAAATTCAATACATTTCCAAAGAGTTCAAATGAGACACTGAAGAACTAAATTCTGGTCATCACTGTCTTTATCAAGGTGTATAGTTACGATCACCAAAGCGATTAGATCACATTGTACAACTACACCCTGGTGATTGAGTGTCAAGATCCTTTAATTACGCATTGGTGGATCCCCTGTCAGTCCCTCATGTCGTAAGTTTGGGATACACATATGCAAGGTATCTGTTGAAGTTTTAACCATCTATGTTGTGTTCTAAGGCTTCATAAGAAGAGTGGCAAGCTTGTGGACTTCTTCCTGAAGATGCTACAGTGTTGTCTCTACTGCTTTGAGAATTTCATCAAGTATCTCAACAGAAATGCTTACATTATGACAGGTAGGGTCCTATGTGCTTCAACTTGTCGTGTCATGATGCTCTCACATCAGAAGTTACCCTTTGTAAGATATATACTGTATTCGACGTAATAAACGCCCAGGGCGCTCTCAAAATTAGAAATAGGGGACTCTTATTAGAATATAATTTTGGTGAAAGAGTTGAAAGATCGTCAATTTTGTGGTTTATGCTTACTGTCTGAAATGATACAAAAGAAAAGTCTGTGCATATTATACACAACAGATATATTTTTCCAGGATTTAATTGCCCATCATTAAGGGTGCATATAACACACAAGTGCATATTATACACGAATAAATAAGTCTTGTGTACATTGATCATTTGGAAGGGTGCTAATTGGGATTGTTCACTAGCTAATATATTAGCAAATATCGCCATGGGCGCTTATTACGTCGAATATGGTAACAATGTATCTAGGACTTTGAATTTTAGCATATGATTGGCTGCACTGCTTCATATTTTTGATAGATTGACAAAATGTTAAAGGTCTCCTGATATACAACAAAGTGTGTTGCTAATTGAAGACATTAGGAATCCAATGAAACTCAGCTTGGGTCAAAGACTTGCTGATGTTCAAAAAACACTTCCTGAAAACCACAAAATATGACAGCGATAGAGGGAGGGTCGCCACTACTATGTATTGGTTGGGGCATGAAAAAAAATGACATATTTTTTTTCAAGTAGAAAGTGTAAAAAATGATGTTATATAAAATGGGAGCGGGGTAGGGGGGTGTACATATACTTAAAAAAGATTTCTTATAAAAAGCATTGTGGTTTATCTGTCTTCATAACAATTTTTAGAAGTTTAAGCATTTCCTAGATTATGCAGATCACATGGGCCATATCATACCTTGTACTTTAGAAAAAACTACTTGACCACAGATGGGATTGTTGAGTGAGTGCCAAATATATATCTTGCCTTACTTTCCAGCATCCCATGGGTACAATTTCTTTACTGGCGCCAAGAAGGCCTTCATGATACTGCTAGCCAATATTCTGAGAGTAGCAGCCATCAACTCCATCGGTAACTTCGTTCTCTTCCTGGCCAAGATCGGGTGTGTGGCAGTCACGGTGCTAGTTGGCAACGAATTCTTCAAAGTGAGTGATAGGGCCAGGAAGTAATTGTATTATTTCTTATAATATAAATGAGGTATGTTTATATTCAACATCAACACAGTTCATTTTCAGGTCAAACAGAAATGAAAATACTGGAGCTTGAAGAAGCATTTAGGCCAGATCAATTTATTTTTTTGTTTTCTGGAGGAGTCTACAGTACCCTATAGTGTTGGTTTCAAATGTGTGTTTGTTTTTGTTTGTTTGTTGTTTAACACCGCACTCAACAATATTCCAGCTATATGACGGTGGTCTGTAAAAAATCGATTCTGGACCAGACAATCCGGTGATTGATATGATGAGCATCGATCCACGCAGTTGGGATCTATGACATGCATCAACCAAGTCAGCAAGACTGACCACCCGATCCCCTAAGTCACCTCTTATGATGAGAAAACAGTATGTTCATTTCCGAAATATCCATGGGATGGTACATATTGGTTTGCTTTGGGGTTTTTTCTGCCCTCCTTCCCCCCATTCAGCTATAGGACAGCAATCTGTACATTATTGAGTCTTGACCAAACAAACCAGTAATTGATATAATGATACGATGACACGTCGTCATCCAAGCCTGACAAGCCTCTATCTGTGGAACCTGAGACAGTGAATCACGCAGGTGGCAACAAATGGTTACACACTGCATGATTTACTGGTTCAGGTTCCATTGAACATGTGCTGGGTTCCTATCATCACGATGCAAACATTATGGGGCATTGTGTCTTGTTAGTAATTTGTGTGGCTATGTCTTTTTAAAGAGTGAGTTAGTATGGTTTTATGCCGCTTTATGCAATATTCCAGCAATATCACGGCAGGGGGACACCAGAAATGGGCTTCACACATTGTACTCATGTTGGGATTTGAAACTGGATCTTCGACGTGACGAGCGTACGCTTTAACCACTAGGCTACCCGACCGCCTCTCTATTTAAAGAGTACATATTCCATAGTTTGGGAGCCTTCTGGTGGTTTTCTTTGGCCTATTTAGCTGCCTCTAATGACAAGCATAGGTGCTGAAGACATATTCTAACAGAATTCTCACATCCTGTTTAAAGCATGGCACATTCCTGCCACAATCTAGACAATCATACACATATTAGAGACTCAATCAAATCTGAATCCAACATATATCTCTTGAGTTATCTTAATCCATCAAATAATCCTATCATTATATCTCATTTTAGTTGTGTATTAGACAGACATGTTTTAAATCAACATGAATTTTCCTCCAAAATTAACATTTAAAAAAATATTTTGATTTTGAAAATGTGAGAGTTGTTGCTGCAGATGCGAGATGATATAAACTACGTCTGGGCCCCCTTGACTGCTGCTGGTGCTGTGGCCTTTGCCATCGCTCATTGCTTCATGCTCGTCTATGAGGTAAGGAGAGTGTAGTCTGAACAATGCCTCGACGCATCACCCTAAAAGACATTAGGAGATGGTACTTCTTGTTACCCTGCCTGGCACTAAAAATAATGGGGCGAAAACAAGAACTGGTTGACTCGGAGTCAGTATAATGTGTCTGAGTAGGGTATCCATGTTAAATTAAGGCATGGTATCTGATAGGGCTTGCACTACAAAACCGGCAAAAATCCGGACAAACACATGTGCATGCACATGAGTAAATATTCTTAATCTGGACATTAAACCCCACCACTTCTTATGTTTTGGCTTTATGATCTGACATACCTTAGCCAAAAGCCACAATCGGAATATAGAATAAAAACAGTTTAAAATACCCACTTGCCTGCCAGTCGGAGACTGTCTATTTTGCCCACGGAGGGTTAGTTTTGAAAAGTTGGACACCCAATGGTCGGGATTTACTATTACAAAGTTGACAATCAACCAGTTTATTTTTATTTTCTGAGAACATTAAACAGTACTATTCTTATGTTTACCCATTTGTTACTTTAGTTAGTTAGTCTAGATATTTCTGGTTGTCTGACTCTAATTTGCGGGAATTTTTATACACTGATAAACATAGTTTAAATGATAGATATGATTATGCATTATCAACCATGTCACCAAGCCTGAGTGAGTGAGTATGTTTTACGCCGCTTTTAGCAATATTCCAGCAATATCACGGTGGGGGACACCAGATATGGGCTTCACACACTGTACCCATGTGGGGAATCGAACCCGGGTCTTTGGCGTGACAAGCAAACGCTTTCACCACTAGGCTATCCTCACCACGCCTGAAATCCTGATCTGTTTAGTCAGCTCATAGCAGATGCTGCTGGGGACCTCTTCCAACCCAGAATCCCAATGGGGGCGAGATTAGTAATGATAATTGTTACTGTTTCTCAGATCACCATGGACACAATCTTCCTGTGTTTCTGTGAAGACTGTGAAGAGAATGATGGCGTCACCAAACCCTACTTCATGTCCAAGAATCTCATGGTATGTCCAGATGATTTTTTTAACAAGGGACAGCCAGAATATATGCACAGAAATTAAGGTGGAAAAGGGCACTATTGCGATACAGGTAGAACTTCTGCAATAGTATTGTGACTGTTTAATTAGTACTTTTACCGCCCTACAATATCCTGGTATCATTGCTGTCACCAGTGGGCAAGTGGCCACTACAAAAATCTTGAAAAAATTCCTCTAACTCCAAATATGGTGGCATTTATATTGTATGTTTGTCTTTGGGAATATTCAAGAATGAGAATGGATATTTTCCTTTTTAGCTGAAACTTCTTTGCAATGGAACGTGGTCCATAATTTGGGGGTGTTTATGGGGGAAGCAATCAGATGTTAACAAATTTGATTGCTGATATATGATAGGTGATATATTAACCACATGATACTGGTAGCTGAAAAGTCATTTAATATTTGTGGACTTTTTTTTAATTATCTATTGATAATGTTGATAGGGAAAGACAGAATTGATGTTGCATCTGATCATTTGACAAATTTATTGTGGATCATGCATCTACGATCATTACCCCTCTATTTGTTTAGCAATTGTAATTTGTCCTTTCGACACGACAATCAAAATCCTCTTTTACAGGCAAGTCTGCCAACATTAGGCACCACATGAAGCCTGTAAAAGACAAAATCAGTCCTGTGGGTTATCTTATATTAATAATGAACAGCTCTTTTAAGAAAAAAAAACGAGTAGCCTTTCATTCGCTCAACCATGTCCCATTTTGGCCAGATCCGTATGACCAGAATTTAACCTAGTCTTGCCTTAGCATGAAATACGTCATGAGACTACTTTGTAAAATCAGTAGAAAATTGACCTAACTGTCATGATGCACAAGTGTTATCTTTTTTTCCACAGCTATTTGTTAACAATGTAAACAAGGATGCTGAAAACAGAGAAGCAAAGAAGAACAAAACCAAACGAGACACAGATTAAGAGAACACAAAAGCATCTTTAAAAGACAACACCACATGATTACTTTTACTTAAATGCTTATCATCATTGAGTATGTCATTCAACCATGGAATCCCCATAGGTTCCAATCTCTTTACTGTTGCAGGTAGCACACCTCCAACTCAGCTTATGAGTGTCAGATCAGATTGCCCAACCAGAATGAAAATGAATTGGCCTCATTTTGTTACGGCCTCAATTAGGAAATTTAGATTTATACAAGGGGAAAGCCACACAGACCTCAAATGTTCATTCACTGCTATTCCCTTTTCAGTGCACATGCCACAGCATCAGAAATGATAGGATGTATGAATATCCACATAATCAACATCAATATCAAGCACCACTATATTTGTTGTTTTAGTTCGTTTTGAGATGAAATCAGACGTGCTGGTTTGAATGTTTTGCTCACTTGTACCAGTGATTTAGAACCACAACGCGAATTGACTGATGAAAAAGTTCACCTCACAGAGGTGTCATCCTGAGAGGTATTGTATCAGAGTAAAATATCTGCTTTTAATGAGATTGTATAGGTTAGTTTATAAATGCTTCAAATGGGTAATAGCCTGTTTATAGGATGCATTGGAAAACTAAATTCATCAGGATTCCAGGCTAGAATAGGGCCCCACTACCCCATGATTGTTACGAGAACCTCCTAACATGTGGATCAGGTGGTCACAATGTCGGATCTGGTTGATTATAGATCTTCATATAAGATGTCTTGTTTGAATCAGAGTTGATTATATGCAGACTGTAACGATATTGAAGGAATATGCTGTAATATGTGGACTGCAGTGTAAAATAACTCGCCTTGGAACACTGATATTGTTTCCTGAGCCGACAGTTTAAGGATTTGACTCCTCTCAGCCAAAAGCAAATCAGAAAATCAAATTGAACTAGTTAAACTTTTTCTTATTTACCAACCCCTCCATCACACACGGAAGAGAAAAATAAAAAGATACATGTATAACAATAAAACCATCAAGAATTAACATGTTTAATAACAACAGATCAAATGCATAGTACATGTAGCCTCTGCCATTGTTCACCTTCTTAGAAGTATAAAATGGACAAATATGCCCATCTTAATTTATACTACCATGTTAACTGTATGTTCTGAGATTTGACATTGAAGTATAAAATAAAAGAATATGCCAATCTGAATTCTTACTGCCATTTTAACTCTATGTTTTGAGATTTGACAGTGTACATTGTTGTATGTAATATTAAATGTAATTTCAAATGTTCATAATAAAGTGCATATTTTGTATGTAACCTGTTACAAATGTGTTGTGTAGACCTGTTTGTAAAGGCAGACATGTTTGACTACGATGGAGGATGGGCAGAAGAAGAAAAAACATGTCTGATGACACAAGAATAGCCTTCACAGTCTGCTTCAAAAGTTGACACTACTATCCAAAAACTTGTCACTTGACATAATTTCAGGTGGAGCTTACTGTTGATGTACTAGTGGCTCAAGTCACAGATGGACTTCACAGCTTTAACCACAGGACCATGTAACTAATAAAAACATTAAAAACAACTTGCAAAAAAAATCATAGAGCCTCGTCTGCGAGGTTTTTTTGTTACTACCGCATTCGACGTAAAATCTCAAAATTAGAAATAGGGGGCTCTTATTAAAATATTATTTTGGTGGGAAAAAACAGCTGAAAGATAAATTTCGTGGTTTATGCTGACAGCCTGAAATGTTTATGTACGGCAGATACATTTTTCCAGAATTTAATTGCCCATAATTAATGGTGCATATAACATAGGAGTGCGTATTATACACGAATGAATAAGTCTTGTTTACATTGATCAATCGGAAGGGGTGCTAATTGGGATTGTTCACGTGCCAATATATAAGCAAATATCGCCATGGGTGCTTATTAGAGCGGGGCGCTTATAACGCTGAATAGGGTATTATTAGTTACATTGTCCTGTGCTTGAACCCATTACAGGAATCAAACCCACATCCTCGGGGTGACAAACACTTTAACCACTAAGCTACTTGCTGCCCTTATGAATGTATCATTTACCCTCACAGCTGATAGCAAGCCTGATCTGACCACTTGATAACTTTTCAAGGATGGACAGATCATGGTCCATTTGCACAAAGCGATCTTAGCAATCACAGCGATTGTAACAACAATGCTTTAACATAACTTAATGATTGTCGTTGCGCTAAAAACGCTTTATTCAAGTGGGACCTGGAACTATAGTAAGTGCTCATTTGTATGTAATCAGGGGCAGATACGTTAGACCAGCATACTGAACAATGGAGGAGTGAGTGAGTTGGGCTTAACACCGCTTTTAACAGTATTCCAGTTATATCGCAGTGTGTCAGCTTAATGTGGGAGGAAAGCCCGAAGTGATGCAGGTCTACGATGTTTACCACTTTCGGTGAAACCCACAAGAATGGTGCTGACAAACCTAGAAACATAATTGGGGCGAACCGGGATTCGAACCCACAATCATAGGTTTCTGGCGTGCCCAAGGGATGCAACTCTGCACAGCGAATCGCGGCGCCTTAGACGATTGGGCCACCCGTGCCACCAAACAATGGAGGAAATGAAAGCCTGTGACTGATGACACCAAGAATAGGCTTATAAAGACATGCCAGGTCTCAGACCACTTGATGACTGTTCACTGTTTTATTGAGAAGTAAACCAGAGAAGCCAACCCTAACTTGAGGCAATTAGGAATATCTGGGAGAACTGCCATCTTAAAATTATTTAATTGTAAAAAAAAATAATTACATCAGAATCAGCATATCTGATTTATATGGTTCTGATAAAAATAAAACATATTTGATCACCCAAATTTGGTAAACCTTATCACAAGCAAAAAAAATTAAAAGTTTTATATCTGACAATGACTGTAGCGAGGTTAATAGTTAGCTTAAATTACAGGTGATGTGTTTTTTTTACAAGATTCATTATATATATCACTTAATCCCTTTGGCAGAACTGGGTTCCAAATATTTGAATGATTATTTATCTTCCCGCATCATAAAGGGTGGCATCTCTGAAGGGTGACATACAATATCGATATCATCCTGAAAGTGACAGTCGGAATGTGTTTTCTAATCATGCAACCTCGAAATATTTAACAGAGGGTATTCCAAACGACAGTTACGGGTTTTATGATTATATCCATACAAACTAGGCCATATAAGCCATTCCAGAATGTTGTTTTGGTCAGTTTTAATTTTTTTAATCGAGAATAGGTCAAAATATGTTTCGAAGCGTAGTCGCCAGTTTGAAACTAGTGCCGTAAAGCTCGAGATAGCTGCCTTCTGATTGGCAAATGTCGATTTCTTGTAAGTCATTTCCTTAGTCGGTCAATGTTACCTGTAATGGGATGTCCTCAGATCTTTGGATAGCAGCAGCGAAAACTAAGATCTCATTTTGATGGGTGACATATCATGTACCTGTAGTAGAGTGCTATGAGAATAGGCTGGCACTGTCAACATTCTGGGGCTCTCTATCCATGCTGTCATTTAGATCATCAAAATCTCTATGTAAATTCTTTCTTGTTGATTTCCCATCTTTCTTCCGCAACTTTCCTGACTCCAGCAGCTTCTCAAAATCATCACTACTTTCTTGGAGAAGTCTTTGAACTCTTCTCCCCGGGGATTTCCCGGGTGACTTCCCTGGCGATGCTTTCCTTTTCTTCCACTTCCTGTGCTCACTAAAACAGTCAATACTCTCATCTGCTAAAGTGCTCTCGTTGAGTAAGTCCGATGTCAAATCTGCATCTTTTTCAGAAGTTGATGATTCTGGGGAAAACAGGTCGCAGGAATTTTCATTCTTCTTGGCTTTGGGAGGAGCAGGCTTCCTCCGTGATGTGGAAGTGGTGAATAGATCATCAAGTACGGAAACACCTAACTGTTCCTCATCTTCTTTTGCATCTCTCGCTAACTGTGCTTTCTTCTCCCTTTCCCTACCGCAGTTACCAATTTGAAACAGCAACTCATTTACATCTGATCCTTCGTCTCCTACAAACGGCACTTTAACTTCATCAACAATGACAGTCTCAGAAAATTCCAACTCTGTATTAACCAGTTTCTGTTCCTCTTCCTTTGAATGCTTACTAAGTTTTTGTGGAACACTTTCAAACAGCGAGTCGAAATTGGATGCAGCAACCGTTCTAGTGGCCAGACTCTGTCCTTGAGACTTGGTTCGTCTCCCACGAGGAGTACGTGTCCGAGTGGTGACTCCTCTCTGTGTTATTGTCCTGCCCACTTCCATGCTGGACAGGTCACTCTCATCGTGGTCAAGTCGGCTTGGACCTGGTTTGGGTTGTGGAATGGACTGAGATTCACTGTCATCATACTCGATAAAAGTGAGACCTTGTTTTGACTTCCTTGGACGACCCTTAGGCTGAATTTTAGAGTCAGTTTTACTCTCCTTACCTGAAAAAATGAAACAAAACTTAAGATTTCAACATCTAGAATTATTGCCATAATATCGAAATCGCCTTTTCTATATTCCTCACAATTGTATGTGCCCCCAAAACTCCAAAGTGGCAGAAAAATTCACGGTGCAATAAAAGGCTGCAGAGTTTCTAACACAACTACCCTTGCAAACACCATGCAACATTTGTCTATGCATGTGGGTGGATGGGTAGACCATTGGTTTAAAGGGCAAGTAAAGTGAAAAAAAGTATTGTGATTTTGTTGCGTATATCAATTGTCCCAGATATTAAGTCAATTCTCGAAAGAAAAATATAATAATCATAAAAAGTATTTAAATGTCCAAGTAAAAGTGATGAAATGACATTCTCCGTTATCGGATTAAAAAACAAAACTGTTTAGGGATGTGGCCTCAAGTTACCAGCGCAACGGTGCAGCGATGGGTGACAAATATTTTCAATGGCTGATATGTTGTGATGCTTGGCAGCCATATGCATATGATAGGACGCGGTCAATCTAAAAGTGTTGCAGTTTCTGTTAATCCTACAAAAATAACATTGACCATATTGCTAATTGTGAACTTGTATCCGTCAAAAACCTAGCTGCGATCCCTCTTAGAACTGGGAATGAACTGGGAATAAACTGTAAATCAACCTGTGCATTTGCCACGGTAGAATACTGTTTCTTGTCTGTAATTCCTTTTTATGATTAATATGTTCTCCGTTCATTGACATATATCTTAAATGCTTTCACTCAGTACAGTGTATGTGAATAGACTTCACCAATTAGATGTGTCATATTTTGTGAGATATTCACCGATTACTTGTCGTATGTGAGATACCCCCATTAATCCTCCATTGACTTGCCCATCACCACCCATAACAATAGGTGTTGGACATGCAGAAAGACCCGGTAGACTGGCACCATCCTCATTGTTGAAATTGCGCAGCACGTCAGGCAGCTGGAACCCGTTTTAACCTCCAGGGAGGAGATTCCCCTTCCTGGAGGGTATTTGTTATTTGGGGGACGATTATGCATGTCGTTTCTTATCGTCTTTTCAACACCATTTCCGATTTTCAAATTTAATTTTGGTCAAGCATTTGTGATCAAGCATGCCGTAAAGTATTAAAATATGCAAAGTTGCTATGTTGACTTTACTTGCCCTTTAAGTAGTCAGTCGCTCATGCCATAAGCCTGGGTTTGATAACCCACATGGGTACAATATGTGAAGCCGATTTCTGGTGTCCCCCGTCATGATTTTGCTAAAAGTGTTGTAAAACCATACTGGCTTCCTCTGTTTATTGTGCACAAGCTGTACATAACTCAATATTATAACAAACTGCTGATATAAATAACATATTTTTTTAGTCCACATGTTTATCATATCCATACAATTTTGCCCAAGGATCAACCATCTGCTACAAAACCCACCGTTTTTAAGACTGTTGGGCTTCTTAACACTGCTGCTGACCACTGAACTGTCATCAGTTTTGGTGATGGTCAAGGACGTATTGACCACATCCTCCAGGTTAGGGTGCTCCTGGGTATAGAAATCTCTTAGCAACTGTAGGCGCGACGCTGTATCACCGCCAAGGATTGTCTCCGCTAGCGCCATCTGGTCTGCTGCTTCACTGGCGGCCATCTTGGCAAAGTGTTGTCTAGCAAATAGAAGATATGTATTCGATGCAAGTTGAGGTGAATACTGCTTTCAATAGTATTACAGACTTATCATAGCATGTCCACATTTCATAATCACTGCACACACTGTCGTGTATGGGGGTGTTTTAACAAAAAAATGTAAGTTAACTGTCAGAAATGATGAAGCCAAGGATCATAGACTAAAAGACAAATCTTTCAAGAATCTGCGTAATAGAATGGAATTAATTCAAATTTCATGACATCATAACACATACAGTCAAGTCTCATTAATCCGACACTCGTTAATCCGACAATCGGCTTTATCTGACACTAATGATGGGACCGGATCAAATCAATGCTATTTAGACCCGTTAATCCGACAGTCTCTCACTCCGACACACCTAATTACCGAAATCACTCATTAATCAGTCTCGTTAATCTGACACAGTGATCAGCGTACTCTGTGGTTATCTGCCCGCGAGTACACAGCCAGTGTTTTTATGCGAGGCAAGTCGGCTGGTAGCTGCATATTACAAAGCTGCAGAGATAAACTTGTTTAACAATAAACAATTAATGCTTGAAATAAAGAAAACAGGATTAATCACATGCTTAGATTACCCCAATCTCATTAAAATCAGTTACAACTTCTCGCTATTGCCGAGGACATCCCATTACAGGTCACGTCAGAAGAACCTTTTGCGAACTATGACAGAAGAACGTTGGTACAACTTAATTTCGTTTATCTGACACACTCATTTATCTGACATAATCATATGCAAGCAGCCATGTCGGATTAACGGGACTTGACTGTATTTGCATGTGGCTAGGTGATTGAGAGTCATGCCATAACATTCTTTAAAACTTGATATCTGCATAGTGTGACATAATGGCACTGTATGACATCATCCATAAAATGTCGCTGCTAATTCTCATCCCTGCACATCAGACATGTTTTAAATTGAGGTAAATACGAATATGTTCACATTTTTATTGATTTGCCAGAAAAAAACACTAACATATACACATGTATAATGATGTTTTCCTACCTACAAATGTTCCATAAATTGTTAAAAATATTTTAAACGTTAAATCCAATTAATTACACCTTTATACAAAACTCTTAACATAGTGAATGATTTTGCCAGATGATTCTATGGTATAGTGTGAATTTGGCTTGGTAGTTCTGTGTATTTCCAATGAAATGCACCCTAACCCGATTTTTGGTCTTCTGGCGAGATTTCAGAAATACTGAAAGAAAAAGATAAATCCCTGTTTATTTTATTATTTTTCCCATTTACCAAATACAAATTTTCCCCAAAAAATCTGTTAACTAAGAAATAATTAAGCTGTCCTAAGTTAAGAAACTAAACACGTAATAATCCTACTAAGCTTCCTACCTTCTAATGGCTGTGGGTGTCTGGCCAATCAAGAGCCTACAAGACCCGTGTTCTACAGCCCGTGGGGTATTGTGATCAGGCCCAGGCTTCCTACCGCGGCCCCGCCCTCTGCTTCCACCCTTCTTCAGTGGGGGAGGGGTAGGGATCTCCTCCTCACTGGACTACAGCAACATATGTACAAATAAAACATTGCAAGTGATTCTGTATCTAACCAAGCAATTATTTTTCGCATTTGTTTCCACATTTAAAACTGAAAAACAATTAGACCACGCTCACAAATGGTTGGTTGGTTGGTTGGTTGTTTAACACCCCAATCAGCAATATTCCAGCTATATGACGGCGGTCTGTAAATAATCAAGTCTGGACCAGACAATCCAGTGATTAATATCATGAGCATCGATCCATGCAATTGGGACCCACAAATGCACTACTGTCTCCTGGCTGATATTAGAATGGGTGGGGCTTGTGTTGTAATACTGCGCTGAATAATACCACTTAACTTCGCATAGTAGTGACTAGTCTCCAGATTTTTGTGTGTTAATGATTAAATAAGCAGTCTGAGTTCCTGTTGTTGACATATTTATTTATAACATTTGACTTTTATTGGACATTTATGGATTTACACAGTGTGCACACCGGTGTTTATGTTTATACCTTCATAAATACGACAAAGTTATCACTAAATATCACATTGTTGATAGAACACAAAATCAACTGGTTCTCAGTCCTCATTGTTGGTTTGTTGTTCAACGCCGCACTCAGCAATATTTCAGCTATATGACGACGGTCTGTAAGTAATCAAGTCTGGACCAGACAATCCAGTGATTGACAACATGAGCATCGATCTATGCAATTGGGATCGATGACATGCATCAACCAAGTCAGCGAGCCTGACCACCCCGATCCTGTTAGTCGCCTCTTTATGGCAAGCATGGGTTGCTGAAGACCTATTCTACCCCGGATCTTCTCAGTCATCAAGTCATTCAGAATGAATAACTGTTGAAAAAATACACTCATTTACCTTCGCTATAAATGTAAATAATTCATTTTAAAAAGAATTTACAAATTTGATTTGCAGATTGAATTGAAGTTTCATTAAACAAAAAATGAATATTGGATCAGGTTTCTGTGGGCAATGTATATACAGAGACATTTCTGGTGTCATACATGTGAAGTTTCAGCATCATAATCCTTGTGTTTTAGGGATGAGGGATGTCAAAAAAGCAAAACATGACGGATGGAGAAATGAATGGACCAAAAAATATTTTTGAAACATGGTTGAAAATACTAACCTCTGAGTAAGGGTCAACCTCCATGGCTGGTACTTGAGAGTTCTGGTGCAGCTCGTACACATCTTGGATGGCTTGTCGAGACATGTGGTTCTCTGCTCGAGATGCACCGACCACCTTGGGGTTCTCATGGACATGCATAACACCACATTTCTCTGAGGACAGACAGTGATAAACACACTCAATAAGCAGATTGAGTTTTTCAACTACTTGTAGACCTGCCAACCTGAAATTTCACAAATACCAGCTACTGAATAAAACATTTAAAAACTTTCAATTTTAAAACATTTTGCTCTTGTTCCCAGCAAATCTGACTCAACTTCAGTAATAAAAAAAACATTCATAGTATATAAAGCTTTTTGTTTTGTTTGTTTGTTTGTTGTTTAACACCGCGCTCAGCACTATTCCAGCTATATGACGGCAGTCTGTAAATAATCGAGTCTGGACCAGACAATCCAGTGATTGACATCATGAGCATCCATCCACGCAATTGGGATATGATGACATGCAACAACCAAGTCAGCGGTCACCCAATCCTGCTTGTCGATCGCCTCTTACGACAAGCATAGTTGCCTTTTACAGCAAACATGGGTTGCTGAAGACCTGTTCTACCCAAATCTTCACAGGTCTAGTAAATAAAGATGGGAATGGAGACCATTTTATTTGTCCTTAATAAAACATGTAAATTTAAAAGCTATTATGCTAAATTTAACATCTGAAACCTCACACTGCAAGTTTGGTTCCCAATTTAATTTAGCAAAGTCATATCTTCAGGTAACCTAGCTCTACATTAAGTATGTTTATCTCCTAAATAAACACAGATCGTATGAATCATATCACAATCTATAGAGAGTATTACCAAACACAGAGTTGATTGATGTGAAGGACTGAGCCACGGAGGCATCAGGGGCAGACAACTCCTTCAGTCTTGAGGCAGTGTTAGTGTGTCTCTGCCCTGAGCTCCTTGTGCTAGACACTTGTGCTTTAGTCTTCCTTGGTGGAGAGGGACGTGGTGATGCAATATCCAGACCTGAGTCTGAAAGTTAAGTATTTTTATATTAATGTACTTACAGACCACAAGAAATTATCTACTAAAAATTTAGATCAACATATGGATCATTTAACTGACACTAGATAGCTATCAAATATTCATGATATTCTTTATTAGGCTAAAAAAAAATAGTCTTGGTTCTCAGACACCGCCCGCATCATCATAAAGTTCTCCGCACAAAACAAAAAAATCCTTAAATATTCCAAGTCCAACGGAAGACAAATACTGTATTCCAGTATTTTACTCATTTATGTAGGGAGGCCCTTTCACCAGGTTGATTGTATAAAATTGTTTATTGACAACACAACTGTTTATTGGTTACATACTAGTTTGAACAACCCCCCCAAAAAACAAAAAACACCTTAAGGAAAGGTGCCACCCCTATTATAACTTCCCTCTACCCAAGCAGGATGCTAGACAGTTGAATGGACATTTAAGTGAGTCAGTACACGATGCTGTCTTCACATCATCCTACCATCATCCGTGCCCAGCAGATGTCTGAGTGCATCTTCAGACTCTTCATCATCTGTCTGCTGGTCAGCGTTTTCGTCAGACAAATCTCCATCCTCCTTCAGTGTCTCCTCCGTGGTGTCGGATGGTGGAGCTACGTACTTCAACATCTTGAACCCATGTAAACCAGCCTCCATCTTCTGCTTTCTCTGGAATAGTGTCATGAAACCGTGAGTGAGTGAGGGAGGGAGGGAGGGAGGGAGGGAGGGAGGGATTATTATTTCTAACAACTTTCGAGGGAACACCAGATATGGACCTTACATATTGTATCTGAGTGGGGAATTGAACCCAGGCCTTTGGCGTTACAAGCAAACACAGAATCCACTCGGCTACCCAACCAGGTAATCAGGACAATGTGAAGAGCAAATAATATGATTCACTTTGTTTTATTGTATCACAATACTGCCTTGACTGTAGAACATTGTTACATCACACTATTTGTGTTGAGCATCAGGTTTTAATTTCAACTTAACAATACAGTTATTATTCATAAGACTAAAACACCACACAGTAAACATCACAGAATAAAGGATGATCAAATGGGGTTTTTTAACTCTGAATATTTGGATTTTTCTCATAGAACAAGAATAACATTTGGATTGTTGATGTAAAAAGAAAAAGAAAAGTCTGAGAGAGCAAATGTCGCTTACAACCTAAGTCAGCAATATTCCTATAATATCAAATCTGTGTAAATATGTTTTACAACAGTCAATACCATTAAGCACAATTACACGCAATCAATCAAGTCACTGAAAACACAATCCCTATTTGATTCAGTTCCTTTTTTTTTCTTTTTTTAGTTGTTTTATGCTGCACTCAGCAATATTCCAGCTATATGACGGCTGTCTGTAAATAATCGAGTCTGGACCAGATAATCCAGTGATTGATGTCATGAGCATCGTTCCACACAAGAGGGATCGATGACATGCTTCAACCAAGTCAGCGAGCCTGACCACCCGATCCCGTTTGGCAAGCATGGGTTGCTTGAGACTTATTCTACCCTGGATCTTCACGGGTCGATTCAGCCCTAACATCAAGCAACAGATACTGGGGAAGTATTCTGACTGGCATCTAAAGGGGGAAAACAGAAATGGCTTCTCACACTCAGCAGCATCCTCGTACCTCTAGAATATCCATAGTCAGACAAGAGTCCCCTGTGCGGATCTGGAACATGTTCTTCACACCAAACAGCTCCCCCTTGTGGAAGCGATCACCTTGGATACCGTGGAAGAAACGCGTCGCATTCTCACTTGCAACAGCAACATTTCCTAGTTGCTGTAGGAGGGAGAGTATTTCACTCAATCTGAGCCAAACATGCATGGTAAGAACTAGGGCTGGAAATATGGTTTGTTTGTTTGTTGTTTAACCCCACACTATTATTAAAATATTCCAGCTTTATGACGGGGGTCTGTAAATAATCAAGTCTGGACCAGACAATCTAGTGCATGACATCATGAGCATCGATCAGCGCAATTGGGATACAAGACATGCATCAATAAAGTTTGCGAGACAGATCACCCGATCCCATTAGTCGCCTCTTAGAACAAGCATGGGTTGCTGAAGATCAATTCTAACCCGGATTTTCATGGAGCTGGAAAGATGTACCAAAGTCACGGTATGTTACGTATCAAGTTCCTATTTCAGGTAAAAATGGATAAATTCAAAATAACAAAGGATGACATAAGGTATATATATTTTCACAAATCCTTTTCATGTTAACAAAACACTGATACAAGATCAGATTACCCTCAGATCATATCGCAAAAGAATGATCACTTACAGTTTGTAAACTGATGCATGCAATGGTATACAAGTTGTGAAGAGATACATATCAATACAGAATGAAGCTTACTGTGTAACATATTACTGAGTGAGTGAGTGAAAAGGTTTTAATGCTATTGAACACTATTTCAGTTATGACAGTTATATGAGTCAGCTTCATGCTGAAGGAAAGCAGGAACTTATTCAGGTTCTAGAAGTTTACCACTTCGTTGAAACCTACAAGAACGGATATGGTGCATCAGATGATTTGGCCACCTGTGCACCAAAGTATCATTGATTATAGCTAAAATGGATAGAATTATCATTAAACCGCCCGCATGTTATCAGAAATGAGCGGGCCACTGTAACTTGATAATGCCCTCATATTGCTTGACAATGGGCCATTATCACGCCCGTTGTTAGGTGACGTCATAGGATAGGCTAGGTGACGTCACGTTCAATAGTGATGTTATCTGGTTTGTTCTATGATGTTTCAATATCTGTAAAAGTAGGTCAGTGACATTCGTGTTGATTGCAGTAAACGTTTCAAATCCGATATTGTTGTTTCTTTATATTTGATAAAAAATTCCATCCATATTAGCTATAATAACGGTAACGCTATTTTTCATGGCATTATCATTTGCAGAAGCCCTTGGTCTTTTCAACTGCCCTCCTTTGTCGGGCAGTTAATGGAAGACCTCGGGCTTCTGCAAATGATAATGCCCTGAAAAATAGCATTACCGTTACAGTATGGTTTCTCATGGCATTGGTGAATTGTTTCAGCCTCTGGCATAACAATAATACTGCCAGATCGATATGTATTAAAGGGGCACTGATCTAACGCAATTCCCCGGACTGGTTGTTGCCTTTGTTATTGTTTTTTCCCCCGTGAGTACCCGGATGATACGCAACGCAACTGAGCGTGACCAGAGACTGGGCTACCGACTGCAAGGACAGCTAAATAAACTTGGAGGCTGGAGGCAATATTTGTTTTACGCATTTTTGCATAAACACTGATTGGTTAACTGTGATCTATAAAGATTTCGACAAAGGGCGCATGTTAATTAATTTCTTCAGCCTAAACAAGCAGACAAAAAGAACAGCGGAGCTCATCAGATGTCGTCATTTGGAAATACCCCAGATGGTTATAGTTTTATACTAAAAAAAAGTATCCATGCAGTGAAAGCATTTTCGGATTTCGGCTTGCGTCGACAATACGATTACTACTCCCTTGTTGTCATCCACGTTTTCTCGTATAACCCATCACTTGTGTATTTGTCGTCATTCACTTGATGCTCAGTTAATGAATTTATTACAGGTACAATTAGTGGTAGCACCACTTAGATTACCTGACAAAGGTTCCCATTTGGCATTTATTGTGTCTGGGGTAATTATTCAATCTAAATCCAGGGTTGAAGTGAGGTGAAATGTGTGTTATGTAATATGCACGTGGCAGCCCAGCAAGAGATGAATGATCAGTTGATTTATTTTTTTGTAAATCAACGGAACGTTCCTAGTCATCAAAGGATTAACAGAAAATACGTTGATTGATTAATCACTGTTAACTTGCACAGTGGATATGTCAAGAGTGAGTGTTTACATGTCTAGGTTTACTAAAACAAAGGGAATACACTCATACCATGGCGTGAAGTGCCGATGTAAAAACAACATACTTTGTTCAAAGGGTTAACTTATAATACGTTGATTGATTGATCATTGTTATCTATCACTCAATGGATTTTTTAGGAACCGTGAACGTTATGAAAATAGTTGTCACGTGGGCTTTCTCAGCCGACCATTGAGAGTTGACACCTATGTAAAAGACCTGAAACAATCCAAGTGATCAGTTGAGAAACGAACGCGGGTTCTAATATCCCGAAACGATATATATCTATTAAAATATTTGATTGTTACTGAGACACGTGACATCGAATAAGTTTCTTTGTACAGCTGCAGTCGAGTGGGATATTGTTCCTTTGTGTGGATATTCACGGATACATTCCTCGAACAAGGAAGCTGCCTAAAATTTATACACATAAATTTGGAAGGTTGTAATTATGATATTTGCATTTTGTTTTCCTTCATTTGAACCGATTCGTTCTTGTTTCTCTACGTCTTGGTTGGGAAATTCTTCAATGCGCGATAGACGTTGTTTTCAGTTCTTTTCCTTTGTAAGCGTGTATATATTACCGTCAATTTGTAAAATGTGATTCTCTCAGGCAATTTATAAAATGTGTAAATATTTCAGTCATTTTGACTAAAAAATCCGTCCAGATTGATTAAGACGATCAAAAGGGCCTACAAACATCACAACAGATTATTATGTAGGATTAGAAGCCAAACAACATAGAAATGTACTTTTCTCAACGTAACGATTTCTGTCTCTTGGTGATGACATTAAACATCAAAATGTTTGGAATTCGTTATCATAATAATACAGATGGAAATGTTTTCAGTCGCTTTGTAAAATAACTGAATATTTAGACGTTTAATAAATTTGTGACACATTTGACAGTAAAAAAAAATACACACTATAAAAAAAGCAATGCTCAGGTGAAATATTTACTTTGTGTTGCAAGTCAAAATAGTGTAAACGAAAATCGCAAAATTACCAAGCAAGTGACTTATCAAAACTTCGTCACCATTACCGATGCTACCCACAAAGATACCTACATTTCCTTATTATCTCGAAAACTGTATTTCATTTTGTTGATCAATGTGACCATACGCCCTTATTACTACCCATAAAAGCGACTAATGCGCTTACGAATGGCGCAGCAGAGGTCGCGAACTAGTCTAGATTTCTGCTATACATCCGGGTACTCACTGGAAAAAAACAATAACAAAGGCAACAACCAGTCCCGGGGAATTGCGTTAGATCAGTGCCCCTTTAAATACAAGCTTATAAAGAACTGGTGGATATTACAAACTGGTTTTTGGTCTCGGCCATTTGCTGTACAAATGCTGCTAACTATGGTTATAACAAACTAAAATTAGTAGTCCCTTCAATTTTGTTATAACCTTAACAGTTGGTTATACTGTAACTCATTCAGTATGCACAAAGAAGCTTGGTTTTTTTTGGTCACTCTCTGCAATATATCAGCTATATGACAGTGGCCAATAAATAATTGAGTATGAACCAGACAATCCAGTGATTGATAGTACGAGGATCAATCAACATCATCAGGGTATAATGACACACAATCAACAGAGCTAGATCACCTGATCGTCTAATCGATTCTTATGACCAGCGGAGGGTGGTGTTGACCCGTTCTTACCCATAATCCCCATAGGGTTGAACCACTTGAAACAGCCTACCTGTTTGTATATTTGACGTAGGTAAATGTTTTCTTCTATTGTTCCAACAGAGATGAGGCGATACACATTCACATCCTTCCTCTGACCAATTCTGTATGCTCTGAAATCGGCAACGATTAACATTAGAAATAAATGTTTTGTTTGTTTGTTGTTTAACGTCTCACTTGGTGATACTCAAGGAAATGACATCGGTCTGTAAATAATCGAGTCTGGACCAGACAATCCAGTGATTGACATCATGAGAATCGATCTATGCAATTGGGATCCATGACATGCATCAACCATGTCAGCGAGCCTGACCACCCGATCCTGTTAGACGCCTTACGAACGGGTTGCTGAAGGCAAGTTCTAACCTGGATCTTCGCAGGGAAGTAGTAATAAATGAGATGCACTGACAGTAAGCATGACAGTAAGGTTTGCATCCAGTTTTCAGAGCAAGCTCCATGGACCAGAAACAGCTCAAGGGAGAGCACTCACCTGTCTTGAGCTTGAAGGTCATGACTTGGATTCCAGTTGGGGTCAAAGATCACGACCTTGTTGGCCCCAGTCAAGTTCAATCCTAACCCGCCAGCTCTGAAACCATGAACAAATCATAGTTTGACCTTGAAAGATGGATAACAGAATATGTTGAAACTGACAAAAAATAAACAACGTACATGCATTCACTATGTACAACTTAAATTCTAATGAAGTATTTTCCTTGAAATGCTGTCAATAATAAATAAATAAATAAATAAATAAATATTGCGCTAAAACGTTTGGAAACTTAGTATTTGCACAAAGCGCTTCAGGATATTATATACATCATACATACACACAGGTAATGATAGCAATAGAAATGAAAAGCAGTGATAATGCTTTGGTAAGTGGAAGGTCTTTTAAGTGGGATATGAAGGAGGCTAGTGATGTTAAGACATGAGAATCATGTGGCAGGACGTTCCACAGAACAGGAGCAGTGTAACTGAAGGAACGGCAGCTGAATGATTTTAGGTGCCGTTTTGGTGTCTCAGGAGATTGAGATAAGAAGATCTCAATGATCTTGCGAGGTCATCTCTGGATACTATCACAAAGATACTTTGGACTTAAATAAAACATTGTTCAATCTTATGCCAATGATAGTGTTTTTGAGTGCCATGTTTAATCCCATCAACACTTCCTCAATAACTGCTTCATGGGAAAGTTATTTCTGTGAGTGAATGTTATTTTACGCAGCATATTTAGCATAATAGTCAGACAAAAATAAACAAGGCCAGCGACAACACATGCAATGATCCATGCTGTTGATGCATGATAATCCACAACCTGCCTTGTCACATAACTCACCAGACCCTGCGTGCCTGCAATATCAGGGATAACTGGGGTCTCAAATTAGTCACTTTCAAAACAATTCTTTGGGATTATTGTCTATATGATTTCGATGAAAATATATTTTCTTTCACATTTTATTTTATCACCCTAAAATCAAAAACGTATTGTTAATAAATTACTGATTAGTAGTATGTGGGACAAAGACCCTGCTTGTAGTAGTCTGAACTAATGCTGGCTTAGTGCACTGAGATACCATGCCACAGTTGAACATGGATACCCCACTCAGACAAGGGCCAGGCAGGGTAAGAACAAGTACCATCTGTTAACCTCTTTTCATATGATGCAGCCCGGGATTAAACCACTGACCTTCTGCTCTCCAGTCAGTAGTGATGGGTACTGCCCCTTGAACCTGTATTGCAATATATTGCGATACAAAGTCGTGTATTGCGATACGTACCACAATATATTGCCAAAACAAAATGTTTTCAACTTCTGAGAAAAAATAAAGAAGTTCTTCTGTTTTAAGACTTGTTTTATTATATTTGGGTAAAAACAAACTTTCTTTTTGACTAGAAAAGACACATTATCATCATGGAGTATTCCAAGAGGAATAAACTAATGGAAGTGTTATTATTTAGCTGGCGTATTTCATAAAACGATTCACATTTGCTACAAACAGCAACATTTTCTTCAATTGTTTGATCAATTTTACGCTTTTTCAACCCGAAATGCTGCCACACATCGGATTTACCGCGAGTATTTCTCACCAATTTTGTTACCACGGATACGGCGAGATCTCGTAACATATCGCGTTATTATATAGGAAGGGACATAACTCTAATCGAACGTGACATCAGCTTTATCGATCGCCTTTGATCGCCTTGAATTAAAACACGAAATTCAAATAGGTAATACATTTTTTTAAATGGCCACAATTTATTGCAATATTGAAACTGTATTGCAATACGTATTGGACACGAAGCCACATCACGGCTAACCGGTATACCGGTTATAACGCGCACCTCTACCAGTCCGATGCTCTATATCCACTCGACCACAGAGGCAGTCCTGGTCGATAACTAACTAAAATTACTAATGTTGTTTTGCATACCAAATTCCTAAAACATTTTGTATTATTAATCTGATTTACTCCACAAGATGGTAACTGCTGGCATCTCTGAAATCCCCGCAGGTTGAAACTTAACACAACTCACTTTGTAGATATCAGACAGACAAAGATGCTTGGGTCCTTGTTGAACTCGCGTACAATATCCATCCTACGCCGGTTGTTGACGGTGCCGTCGATGCGGCGATACTCGTGTCCGTCACTGATGATGTACTGTTCCAGGATGTCCAGCAGCTAGAGAGGGAAGATGAACATTGAGTTTACATTACAGACTGAGCCAGCTTCAGATAGCCTGCGCTCACAAGTGTACTGACTTCTGCAGAGTCTGCAGAAAAACATTATAAGGGTAACGCTATTTTTCAGGGGATTATCACTTGCAGTAGCTCGAGGTCTTCCATTAACTTCCCGACAAAGGAGGGCAGTTGAAAAGACCGTTATTATCGCGAAAATGGATTGAATTTGTTATCAAATAAAAAGAAACAACAATATCGGGTTTGAAACATTTACTGCAATCAACATGAATATCACCGACCCACTTCGCACAAACAACATAGAACAAACCAGATGACATCACTATTGAACGTGACGTCACCTATCCCTATCCTATGACGTCACCTAACAACGGGCGTGATAATGGCCCGTCGTCAAGAAACATGAGGGCATTATCAAGTTACAGCGGCCCACTCATTTTTGATAACATGCGGGCGGTTTAATGATAATTCTATCCATTTTAGCTACAACACATCATATCCCTTCAGCGATTTCAGGTAAATGAACAGGTGATAACAATTAAACTTTAAAAAATGGTCAAAACAAATCTAAAATTACAGATAAAACATTACTAGACATGATGATTTTCCGATTAAATTGTATTTTCTGTTCTGCAAGACCTTGTTATATATGCAAAAAAAACATCAAAATTCTTTAACCCAGTGTATAAGGCGACCCCCCTTGAAAGCCCTGTAGTTCTAGGTACGAAAAACTCACCTAATACATGGCGATATAAGGAATGCTAAGTATATAATCATTGTTTTACAATAATTTTTTTATCATGATTTAGATAATCTTATGATTATGGTAGTTTTTCAGAGTGATATTATGTTTATCAGTAAATCCCATCAACACTTCTTCATTGGTGCTTATGAGGCAGTTATTTCGGTAAGAGAGTGAATGTTGTTTTACGCTGCATATTTAGCATAATAATACACATCGCCAAGGTGAAATATCCAACAAACATGGGATACATGCAACACGTTCTTCCCTGGAATTCCCTTACTTGTTTCATTTATCACAAGAATGGGTTTTGTGCTGACAAACCAAGTATCTAAAGGTCAATTCTGCGACTCAAACAATGATCATACAATTGGGAGTGAATGAGTTATAATTTTAAGCCACACTGGCAGTATTTCAGACATACTGTGACTAGCCCAAGGGATACAGTCATAGGATAATGACACTTCTAAGCGATGCAACTCTGGACTGAAAATTTGTATGACCGTACACATCTGGGCCAACCTCGAAGCCCACTTATTTCAGAAGACTAACAGAAAAACTATTACCCTGGTAGAGTAGGAGAACACCAACACCTTGCTGTGAGTCTTGTAGAACACGGAGAGGAGACCCTGGAGAACCTAGTGAGGAACATACAAATGTCATCATACATGATAAAATGTTCACTTCTCACATTCATACAGCATAGGCGTTCCAATCTTTAGATTTGGTGCCACTTATTATCAGTATGAAATTATGATGACATCACATCCGGTTTATGTCTGAGCGATTGTTCCATGTTTCCTTTTCGTAATTGAAACATCCTGAAACATTTATTAGGTAAGCAGAAACAGTTGCAACATTAGCCACAAGTCCAAAGCTGACTATTCAGTCTGGTGAGATGAGGTAATAGACTACCATTTGATAATGTACTAAGTTCGGGCTAATAGACTAGAAAAGCTTTTGGCACAGACTGTAGAACTAACAAATATATATACATATACTCACTTCATAGTTTCAATATATAGTAAATAAAATTGCTATTTAGAGAATAACAAACAAGTTATAAGGTAATTTGAATGATCAATCTCGTTAACATCAGATCTTGTTGCTGCTAAACAATGATCTGAGGACATCTCATTACGTCACGTCATAATGACCTTTCGCGAACTTTGACTGACCACTGAAATGACTAACAAGAAGTCGACATCAGCCAATTAGAAAGCAGCTTTCTCGAGCTTTACGGCACTCGTTTCAACCTGGCGACTTCCATTTCAGACTATACTTGAAAAATATGTTGACACAGTTTTCAATTACAATTTTGAAAACTCACCAAACAAACATTCCAGAATGTCTAATCTATGGTTGAGATTGTATAGCAGTTCTTCCCACATACTGTTCAACACCTCCTACGTTCAAATGTTTATCCCACTGAAGCGTGAGATCGTAACTGTCGTTCGGAATACCCCGTGTTGATGTTTTCGAGGTTGCATGATTAGAAAACACATTCCAACTGTCACTTTCATGATCTGGTAAGTGACGCTCTGATTGGTCCGATGAAAGGTTGTTCTGACGTGACCCGTAATGGGATGTCCTCAGATCTTTGTTTAGCGATAGCAAGAACTAAGATCTGATTTTAATGAGATTGTGCATTGAAAGTCCTGTGAGGGCAGACGGATAATCTGTAGTTCTGAGTTTGGGGTACATTTTTCTAAATACTACTCATTGTCTATTGTCATTTTAAGAAGAAAATGAATTCTCAATGCCGATTGGTCAGTTCAAGTGATATGACATGACACTGCTTCATTGTTGATACCAATACAATATGCCATCATCTATTGTCAACGATGTCACAATATTACACCCATACGTCATCTGAACAATAAGCTGACTACAGTTAAGGTTGAATTCAGGGTTGACAGCCCATGATTTTCATAATTTCCTTTGTGGGGGTTTAACTATTTAGACTAGGTTCCTGTCTACCTAAATGAGCGGACTGGATGATACAAAACATAGCATTCATTGCCCCCTTAACCTATGAATACAAATAGCGCGCAGCCTGGGACTGGATGATACAAAACATAGCATTCATTGGCCTCTTATCCTATGAATACAAATAGCGCGCAGCCTGGGACTGGATGATACAAAACATAGCATTCATTGGCTGCTTATCCTATGAATACAAATAGCGCGCAGCCTGGGACTGGATGATACAAAACATAGCATTCATTGGCCTCTTATCTTATGAATACAAATAGCACACAGCCTGGGACTGGATGATACAAAACATAGCATTCATTGGCTGCTTATCCTATGAATACAAATAGCGCGCAGCCTGGGACTGGATGATACGAAACATAGCATTCATTGCCCCCTTATCCTACGAATACAAATAGTGTGCAGCCTGGGACTGGATGATACAAAACATAGCATTCATTGGCCTCTTATCCTATGAATACAAATAGCGTGCAGCCTGGGACTGGATGATACAAAACATAGCATTCATTGCCCCCTTATCCTATGAATACAAATAGCGGACTTATAGTCAGAAACAAGGATATGATACAGATTTGTTCCACTTTTTTGGCTGACACTGGTTGGTTAAAACTATTAGAGCTAAGGTTGCGGTGCATACACACAGGGGGACCAGTTCATTAACCATTCAATTGCCCAGAACAGATAATCCAATGTTCCTCTTAGCTTGTTGGTTGTTCTCATAATCCTATATTCCTGTGATTTAGTTCCTGTTCTCAAGTTTTAAGTTTCCATGACTAGAAATGTTCGCTCAACAAACCTTCATCTTTCCACAGTACTTAGGATCGGATAGTGTCCGGAAGGATGCTTCCCGCGTCTGCTCCAGGAACTGGGGGTGGTCCTTGAATGCAACCTTGCACACCTCCCTCGTTCTCTTCAGCTGCTGTGGGCTGGAGTTGGCGTGAGGCGTGAGCAGAGCCACGTGATTGGCTGTCTTCAGAAGCAGGTGCATGAAGGAGAACATGATGCTTGCGATGCTGTGACCTTCGGGGGAGACCTTCAACACAAAGGTTCTGTTTCTGATTTCCCAGAACACCAGTATCTGTTCACCCTGAAATCTTTCATAAAGCAACCGTAACGTTACAACTGCCATAAGTCTATAATGTAGTATGGGATCGTAGCGCTACGATCACTTTGTGAAATGAGGCCTTGGTCTAGAATAGTTTTATTTGGTCTCGTAAGCTCAGTTAATAATAGTCCAAATACAAATACTTGAATCTACTGAACATGTCAAGAGGTGAGGTGCGGTGAGTAGTGGTGAGGTGAAATGGGGTGTAACAATTTTTAAGATTGTTTCACTTATGTAGTGACATCCTAGGGCAGACTAATGCTGGTTTTATAGTGCTAGCCCACTGAGATACCATGCCACAGATTAACATGGATACCCCACTCACACACAGTATACTGACTCCGAGCTAACCAGTCCTTGTTTTAATTCCTTAATGCAGAGAGCCAGGCAGGGTAAAACCAAGTACCATCTTTTAACGTCTCTTGGTATGACACGGCCGGGGGGAGTAAACCACAGACCTTCCTAATATTTTGTATTTACAATGTAGATAAACATAAAATCCTGCACATTTGCTGGTGTTATTAGGTATTTGATATGTTTGTTTGTTTGTTGTTAAACTCCCCACTCAGCAATATTCCAGCTATATGACGGCGGTCTGTAAATAATCAAGTCAGGACAAGACAATCCAGTGATTGACATTATGAGCATCAATCTACGTCATTGGGATCGACACGCATCAACTACGTCAGCAAGCCTGACCACCCAATCCCATTAGTTGCCTCTTACATCTTACGACAAGCATTTGATGTGAGAGTGCAAGACAGTGCTATGGAAATCACCTAAATGTTTACCTCTGGAAGTTCAAAATGAAATTTCTGGGCACCAAATACACAATTAAACCCTCCAATTTGAAAACACATAACCTTTATCTCCTATTTGATCATGTTGATCCCATCAGAGTCTTTGCACATAATGAGCTGAGAAGAATGCAATACTGTATCAGTGCTTCACAGCTGACATTACCTTGTAGCAGCATTTGCTTCTTGTTCTTGTGCTCTCACAGTCACAGGGGTCGTGCATTCTCATAACGAGGCTCATGTCAGGATGACCCAGCACAGCTCTGTACACACTTTCCTGGAGCGGCGTCAACTTACAGAACACCACGTTGTCGTCTGATTGTGTAGAGAAGAGAATGAAAACACTTGCGTCTGTGAGTGAGTGAGTGAGTATGGTTTTACGCCGCTTTTAGCAATATTCCAGCAATATCATGGCGGAGGGCACCAGAAATAGGCTTTACCCATTGTACCCATGTCAGAAATCAAACCCAGGTCTTCGGTGTGACGAGCGAATGATTTAAGCACTATGCTACCCGACCGCCCCTCTTATGTCTATGAAGAGTAAGCAAAAGTCAGAAAGCAATAGGTAAGTGGGTGGGTGGTTGAGTGGTTGAGTGAGTGGTTGAGTGAGTGGTTGAGTGAGTGGTTGAGTGAGTGAGTGAGTGGTTGTGTGAGTGGTTGAGTAGTTGAGTGAGTGGTTGAGTAATTGAGTGGGTGAGTGAGTGAGTGAGTGAGTGGTTGAGTAGTTGAGTGAGTGGTTGAGTGATTGAGTGGGTGGGTGGGTGGGTGGGTGAGTGGGTGAGTGAGTGAGTGAGTGAGTGAGTGAGTGAGTGAGTGAGTGAGTGAGTGAGTGACATAATTAGCAATGAGTGTTTTGAAACTCAGGGTGAAACTCTTTATTAGCATTTGACTCTAAACAAGGCCATAGTGGCTAATGGGAATAGTCACAAAATAAAAATGAATTAAAAATTCAAAAATACAAAATTTGTTTTTGCAATGTATATTCATTTTTTTCACATTTTTGCTAGGGTCGGCAAACGTTTCAGCAACTTACCTTTCTCTGGCAGCTGGTCAGCAATAATCTTCTTTGTTCTTCTGATCATCATGCCTGTCCGCTTGTTAGAGAATTCCTCTTTTTCTGAAACCACCAAGAGTGTTTCAGATAACTGTTTGTAATGCAATACAGTTTTTAGGATTTGTTTCAAACATTGGGTTTATCCAGATGAGGCTGAGGGTGTTGATCACAAGTTAGTGGGTGAATCTACTTGGCAGGGGGAAAATAACATAATTAAAAGAATTTGACAAGAAATGTTTTTTTAGTTGGCTGATGGAATATTTAAAAAAAATTCATTTGGGTGAGTAATTGATGGCAATAAGTTGTTTCGTTGCTACATTGAAAGATTGTAAAGAATTATTTTTTATTCTTTTATTAATTTATTTTGGTCTGCGGTGATGTAATATATTAACAAAATTATCACTTTTTCTGGCCAGGGCTAGCTCCCTCTTTGATGCGTCATATCCCTGGCCTCGTTCTATGACCTGGACAAACTCTGTCTCAAACTCGTACAGTCTTCCCATCACATCTGGCTGGGCCCTGGAACATGGATACACACACCAACCAGTTATTCGACATAATAGCTTATCTTACCTCCATGGCAGAATGTTGAGATCTAAATAAAGTGATCTAAGTGATAAAATACAATGTACCCTCGGTATATCACGAAAAAAGAAACCATTCTTGGCGTCAGGGTCGACACACCATCAACCAAGTCATAGAGTCTGAACACCTGGTCCATTCAGTTGTCTCTAACAACTCGTATACCCTGCTTAGGACCAATTCTACTCTGGAGTGAGTGAGTGAGTGAGTGAGTTTGTTTTAACACCGCTTTTAACAGTATTCCAGTTATATCACGGCATGTCAGCTTAATGTGGGAGGAAAGCCGGAAGTGATGCAGGTCTCAGACGTTTACCACTTCGGTGAAACCCACAAGCACGGGTATGGTGCTGACAAACCTAGAAACATAATAGGGGCGAACCAGGATTCGAACCCACAATCATAGGTTTCTGGCATGCCCAAGGGACGCAACTCTGCACAGCAAATTGTGGCGCCTAGACGACTGGGCCACCTGTGCCCCCTCCCTGCTTGGGACCAATTCTACTGTGGAATCCCCAGGTACTGTAGTAAAGTTTCAGGTTCACCTGCATCCCTGGTCATCTAACAGTCCTTACCAGTCCAGGATAGACCAGAGTTCTGTCATGTTGTTCTGTAATGCAGTTCCAGTGAGACCATAGCGCTTCTTGGTGTGCAGACAACGTAGGGCTTGAGTTGTCTGTGCCTTAAGACCCTGCAGTGTCAACATCAAACACATGAAACCACCTTTTCTAACAGTCATTTCAATCGGAACAAGGTTAGGATGTCCAATGTATCAAAAAAAAAACAAATAAAAAGATTCCCATATACACTCTGGCCAAAAACTTTGAGTCCACTTACCCGAACTTGTTTATACCGTATATCGTCGACTATAGAATGATCCCACTTATAAGGCAGACACCTGTACACCCATTCATAATTGATGCTAAATCATATACCCCGCCTATAAAGCGATCACCAGCGCACACACAACCTTACATTTGCAAAGAAAACAATGCTTTGTTAAGTTTGTAACTCTAGTAAACAGCGCCATTTTGTTGGTGCTAGTAAAATAAAGTTCATTCATGAAGTAATAACATAAGAGTGAGTGAGTATGGTTTTACGCCGCTTTTAGCAATATTCCAGCAATATCACGGTGGGGGGACACCGGAAATGGGCTTCACACATTGTACCCATGTCGGGAATCAAACCCGGGTCTTCGGCGTGACGAGCGAACGCTTTAACCACTAGGCTACCCGACCGCCCCAATAACATAAGAACATATTTCAAGTTACAAGTAATCTATTCATGCACACGCACACACTGACCATAAACTAATTCATACAAATCACACAACTGTCTCTTCCAGAGTGAATTACATATAGGCTGCTGGAATATTGCAGCCATAAACAACTAACAAAAACAATATCATATATTTTATACATTTTTTTTCATTTTCATAACGAACAATCATAAATCAGCCTTAGTGAATCCACCGAACACCGAGTCAGAGTCTTCTCCAACTCCGCACCATGGACTTGCTTATCGTAAACCCATGTGCAGCAGCAGAGTGATTTGAACTTTCAGCAAAGGCAACAACCTTGACCTTGAAAGCAGCACCGCAAGCAAATCGTTTTCTCTTTGAATTCTTGATGAGGTAAGCATCACATACATTTTAGTGTTTTCATGAGTTTTATTAGCCGATTTCACTGGAATGCACATAATTTTCTAGACTTAGGTTTTGGACTATTGACTGAAACCACAGACTAACATACAGAAGATAGAATGGAACATCGTAATATGTGGATCACAATATACTTTTCTTCCACAACTAGCCACAAACTTGTGATTTGGATTCAGAATGATCCCCTGAATTGTTTCTTGGTCAGTTAATCAGTGTGTGTTATTCTGTGCTAGATTCAAGTAATATCATGCAAGCAGCTATAAATAGAGCAGGGACAAGGCTTGAGCTGGGACAGGTAACTCGGCTACCCGGGTCGGGTGGGTACTGAGTAGGACCCGGGTACCCACAGGACTACCCAGATCAGTGGTTAGTCACATTATATATTGTTTAATGGCAAAAATTATCTAGAACTCTATGGTTACACTACAAGTCACTAATGTTGGCATTTCTTTCTGACTATGCACCCATACCTTCTGATTTTTTATATGGTTGAATAAAGATATAACTCAGATATAATTCAACTTCAGTGTATGAATGTCCAGATTGTTTAATACATGTATCTAAATACGTTTTGCCAGGGCTATCCTAAAAATGTGCCCAAGCGGACATTTAGAGACATCTCCTGAGGCCTACAGTGGGTACCCGGGTAGGGTTGGGTAATAGGGGGGTGGGTACCTGGGTAGTAAATTTGGACTTGTCCCAGCCCTAGACAGGGCAAACTAGAGGTTGAAAGAATGAGCAACGACTCCACGCCATTTGGTCATGATGATTACATTTTCAAACCATCTCATTCTGACCTGGCTTCATGTCACTGGGGTACACACATTATTTTTAAAAGAGCGAGGGGTTCGAACACAGTGAACCCTCATAACAAATCTGGTTACTGAAGGTTCAAATCCCAGATACAAACAGATGATGACCCTTGCTTTGATCCAACCACACACACATCTGTCATGACTTGGGTAGTGTGCACCTACTTTTTTTTCAACCTCCTTGATCTGCCTGATACTCGTTCTAGTGAGTTTCATTAAGGCTAAAAAAATAATAGTCTTGGTTCTCAGGCACCGGCCACATCATCATAAAGTTTGCCGCAAGTTTCGTTTTTATTTCAATTTGTAAAAAAATCCATAAATATTCCAGTACTCCCAGTATAAATATTCCAAGCTCAACCGCAGTCAAATACTGTATTTCAGTATTATACTCATCAAGGAAAACATTTATGTAGGGAGGCCCTTTCTCAAGTTGATTGTACACAACAGTTTATATTTGCTTACACAACTGCTTATTTGGTTACAAATTAGTATGAATAACCCAAACAAGCAAAAACACCGACCACCTGCACTACTTTTTCAGAAGCCATTGCCTGAGAACTCATTGTTTTATTTTAAGCCTAAAATAGAAAACGATCCCCATAGGTTCGGGCTTTCCTCCCCATCCAGCTGGTGCACGTAACAGTTACTGGTGGCACCCCTGCCCCTTTCACCCACCTTGATTCTGTGCACCTCGTCCACTATCACCGCTTCCCAGTCAACACAGTTCAGCTCCTCCTACAACATGAACAGATCTCCACATCAGCTGCACTTGTGTAAAATACGCAATATAACTCACCATAACCCAATACTTGCGTAAAAAGACACATGTAAGATGATCGTAACTCCCATACTTCAACATAGGCTTACGATAGTCTTAGCGCTAAGATCGCTTTGTGCAAGTGGGCCCTGATGTCTTTACAGATATGTATTTACTGAATGAGGGCATCACATATACATGAACTCAACTGCAGTGAATAATGCACAACAGTGCTATATCTCTAGACTGAACCCAAGGGAGTAAAAGTATGTTGAGTACCCCAAAAAACTGTCAATACCCAATATGACTGACAATGGCTCAAATATTGTCTGGAGCCTTGATGAAACACTATACATTAATGTTAACAAAGCAAACGCCTTCCTTATTCGTTGTTCCTGTTTCAAGAAATAACATGTACGACACACTTGATACATGTAATGTCCCTTGAAGATTCTGCATAATAGTCATCATGAATGTAGAACATACATAAGAGGCCTGTTTTTATTCATTATTTACACTCTAAAATATAGTATTGTACAGTAAATATTATATGTTCTTATTTTTTAATGACAAATTAATGGGTTACTATGGTTACCTCCCATCTTATTAGCCTACTTAGAAGTAATGTTCGTCAACAGACTTGGAAGAACGAAAAAAAAAACCAGTGAGTTCAAACATTTTTCATCGAAATAGTAACCTGCCTGCTAGTCAAATGCCAGTGACTTAAATTGGGCTGATAACATTTCCATAAAGCTGGCCGACTGTCTAGTTGAAAAGCAGTAGTGAATACATTTATATTTCTACGACTCATCATGTCAATTAAGGCGTCATTCAATATCAAAGTCTGTTATCATTTTGTTTTCATTTGAAGTTTATGGGAAACCCACATGAAGCAGTAAACTGGGTTCTTCCGTACATTGATTATGACTGACATACATGTGCATGTGTTATGAAAGATGCATGTGAAAGTCTAAGAACCACCCCAAACTTCAAACAAACGTACAGTACAAATCAGCCAATCAGCTTCGCTGTTGTTTGGCCCCAAAAACATATAAAATACATTCTGGTTAACACAAAATAAGTAGGGCTAGTAACTTATGATGATGGCTTGCAATATTTTTTGTCAGCAAACCCTAATGACCAGTGAACAATGGAACTAATTCATAATCTGCTTTCACGCCTGAACTGACCATATTGTCTCTGAACGTCTCAAACGTTGTCACGACAACCTCCAGTTTTCCTTTCTTCACTTCTGCCAAACATGACTTCTTGTCTGAACCATGAAACTTTCTGGAGATAAAAATTACGTATATCGAAAAACAAGTTTGAATGGATGACTATATCAACGTTCTTCATCAGGATGTCTGGGTGCTGGTAGGGACCAGTCATTTAATATAGGGTGTGGCTGGGTCACCCAAAAATATGAGTCTCAAGGGGAGGGTCATTAAAAATAATACACATATTTGGGGAGGTTCACAAAAAAATGGACACATTTTTTTGCATTTTGTCTTTTCGAGAAGGTTCGTGAAAAAAATGTACAAGGCATAAGGGGGAGGGTCATATGACAAGCATTAGGGGAGAGCTAATAATTTTAGCTAGTGAGTCGTAGACCTCTGACCCATCTACACCTGTCACATAACTGGTCCCTTACGAAACGTGAGTTGAATGAGCTTAATGTTGCTGAATGCGCCAATGAGCTACATTCTAGTCGTATCAAGGAAGATAGAGATATAATCAAGTCTGGACCTGTCAAACCAGTGACTGATAGCATGAGCACTATAGGGTACAATCATATGGAATCGGCAAAGTCTCAAAGCTTGACCACCCACAGCTTCTTTACTATTTCCACAAGTGCGCAGTACTGGCAACCTATTCTGACCGATTGTCCTCACAGGGTTTTTTAAACAACAGGCACTTTAAAATAAAATAAAAACTGATTTAATGTTGTATATTTGTTGTTTAAAACCACAGTCAGCAATATCCCAGCTATATGATGGCAATCTGTAAATAATCGAGTTCGGACCAGTCGATCCAGTGATTGACATCATTAGCATCAATCTACGTAATTGGGATACAATCATATGTATCAACCAAGGTCACCAAGACTGCCCACTCGATGCTGAAGACCAATTCTAATTGCTGCTAGAGTGAATTTTGAAAAGATTTATGACTGGCTTTCTATTTCCTCGATGAATTAATGTTTTGTTTGTATAATCAGAATGGTTCGAGATTGCAGACTACCAGAAAAGCAACCAACTTCACCCTTACATTCTCACAATACTAATGACATGACAGTTGAAATGAAATAGAAATTCAAACTGACATTCAAAGAAAATAATTAAGCTGGGGGAAGAGTATTCATCGTCACTACTGTCGTCACTTGTTTGAGCTCAACTCCATGCATGGTTGTGGCTGCCTGTCAGAGTGGGGAGCTTTGACTGGTGCAGCGATGGTATGGAGAACTCTGCGAAAGGGCTATCACTGTGAGGAGCTTGGCTGTACATAAATTAAGGGGAGATAACCCTTGACTGACCTTGCTGTGAAGTATCCCCATGTGTCCAGTTCGTCCAGCCAGTTGTACAAGACGCTGCCAGGGCCGATGATGAGGAAGGGTTTGTAGTCTATATCAGCGAAGTCCGAGGAATCTGACAACTGTCGTCACAAAATGATTCCCACATACAGAAGATCAAGTGTATCATTGTAATGTGTGAACCAGTGGACTTATATTACTCTTTCAAGCAGCCAACAAATGGGCACAGAAAAAAATATATTCTGTTCTCTTCACCTAAAACAATTCAATTGATGGATATCATTATCAAAGCCACTACTACTTGTACAATGTACATGTTGTATTTCAGGTGCCACTGTGTTCAAATCAGGTGTCATTGTGTTCAAATCAGGTGTCATTGTGTTCAAAACACTGTAAAAAGTTAGTCAAACAGTATAGTGATGCAAAGCAATTTGTAGTGGGGCAAGGGGGCACGGGTGGCCCAGTCGTCTAGGCGCCGCAATTTGCTGTGCAGAGTTGCGTCCCTTGGGCACGCCAGAAACCTATGATTGTGGGTTCGAATCCCGGTTCGCCCCGATTATGTTTCTAGGTTTGTCAGCACCATACCCGTACTTGTGGGTTTCACCGAAGTGGTAAACGTCTGAGACCTGCATCACTTCGGGCTTTCCTCCCACATTAAGCTGGCACGCCGCGATATAACTGGAATACTGTTAAAAGCGGCGTTAAACCCAACTCACTCACTCACTGTAGTGGGGCAATACGCAGATGCATCGGTGGATCACCCTTTTTTCACTTCTCGATACAAGCATCGATCACAATTGCACTCTGAGTAAAAAGTATAAATTCTAACCTTAAACATATTCTTTAATACATGTTACACCAAACACATATTACTAGTGAAAATGAGTAGTAAAAACATAAATATTTTCATCTATCTTGTCTATCAAAAAGCACCAAAGATAAGAGCACATGCAAGTAACGCGATACACGTTGGATCGGGAGCAAAGTATCGTGATATGTATCGGATTGCACAGTTGGTATATTGTCCTAACACTAAATACAATAATTTCTGCCATGACATTTTGTGTCATGAGACATATGGAAACTTTTCATGTATTGCATGTCATATCACAACCATACCACTGCAATTCCATTGTACTGCGACCCTAGAGAATTTTGAGATTCATGTTGTTTTGTGACAAAGTATGCAACTCAAAAGAAGTTACAGAACACCCGAGTCTTTCACAATTAAAAACCCTGACAGTCCTATTTTTTCAAACCTATATATTAAATATTGATTAGAGCGGGACTCATGAATAAATGTTACAATGTTACATGTTTTGGGGGTCATGAAAAATGTTACCAAAAATAATGGGAAGTTGTCAGCAGCATATGATAGTCCGAAGACCAATCCCCTCCCCCCTGCCCATAAAAAATGACCAGTGCCTACCTTCTTTTGAGTAGTATATATTGTTATGGTTGTACCAGTTACCATGGTTACCACATATGTTGTTCTAGTGTACAAAGCTTACCTCTCTGATGAACTTGGGCTTCAGTCTCATGACGTCCACCCTGTTTCCCTGCTTGTGCAGCAAGGCAGCCAGCAGGCCAATCACCTTCACACACACAGGCACACTCATAGACGCAAAATAAGAAAGGCGTTTGTCTTCATCTATTCTGAAGAATCTACCCATGACACACTTAATTGTTAGCTGCATCAATGCAAGTACAGTAGAACATGGATATAAAGAACTACAAGGGACCAGAGAAATCAGTTCGTGATATCCGTTGTTCGTTATACACGTTTTCGCTCAGAAACGTCCGCCATCTTGGATAAAACAAAACACAACACATGTAATTGCAGCATTGAATAACATTAAATTCATAACATTTTCTGAAGATTGTTATCAAATACATGTACAAAATGTAAACATATTTATCATTTTCGATTTACATACGAGATGTGTAGTCTGTGATTTTGCTTTTGCTTCGCCGCTGATTGCATACAGCCAATTGTCAGTGACACTTGACACTGAGTGAGATTTCTCAGTTCGCTATACACGTCACTAATTAGTGATAGATGGGCTTGTCGGTGATCAGATATCAGTTCGCTGTATCCCTTAGTTCGCTGTAGAGAGTTCGTTATATACGTAAAGTTTATATGATATTATATAGGAGATAAATCGGGGATTTTTTAACAGTTCGTTGTATCCGTTTGTTCGCTATATCCGTGTTCATTATATCCATGTTCTACTGTACTGTATAAAATGGGCTATTGGCTGATTATAAAGGCCATACTATCAGGCATAAAGGTGGAGGAGGAATGCCCTAAACCAACCTCTTTTGAAAATATTTTGATTGAATAACCAGAAGCAGCTCCATCTTTACAAAATGTCAAAATCCAGTCAAAACTACTGGCAATATTTCGTTCTTTTTATTTCGTAATGCATTTCACTTTATCATTTCACATATCACTTTTCCATTTTGTGGAATTTGGTGCTCATCAAAATGATTCTGCCCAAATCATAAAGGTTGACATCTCTGTAGAACGTTTCTATGACAACAGGTGAAGTACCTGCACAGTTTTGCCGAGTCCCATGTCGTCCCCGAGAATAGCACCTCGACCCTCTCTGTAATGCGAGTACAGGAACTTGATGCCTACCCGCTGGTAGTCTCGCAGATACTGGTTGATGGTTGCCGGCACCTACAATTATTTATTGAAAATATTACATTCCATTTTATACCAGGACTTTTTTATTTAGCACAGGGTCTGTTTCATATTGGAGAGAAATATCTTGTTTCATTAAAGACGTTTTTACAACTGTAATATCTGTTTTACTTATCATTTCACACAGGAATAAGTATGCATTGAGTGAGTATGGTTTTATGCCACTTTTGGCAATATTTCAGCAAAATCATGGCGGGGACACAAGAAATGGGCTTCACACGATTTTCCTATGAGGGGAATCGAACCCAGGCCTTCTACGCAACGTGTGAATGCTTTAACCACTAGGCTACCTCACCGTCCCTCATAGTAGTGTTTGTGTTGCATCACATTGATGATACTTGCCTTGATCTAATCTGAAGAATCTACCCATGACACACTACACAGCTAGCTGAGTCAACGCAAGTACCATATGTAAAATAACATTCTTTGAAAATATTTTGCAGTGAAACCAGTATACAGAGAGCAACAGACAGACATGACACTGAATAAATCAACAGCCTGTTCCCTGTACGATGATTAAATATTAATTGGAAGAAATATGAATACACTTGGGCTGGCTAATAAGATCGATAATCACAATTATCGTTGATGGGAAGAAAAATTAACGATTATCGATATGAAAATTGTGTCATCAATAATATCCTAGATAAACTATTGTGACGAAATGAAGATTAAGTATACTGAAACAAAGTTGTTATTGTCAATCATGTCCATTACCGAAGACGGAAAGCAACTGTTTTTGTTATATATTAAATGTCCACAAAGTAATCCATGAATAAATGTGTCGCCACTAAATGCTGCATGAAATAAGTTGATTTCTTTCAGACTTCTTTGTATGTTTATTCAAAGTTACATCTCCGAAATTAATCAACATTTAATCAAAATTTAGTTCAATTATTGAACTCTATGATCTACATTGATAGCGAGCCCTAAACTACGAACCTTTAGTAATATTCATAATCCATTATTTTTAACTTATGTTTTGTGACAAAAATACATATCAACACTGAGAAAGTGTCAAGATGTAGACACGATCGATAACAATGCTCAGCCACACTTGTACCGAAGCAATGACTATATGTGCTGAATTATCAGATTAAAGTTTAAGCTAAAATTTGATCTAAATTCTGTTTACAAAAAAACTACATTACACCTTAAATAGTTACATTTGATAAAGGCTGAGAGTATATATATGACTGTCAAGATAAATCTCATCCACATTCAACAGCCACTGTTGTCAGCTGATGTGATAACTAGTCCTCCTGACTGCAGGGATTTGCCCCTTTCCGTAACCTGCAAGAAGACTCGTCCCTCTATCGATGAATGTTATGTGCGAAAATACGACAAACCAATCAGAATGCGTGTATGATTTCAAGTTCTTCGTCAAAGAATCCCTCAGAAATAATTTTAGATTTTACATGTCTTGCATCTAAAAATATACCCAAGACACAGTTAAATGTGTTCAATCATACTGTATAATTCCGCACGTTCCAATGTGCTTTAAATTGCTTCTGAAATATATATAATACATGGGGAAATAATATGTGAACCATTACGCAACGAGTTGACAAATGTTTTAGGTATACCCGTTTGCACTAAGATGGAACCCGGTCGCAAAAATGGCCATGAGAGGGGCACGAGTCGCTATTCGGCTTGTCCCGGAATAACACGAGTTGGTCATGAATGGGATCAGCCCAGGATTCCAAACTACGGTCAGTGCTCTTGGCAGGCAACATGGGAAAAAAAATCTTATTTTGCTCAAATTGTGCAATGATACATGTCACCTGTACAAGGCCATAACATTTCTTATTACATTACTATTTAACATAAATTGGAAAATTTATAATTTCAATTTGGAAATACTTACTGATATTTGCTGCAGGCTTGAAGCCAGAGCTCCAGATAACTTTTTGTGCAATTGAGTTTTTACTCGACGGTTTCTATTTTAATTGGGTATCACATTTTTCATTGGGTAACCAATTTTTTTCATTCATCTATTCATCACTCTATTGGGTTTTTCCAAAAAATGTGATTTAAAAAAAATATGAAATAATGTTTTAGATGTAATATAACGGTTCTAAATATAGGCTTGACTCGGAAAGTAAATTAGCTTGTAAATGTGTTTCTGAAATTAGCTCCGCATTGGGTATTTATGCATGCTGTTTTCAAACAATTTTCAAACAGTTTTCCATTTAATGCATGCGTTTCTGTACACAAGTTAATTGAAAGTAATTGGGTTTTGAATAGTTTCGGGGGGTATTTTACGAAAATACGCAGCTTATCTGTAGCTCTGTGAAGCTGAATATTGGGCTCTGAGCAGGCCAAATAAACCCCTGGATTGAGTTTTAGAATAATTTTAGCTACATCACGGGAGGGACACCAAGTAATGGCCCACATTCAACACATATGGAGATGGAATTCCAGTGTGTGCCAAGCCTATTGAGGCCAAAGTTTGAATCACCTGGCTATTCCACAGGCCTAGTCCTCTATGACCAACAAGGTACCGGTACTTAGGCCCCCATCTACCCTGGGCCCTAATGAGTGAGGGTCATGATATTGTAAGGAGGACACAGTGACTCACCTGGACACAGTGACTAACTAATATTGACTCACAGTGACTCACCTCGATACAGTAACTTACTTATTCACCTATACTCAAACTGACTCACATGGACACAGACTCACCTGGACTCAGTGACTCACCTGGAAACAGTGACTCACATGAACTTACCTGGACACAGTGACCCACCTGGATTCACCTGGACAGTGACCCACCTGGACAGTGACTCACCTGTATGCAGTGACTCACCTGGACTCACCTAGACACTTGACCTCACCTTGGCACAGTGACTCACCTGGACAGCTGGTGTCTTTCCCTGCTCAGACAACAGGAATGGCACTTTACTCACAGTGACTCACCTGTTTACAGTGGCTTACTTATTCACCTGGACTCACAGTAACTCACATGGACACAGACTCACCTGGACTCACAGTGTCTCACCTGTATGCAGTGACTCACCTGGACTGAGTGACTCACCTGTATGCAGTGACTCACCTGGACTCACTGTGACTCACCTGGACAGCTGGTGCCTCCCCATGCTCAGACAACAGGAATGGTACTTTACTAGCCGACTGCGTAAAGGAAAATTTAGGCTTCTCCATATCATCCTCAGTAAACCCTGGTGAAAATAAAACCAAAGTACTTGTATGATATATACAGAATCATTCCCAAAACATGTCAACTCATTGCAACATAAATCACCAATGGAATGGACCCTATTGAGTAAAAATATATTGAATAACCAAACAAAACTATCATAATATTAATAAATTTGTATTTTATCATACCACTTGTTTTGTTGTCGTTGCACAAATCACTATCAAATGTAATGATAGCATGTAAGAAAATACTCAATGGCTAAAAAAGTTATCTGAAACCCTGTGATGGAATGACAACATGCCACAAAGCTCAATTTTTATTTCAAAATTGGTACAGGCAGATCCAAATGTCAAAATATATTCAGCCTCACCTGAGAATGCATCCTCGTCTCGCGTGCTAGTTGTTGTCCTGTTTCTCTTCTCTACACACCTGACATCTGGTCTGAAACATATGGACTTTTTGAGTTTCAAAATGCTGGTATGTTTGTTCAGGAGTAGAACCAATAAGTGATTAAACGTAATGAAGTATGAGTTCTCAAAACACCAGACCTTCTTCCTCCTTGGGAGTGAGCGAGTGAGTGAGTTGGGTTTAACGCCGCTTTAAACAGTATTCCAGTTATATCACGGCGTGTCAGCTTAATGTAGGAGGAAAGCCCGAAGTACTGCAGGTCTCAGACGTTTACCACTTCGGTGAAACCCACGACCACGGGTATGGTGCTGACAAACCTAGAAACATAATCGGGGTGAACCGGGATTCGAACCCACAATCATAGGTTTGTGGCGTGCCCAAGGGACGCAACTCTACACAGTGAATCGTGGCACCTTAGACGACTGGGCCACCCATGCCCCCTCCTCCTTGGAGCGGCAGACACTTATGTCATGTTTATAGATTAATATCTTCAAAATTTATATATGTAAATAAAGCAGAATTGTTTCATAAGACCAGGGAAAGCTGTATCTTATAATATCGAAGCCTTCTAGAGTGTTGGCAGAAACATATCATGAACATAAAGCTACAATAGGGAAGTCATTACAAAAATACGAACTGTCAAAAAAAAGAAGGGAAAATTGGTTACATTTTATCCATGAGGGGTTGCTCTCTTGAAAAAATATATTGACATTTTGAAAACAAATTTTTATTATGTTTAAATATGATCTTGCGATCCTCTTGAGAAAACATCGGATTTTCAGAACTTGTCTGTCCATGGGACCAGTATAAATATACTAAAGTATGTAGAGCTGCAATAAGTATCACTTAAACACAACTGAATGTTTGTCATTTCCTTACTTCTAAAGGTGTGTGTTTAATGTTATTTAATTCAGTAATTAGTGTTTTATAATTTGGACAGTTGAAAATATGCTAGGACCAAAATTTTACATTATTTTACATACTTTTACTTTGTATTGTTTAAACTCAATATTAAGCCATTTTAACCATATTAACATGAAAGTATTTTTCATTCAGCTATTCCTACCCAGCATTTTGATGCTTGGTTGTACTTTTATCTTTCTTCCTTCCTCCGATGGCTACAACGGCTCTCGTCTTGCCATGAGACTTTGTCTTTGAGCCCCTTGCACTCGACAGGCTCATCATCCATTCTGAAACTTTACCCTTTGTTTTAGGTGCATGGGACTGCCGGTCCTCATCACTGTCACTGTCCATCGTGTGGAATTTTCCCCTAGAATAGAAACAGGTGACTTAAGGAGACAGACATACTTACATTATTTTCAAAGTACAGATACATTATCTGTGGAATAATCAGATTTAACAGAAATTAGATAACTATGGTCATTTGAGACATATAAAAGGGACTGTCCATCTTCCCGAGTTACAATCTCATTAAAATCAGATCTAAGTTCTCGCTACCGCTAAACAAAGATCTGAAGACATCCCATTAGGGGTCACGTCAAAACGACCTTTCATCCGACCAATCAGTGCGTCGCTTACCAGATTATGAATGTGATTTCTAATCATGCAATCTCGAAAATTTTGGGGTATTCCGAACGATAGTTACGGGTTTAACGAGTGAATCCTTACAATCTAGACCATCTATTAGCCATTCCAGAATGTTTTTTTGTTCAGGTTTCAAATTTTTAATCGAGAATTTGTCAAAATATGTTTTGAAGCGAAATTGCCAATTTGAAATTTGTTCCGTAAAGCACGAGAAAGCTACCTTCTGATTGGTCATTCCATTGGTCGGTCAACGTTCGCGCAAGGTTGGTCTGAAGAGACCCGTAATGGGATGTCCTCAGATCTTTGTTTAGCGGTAGCGAGAACTAAGATCTGATTTTAATGACATTGCACGAGGCAAGGGAGTTAACTGGCTATTAAAGTCCAGTTTCCACCCTTGCAAAACTAGGCTGAAATTATGGACTCGAAATCAACATCCGGTTCATCAACTGGTGTGCAGATTTCATTTGATAGCAGGATTTGCAGATGTTTACCGGCAACTCGGCGTCAACAGATATGTTTGAAATCTTTTCATGTTTTTAATCAAGCCACTCATGTGTTGTGATGCAAATCGTGAAGTAACCCCTGTTTTATCATAATATAGATTTTGATTATTGATCAGATCGTCTAGAGTCAAGAGTCAAGACTCTTGACTGGGCGCCGCCATTTTGTTTGATGCAAGTGATGTAAGAGGCAGAATCTGATTGGTCAGTAGGAGGGACTTAGAAGGGATACAGCTTGTAACAGCCATTGGTAGCGCTACGATCGAGCCCAGAAATTCCAGCCTAGTTCTGCAAGGGTGGAAACTGGACTTTTACAGTTAGTTAACTCCCTTGCCTCAGGAAGATGGTCATTGTCCTTTTATTGCAAAAACATAAAAACAGCTTGCTTGCTAGCCTGCTAGGTTCAGGAAGTCACTATGAATGCAAGATGATTTGAGTTTTATTGTCATTGAAATGATAATATGCATAAATACTCACTCAAGTCGTAAATATTCCTCGTTGCCAGACAGTGGTTTAAACATACTCTTCTCAAGAGCATCCTCATCTGTAAAGAAGGTGGTATCTCAGCGATGTGTTGACAAGTACTGACACCTTGCTTGACAACGGTATAAGGATCTATACCGAAACGTCGCTTTATACAGTATTAAAGAAGTTGTTATCCATAAAATTGTGTCTACCTCGTCATCCGTCAACTTCTAAGTAATGCCTATCAAACAATTTAACAATAATTCAATGTTCAATGCAAGTGACTCATATCTCTGTATGTCAATGAAACTGTATCAATAATACATTTATATAATGTATTTACTTATGTTATATATTTTTATGTCATTTATGAAATGATTAAACACTTACTTATACAATGCACACTTTTGTTATTTATCAAGTCACATGATGCAATCCAAAACGTCAGATGGTCAAATCGCTTATAATGAAATACAGTTATAACAAACTAAAATTTGCGGTTCAAGGTCAATATAACCATAGTTTACTGTATTATACTTTAAAATGTTTTACCAAAAACTTTTCATAATGATTTTAACTAACTAAAATGTCTTCGTAAGAAGTATCATACATGCAAAATTTCAGCTGCATCAGGCAAGCAGTTATCAGAAAAGAAGATATTTACAACCAAGGTCCCTTGCCCTGCTAGACAATCACAGCAGTGGATGTTTGGGGTTTGAGTGAGTGAGTGAGTGAGTGAGTGGGTGGGTGGGTGGGTGGGTGGGTGGGTGGGTGGGTGGGGTGGGTGGGTGGGTGGGTGGGTGGGTGGGTGGGTGGGTGGGTGGGTGGGTGGGTGGGTGGGTGGGTGGGTGGGTGGGTGAGTGAGTGAGTGAGTGAGTGAGTGAGTGAGTGAGTGAGTGAGTGAGTGAGTGAGTGAGTGAGTGAGTGAGTGAGTGAGTGAGTGAGTGAGTGAGTGAGTGAGTGAGTGAGTGAGTGAGTGAGTGAGTGAGTGAGTGAGTGAGTGAGTGAGTGAGTGAGTGAGTGAGTGAGTGAGTGAGTGAGTGAGTGAGTGAGTGAGTGAGTGAGTGAGTGAGTGAGTGAGTGAGTGAGTGAGTGAGTGAGTGAGTGAGTGAGTGAGTGAGTGAGTGAGTGAGTGAGTGAGTGAGTTGGGTTTAACGCCGCGCTTAACAGTATTCCAGTTATATCACGGCGTGTCAGCTTAATGTGGGAGGAAAGCCCGAAGTGATGCAGGTCTCAGACATTTACCACTTCGGTGAAACCCACGAGCACGGGTATGGTGCTAGAAACCTAGAAACATAATCGAACCAGGATTCGAACCCACAGCGAATCACAGCGCCTTAGACGACTGCACCATCCGTGCCCCCGACAGGCTAAGGGGTAGCTGACACACTCAAACAGACAAAACCTCTCCTAATGTAACTCAAACTGTAGCTGTTTGAGGTCAACATGTTAAAGTTTAATCTTTTGTGAAATTTTTGAAATATGTATTATGTTTGCGACAGAAAAACTGAAATATGATGCCATCATTAGAAGGAACATGTATTTTTAGCTTCACCTGTCCAGCAGCTTTACGGGGGCCAACAATGTCTTTTGTGAGAATTTAAGAGCTTGGTAAACATGGCAAAAGTGTAAAAGGCAAATCAAGGTCAAAATTCAGAGTACCCCCCAAAAACTGGACATATATGTTATGCACCAACTTCTTTACAATTTGTTAAAAGAGAGCCAAGTTATGGGCATTAAAGGGGTTTTTTTTAATATGGCTGCCATGGTGACCAGTTTGAACATAAGACTGGAACCTCTTGATGAACTGATGAACTGATGAACTTCAGGTTTTATCATCAGTGGGAATAAGCATGTGGTCCATGTGTTGTTTGAGGAATAGATGTTTACAGGTGCTGACACAGCTGCTGACCCCCCTGACAGACACTGGACAAGCAGGCCATAATATGTTCACTTGACATTCAGTCAGGTGAGTAAAAAACCAGGGACATGTAGAGTTCAGCAGAAGTTTGTGTTATGTTAGTTGTTTAGTTGTTAGGGGTATAGTGTCATTAACCAGAAGTCTTGTGTATTGTATAGGGCTAGGACGAGTCCAAATTTACAACCTGGGTACCCACCCCTCTATTACCCGACCCTACCCGGGTCCCCCAGAGGTAGGTACAAACTGTCAAGATTGGAAAAAGTCGACCGTAGCTCTGGTAAAATGTGTTTGTATGAAACAATCTGGTGTATACACTGAATTTGACTGAAGTTATATTTTTATTCAAACATATAAAAGTCAGAAGGATTTGGCGTAGTAGACATGAAGAACTGCGAACATTAGTGACTTATAGTTTAAACATAGAGGTTTAGATACTTTTTGTCATTAAACAATATATCATGTGAATAACCAGGGGTCTGGGTAGTCCTGTGGGTACCCGGGTCCTACTTAGTACCCGCCCTACCCGAGTACCTGAGTTACCCGTCCCAGCCCTAGTATTGTACCTCATTTTCAATTGTTAAATTCACTGGAAGTGTGTCATCTGGTGTCTAATGTCCATCGCCCTGATGTGCTAGTCTAGTCTTTCGTCCAGTAACATGTCTTGTCCAAATAATGAATACATAGAACCTAAACACTACAGGACGGACATGGCCAGAAAGTCTGTTAGTCAGAGACTAGTGATGGGTATTGGCCTGACTTTCATATTATTTCAAATTATTTGGAACCAGTACTGCTTCAAGTTTTCCAAAAGATCTTCAGTTCCACAGTCTGTGCCAAATAATTTTGAGGCTACTAGCCTGAACATGGCTCTAAATATCTTTTTCAACAGTGCTATTATATGGACAACTATTAGCTGAGCTTACTCGACCAAAAAGAATTTTACTAGACTCAGGCTTCAGACTTGTCGCAGACTGGTGCCATAGCTCACCTTTTTCTGCAGAATCCACAGTGTTTTTCCTCCATCCAGACTTCTGCTTGGTTGGTTGGAGGCTGGAGATAGGGACTTCTTCATTTTCTTCAGAGTCATACTCATCAAACTTGACCACAGCAAATACCCCCTTTCTGTTTCCAAGGTGAATCTCTTTGATGCATGCTCTGTATAGCTCCCCATCACCAGAATATGGTGCCAGACATTTCTCACCTCGGGCCCAAACTGTTGAAATATGTTTTTAACTTTTATCAGTGAATCTGTAATAATTACACAAAGACTGATGAAGGAGTAAACATACACTCCGAAACCTTGTGTCCCTCATAATAAAGTTGACGTCCATATATTCTCTTCCTTATACACAAAGACTAGACTGTTACTTATTTTAGATATAGATTTATTCTTTTACCTGGAACATACTATTACAGAATAATGTGACTTCGATCCAACATGTAACCATGGTAACATTTATAATGAACATGGACTCACAAACATAATAATCATCATGACATTGATTTACCTTTCTGCTTACTTCTATCATCTCCTTCCTCATCACTGGTGTGGGGCATCGTCACTCTGCTCAAGGTTTAACCCATGTTGCTTCTTCTGCAGTAGCACATAGCCATTGATTGGAAAACATTTTTAAAAAAATCATGTTTGGTTTATACGTCGTGCGTATCTTTCTCTTCATACTTGAAACTTCCGGGTACCCACCTCAGCATGCTCTGAGTGCAGTGTTCGAAATAATCTTAAATCTTAACAAGACAGTCAGGCAGGTGACCCACAATTGTTGCCTGCCCATCTTAAAAGCAGAGTTCCAGATAAGCTTTTGGTAATGTTGGTATTTTACCCATGCATTTTAAAATCATTGGGTATCAGTAATTCTATCTGGGTATTCAAATTTCTGTTACCCACTACTTTTACACATGTGGGTATTTAAGTTAAATATTTAAAAAAACTATTCATCTAGTCCCTGCAAACTGGTGTCGTGTGGGTTCGAGAGCTTTACAGGACTCAAAAATACCACGATTCTTCCACAAGAAAGTGTGATGGCAAATGATCATGATGTAACTGTCATCGTGGAGTTTGGCAAGGTTGACGGAATGCCCGTTTATATTTCAAAATAAGTTGCTGATTTGCTAATCGAATACGCAGGGTTACTTCACAATATTTTGATGATACGCACAAGTTTTATATTTGTAGCATATCTGTAATGTTCGTTGCGTATTTGATACGCTTGGATTTTGTTTTACTGCATATTTCTGCATTTCTGATGCGTATTTTACGCAGATACGCAGCTTATCTGGAGCTCTGTAAAAGTTTACGTATTCAGACATTATAATACTGAATATTGTGAAAAATAAGGGACAAATTGCTTCTTGATTCAACTGAAATAATATAAACAATTACTTAAGAATCTACAAGGAGTTGGCACCACCATTTCTTGCACGTTGTTTTTTAGGAAATTAGAAGTTTGTAACTCATCTGTAAGGAAAACAAGCAAGCTTTTCACTTCAATTTGCCTCTAATAAAAAACATAACTGAAGCCAGTTTACTCTGCACAGCACTTGCATTGTCACCTTCACGGTGCAGAGTTCTATTGTTTTAGTTTGAAAATCAAATCAGGCATGTGACATCACACTCAGAAATCATATCATACATGATTTAAGAACACACAGAACTGTCAATCTATACTGTCCCTTTAAGATGAAAAAGCTTCCTGTTTTGACTTTTGCAGAAATTAATAAGAACTGTGAAAAAATAGTGGCATACATGTAGTGGTATTTAATAAAACTATATTATAAGATGTATATGTCCCTGTTTTCATAACTGTTTCCCATTATCAAAGACGAAGAAAACTACTATCATAACCTGCATGTTGAAATGTTCTGGTGAGGTGAGGTGGAATGGGGTTTAACGTCGCGTCCAAGATTATTGCACTTATATAGCGACGTGCATGCACGTGTGTGTGTGTGTGTGTGTGTGTGGCTGCTTGTACTAGTCCGGACTGATGCCGATTTATAGTGCTAGCCCACTGAGATACCATGCCGCAGTTTAACATGAATACCCCACTCAGACACAGTATACTGACTCCGAGCCGACCAGTCCTTGTTTTAGCCCCTTAATCCCGAGCGCCAGACAGGGTAACAACAAGTACCATATTTTAACGTCTTTTGGTATGACGCGGCCGGGGATCGAACCCCGGGCCTTCCGCTCTCCGGGCGGACGCTCTACCACAAGGCCACTGAGGCGGTCTGAAATGTTCTGGGATTCCACTGTGGAGTATGAGTTTACTCAGTTTTTATGATATTAAATAAATGTTTGATTACTGAATGACAGGGTTAAATTCAGTTTCTCTCATATACATAGATCTAGTTCTTGTTTCTTTATGATGTTTTTTGCCAAGATGAGTTGAGGTGTTTTCACCAATTTCACACCATTTTTTCCAGGAACATATGGATCCATTTAGCCGATACCTATCACCAAAACAAACATAATAATGTTGACTCTTGTTTTCTTGTATTCCTGGATACCCTTGTTTTAGTGTTGGTGTAAAAACTTGGGTAACAGGTTTTCTAAAAACATTAAATCTAAACATAAGCACGAGGATACGTAGGCTAATGGACTATATAAACTTGGCTGAATGTAATATAACAACATGTACTTGCAACTTAAATTCCATTGCGATGGGAAAGACAGGCTAAAATAGCTTTTGGCGATTTGGGGTTAGGCCAATTTGATTGTTTTTCTTCGAAACAGCAATAATGGGGAGGCCAGCTGATACAGTGTAATACAGTGATAGCAGACAGCCGACTGGTCTCAGAGTAACAGACTATGTTGGTCGAATTCATTGAGAATGACATCGCATTTGAATAAGGTTTTTGAAAACCTGGAGCTAGCGTGACCTGTCATGCATCTAAGATTTGCTATATTTGACTTTACATTATCACCTTATCTGATTTCCGTGCGGGTAAAAGTCCATTTTCGAAACCATGCAGAAATTGACAAGCTGGAGCATGGGTTTTTCATTGATACATGGTATGATTATTTATTGTCTATTGTCAAAATCACGCGACAAATACACTATGAAAAATTAGAAAATATATTTTATTACTGTAACTTTCAAGATCACTTCATTAGAACGACCAATGTTTGTCAACAAATTACCCCTCGATAATTATACAGTAACAAACAATAATTACTCCCTATTTTTAATACGTAGAATACCATTGGTGTAAATATCAGAGGTGAACCAATGGAGATCCTCGTATTAACAATCCAAGGCATGTGCTCGAAAATTTAGTTTCCGGTTGTTGATAATGATGGTTGACATTGCTGTAATTTTGTGAACATTTGAATGATCAAAACCACCTTTATTTAATGGTGAGTACGATCAAAAGGTTTGTAATACGTAGTTCATTCACTCGTCTCGCAAATGATGGTTTCTTGGGTCGACTAGGAAGAAATGTATTTAGTTGAAATCCTTTCTTTTGTCACTCAATACGTGTTTCCTTCTCTATCATCGTGGGTTATAAAGTCGGCCAGACGGTAAATTGACTTGAATGACGGTGCATTCTATAGCTTTTCTAATAAAGTTTCTTATCGAGCTCTCTGTAGCTAGTGATTAACACTTTACAAACTTAATAGTAAATGAACAGTTAAGTCTTATTACTCTCATTTCAATATAATTTGTAGGATATCCTCCTTCACAGGACATTTTGTCTGACAGTTGGTTTAATTTCAGTGTAAGTTGATATTTAATGAGACAGCATCCCTGTTGTTTTTAATTTCCAAATCTGGTACACCCATACTTATATCCTTGTGTTATGTGTTTTCAAGCCTCCAAGAAGTACTTCTGATATACGTGTCTAATAACAATCCAAATAAGCATGATAAGCTAAAATTTAGTCTTACCTTTGAGAACATAAAGTACCAAACCAATGAGGAGTTTGACAATAGATGACATCACTCGACTGCAGCAGAAGTTTACAGACAGTCACGCTTTTTATCAAGGATTTTGTTTCTTTTGGAATATAGGTGAAATTGTATTGTTGAAGACATCAACTACTGGTATGAAGCAGAATTTGAGCATGTTGAGATTTGATTCACTCATCCAACGAATATCCTCAATGTCATGTTTTCTGTTCGAAAATAGGGTACATGAGGAGGTAAACATGTTAAAGGTAAAATTTAAATATATTGCCTTTGGCTTAATAATTAGGCTGTTGGTTCAGGCATTTAAGGCTGGGCTAAATTGGAAAATAACTGACAACAACTTTCCTGTCTGTCAACAAATGGTAATCACACAGACTAATGATAGTTTGATAGTCTTGTCTGCATGATGTGACAAAGACACCAAAGGTGTCTTTCTCCCACTTTCATTATTACAATGTTAACCCTTGCAGCCCAATGTACAGATACAAAGCCTATAAAAGTAACATGAATATGCTTGACTTTATATAAAAACTCAAATATTACAACTTATCCTTTGAACATTATGACCATGGGCAAGATTGCTCAAGGCAAATGCTTATTTGTTTCCCAGTGTAGAGAGTATATATTCTGTTTCTTACATACCGTGCATACTATTAATTATCATCCAAAAATATTTCTTATTGACAGTGATAGAAAGCGGCACTGGTCCTGTAGTCCTTGCCAAACTGCCCAATAGTTAAGGTATCATAAGGACTAGTAGTAGAAATTTGCCTTTTTTTAAGAGTTTTGCTATATCTTATCAATATAAGGACTTGTTGATTAAAAATGTTATTGTCTATCGCTGGTTGATCATTTGAACATATTGAAGGTATCATGGATCTAGGGACATAGGGATAGACAACTAGTTTCAGCATAAAGTATATTGTTTTACACGAAATGCTGAAATGAGATGTCAGTTGTTGTTTTTTATATAAGTAAGTTATTTTATCATTGAATACTTATCAGTTGCTAACTTTTTGACATACCATAAATGGTATCCCTTGGATGATCAGTTGTTGGTTGATCTGGAGCATGTGTAGAGACCAGGACTTTGTTTATGACCTGAAAATGTCTTTTCACAGGTGTTGTGGAGCCATACTTATATTGAGTTGGCTAAGGTATCGCAATTTGGTGCCCAAAACCTATGATCCCAGATTTGTCTTGATTGTATTCCTAGGTTTTTCAACACCATACTTGTGCTCGAGGGTTTCAGCAAAGTGATAAATGTCTCAGCCCTGCATCTAAATGATCACTTCGGGCTTTCATACTACGTCCAACGAACATGCTGTGATATGACGGAAATGTTTTTGAGATATTCTTCATGGCATTAAAAACATCCTGTCATGAATGTGCCATCTGTATGAGCCTCCTGAGACCTGAGACCTGTGAAGATCCGGGTTAGAATCGGTCATCAGCAACCCATGCTTGCCGTTAAAGGCGATTTGCTTATCATAAGAGGCGACTTAACGGGATTGGTTGGTCAGGCTCGCTGGCTTGGTTGATGCATGTCAATGTATCCCACTTGGTTAGAACGATGCTCATGATGTCAATCACTGGATTGTATGGTCCAGACTCGATTATTTACAGACTGCCGCCATATGGGTGGAATATTGCTGAGTACGGCATTAAACAACAAGCAAACAAACAAATCTTTCTACCTGATAAAATGACTTTTACACAACAGGTGTTAACTTTCTTATCAATAGTGCTCTAACACTGCACTGACAATGCTTTGGTCATGGTGGTTGTAATATTTTATAAAAATATTCAATGATGCACTGAAAAGTTCCATAAGCTGATGTCAAGTCACAGATTACAAGTTAAAATATCAATAGGCGACATTAATACTTTGCTACACCATTCCAGATTTGGCCTGTTTATAAGATTATATGAAACCTGTATCCACTGATGCAAATTCTCAAAGATACAGTGAGCTACAGAGCCAAGTTTGCTCTCCTTTGCAACAAAACAATCAAGTTCTAACACTGATTTATCTTTATTTCAGAAATAGAATGAGATGAAAAACTCAGAAAATGGCTGACGTAGCAGAGGTGCCGAATTCCGATGGTCGAACTCGAAAGAGTAAAAGGAAGGCTGCAAATAAGGCATTGGAAGAACCTATGGCAGCCAATGATGACAAAGATGAAGACAAAGAAATGGATAAACCGGACTCTCCATCACGATCAACCTCATCTCCAGACCCCAACTGTGCTATCTGTCTCAGCAAGCTGGAGAATAAGTCATTCACTGACAGCTGCTTTCACATGTTCTGCTTTGTGTGTCTCCTGGAGTGGTCCAAAATCAAGGCAGAATGCCCATTGTGCAAACAGCCATTCAAGAGTATTATTCACAATGTCCGCTCTTATGATGACTATGATCAATACCACCTTGAAGTTGACGCGGTAGGGAACCAGTTTTCTTTTGGTAGCCCCAACGGACGCCGTTTTCGTTATCGGACAACATTGACCCAGGATCATGTTTTTGGTTTCCGACCGAGAAGAAATTCTCAGCATCCTGATATCGGAAGCCGTTTACCTACGACGATTACCACCCGTCAAAACTGGCGTCGGCAGAGAGAAGCAGCTACGTCAGAATTCAGGCGACGCGTTTACATCAATGGCATGCGAGTTGTAGGAATCAGAGACTCAAGTGGACGATCTAGGAATATATCACCTGAATTCTTTGCCTCAAACCCTGCCACATCCCATCGCCTTGTGCCCTGGTTGAACAGGGAGTTGAATGCTTTGCTATACAATCATGAGGAACATGTGCAATTTGTTCTGGAATTGATCATGGATCTGATTAAAAGGTTCCCTATTCAGAGTGAAGAATTTTTTCAACACGTGTTTCCATTTATCAGCAGACACACAAGACACTTCATGCATGAATTTGAAAGCTTTGCAAAGTCGCCCTTCTGTATTTCATCCTATGATCAAAAGGCTATCTATGAGCAAAAACCAGAATCAGTATCAGATTCAGATTCAGTTCACTCTGACGGAAATGACAGCGATGTTATGATAGTATCCCCAACTTATTGTCCAACATCCCCGAGCTATGTCCCTAATCCTGCAAGAAGAAGACGTGACCCTGGGGCCGTAAGACTCCACCACCCTCGGTCCGAGATAACTCCGTACTCTGTCAGTCTCCGGGACTTATTGGAGGAAGATGATGACCAAATCACATCCCACTCAGGCTGGGAATCTCCTATTGCTGGTCCTTCTTGGCACTTGACTCCTGACACCAGCAGTGCTCTTGCAATTCCTGGAAGCTCCAGTTCACAGCCAGGACCAAGCTATCAATTTCTTAATAACATAGCCCGAAGGAAGAGGTCAAAGGTTAAGGTGGAAGGTGCTGCTGGAATCAATGTAGATTCGGAGACGAATTTGGTTGAGTCAGATTCGGAGTCAGGTAGTGATGTCGTGTGTACTGGGTATGACAAGCCCTGGCAAGAAAGGACTCCAGTAGTTGTTTCAACAGATACAGAAGAAGAAAATATGATAGAAAAGGCTGAGAAAATTAAGAGAAAGAAAGCCCAATCCAAGCGACAAGAAGACTCCAAGAAAAGTAGAAGGAGGTCAAGAAGTCCATCTCATTCACAATCACGGAGAAGAAGAAGGTCAAGGTCATCGTCATCCCGATCTAACCACAGGCGAAGTAGATCTCATTCGGCGTCAAGACATCGACGTAGGCGAAGATCAACATCTTCCCGTTATCGCAGTCGGTCAAGGTCAGGGTCAAGGCATCAGCGATATAGGTCTCCTTCACCATCCTCTAGGTCAAGATACAAAAGAAGGAATAGATCCAGATCTCTTGTTTACGAGGATGCATTTGGCTTCTCAAGACGCACAGCACGTTCTCCAGAAACAAACAGTGTGATACATTCAGACGCTAGAAGGAAGAAGAAAAGGGACCGCCACAGAAACTCAAGGTACAGTGACTCCTCTTCTAGGTCAAGGTCGAAATCCTCTGAGAAATACCACAGAAGTAGACATAATAAATCAAAAAGTTCTAGACGACATCGAGGATCAAGAAGTTCTAGTGTTGAAGTCTTAACAAGCAAACATAAACACAAGAAACATCATAAGAAGCACAAAAGAAGCCGGGACACAGATAAAGAGAAGAGTGGTTCTAATAATGTCCAGTATAAAATAGTTAAGGATAAATGTGATGGAAAATCATCCAAAGACCCTCTCTTGTCCATCACCATCAAACGAGATAAGTCCGAAGATACACCTGTGGTGTCCAGCACTGTTGATGCTGCTCCAGTTGTTTATCCTGAGATAGATATCCCTGAGAATTTAGTTATCAGAACAGAGCCAGTTAGTCCTCAGCGTACAACTGAAGCATCAAATGAGACAGTCACACAGACAAGTGAAGAGAGCACAAGCTCCACACAGCAGATCCCCGTTAGTACAAGCTCCACACTACAGTCACACAACCAAACCAGTTCATCTACTCTGCAGAAACCAGCAACCCCTAAAGAAGGCTCTGACAGAAAGAAGGAAGATTCGGACTCCTCTGATGACTGTGTGGAAGTTAAGAGAAAGTCATTCAAGAAACATCCATCTGGACACAAGAAAAGCAGGAGGCAGTTACCACGGCTTCCTGACCCTTCCACAAGCACCGTGACCAGTAGTACATGTGTATCCCAAGTTTCTGACCAGAGGATCCCAGTACTGGATGCAATGGCTCATTTGTTCCAAGGATTGAGTAACCAAGGGCTTTCTCAGACTCCACAATCTGATTTCAGAGCAGTTATCCCTGGGATGATGTCAAATTTATTTGATACCAGTCTAATGTATGGCTATCCCGCTGCTGATTGGTCCAGCTTGTCAAACTTCTTACCAAGACTTCCTGCTCAAGTGACCTCATTGGACCACCCAGTGATGGTGAGTTCCAGTGATGATAGTGATGTTGTCGTAGAATCTGTAGATAACAGCTCCAGACAAGCAGTGTCATCCAGCAGCAATTCTGTCCGAGACCGAGGACTCCAGGACCTGATGAGAGTCAACTTCATGGACAGGATTCCTGTTCTCTGTGATGAGATACATAGTCATAAGAGTATTGAAGTCCAAGAGGAAATCAGTGTTGTGAATTCGGATAGTGATACCATCATCGAGGAGGCTAGTTCTACTGGAAGACCAACAGCCTCCGATGCTGTAATGGAGGTCATTGACAGTGATGACGAACCTCAGGACCTCTCAACACCAGAGAGGACACAAATGACCTCCAAGAAGGATGAGTCCAAAGACACAGATGGTGTCAGCAAAGACCTTCCTTGTGAGACCGGGGACACTTCACAACCAGAATTAATTTCAGCTGTTATGCCAGACGCACTACATGATTCACAAGATTTACATCCGAATCATCCGTGCTCCGTGAATGCAAGTTCCTCAACAGCCAACACTTCTGATCCTGACACTGACAAGAATGAGATGATTACTGGGGATTCTTGTGCATCAAAAATTTCCGATAACTCCATAAAGAATAGTAACAGCAGCAATGAAAATATAAGCCAGAATCCATCCACCTCTGGAGAAGAATCCATTGATGTAGGAGTTGAATGGGGCCATTCATCTGACCCAGTTCCAGTAAATAATAGAAACGGAACTGCAACCGACCACAGGTCTGAAGAATCTATGGACATTGATGTAGTTGGAGATTCTGATGCTGGAATGAGAAATGACATCGCTTTTGTTAGTTCCAGAGATGCTGGGTCAGATGAAAATGGTTCAGAACAGCCTGTTGCTAGTGAACAGATGCACCTGATGTCTCCGTTAGTGAACAGTGGACAACCCAATGCTGACAGTACTAGGCCCATGGCAGAAGCCTGTGTCAGCAATTCTGCAAATCAGCCTTACCCACTTCTTGCTAGTGTAAGTAATAATGTAACCTCACATTTGCCTAAGAATTCTCCCCAACAAGACAATGGGGAACTGTCATCTGATAGCATGTCATCGCATTTTGTGGAAGCTGAAAGTAACATTGAAATCAGTTCCGCTGGTGAAGGAACCAGTGCAAGGTGTGACTATTCTCTTGACGACGGCGAGGTTGTCTCATCTGAAAATGGTGACTCGCAACCAGCTCCTATACTACAAATGATTGAAGGTGTGAGTGAAATTTCCTCGGATGAAGAGGAGGCACTTGTCCAGAAACATCCCCAAGTCATTGCAGATGCTAGTGATATATCTTCAGAGGAGAGTGATTTCGGGGAGGTCCCTCAACCAACTCCTAGTTCTGTATCAGGATCTTCTAAACTTAATCCTCAAGTTATTGGGGACAATACAGACTCTTCTGATGAGGGCGAAATTTCTTCCGATGATGACGTCCAACCTCAAGAGATAGAGGATCTCAGCAATGTGTCTTCAGAGTCTGATGACAGCAGCAGCAGACATGCTTCAGAAAGTTATAGAATATCCCAGTTTCAGTCAAATCAGGCACGACACTCTTCAACCGTTGTTAAAGCTTCATCAACAGCAAGCATGTCAAGGGGGTTGGATGAGACCTCAGTGAGACCAGCTGTGGACTCAAGACTTAAAAATAGTGATAATGACGATAGTAGTTCGGGAGAACTAAGTGATAATAGTGATGATGAGCAGGTTTATGATGATATTTCCTCCTCAGAGAACTTTGACTCACCAGCAAGTCCTAACAGACAGGTTGATCAACCTTTAGTGACAAGAGACTTAGAAGAGTCACTGAGTGAAGGAGAAATAGTATCAGACTGAATGAATGTGTTGATTGATCTTATGTCTTTCCTCACTCACATGCACTACATTGTCTTGTAGATCATTCTTGGATTAGTGTGCATTTATATATTTGAACCGATGAGGATCTTACAGGTGACCCTGTACATCATGTACATAAGATTTTATATTTATGGATATAGCAGTCATAGAGTTAGGACTGTTTTAGCTTCTATACTTAGCATCTTCCCGAGGCAAGTGAGTTAACTGACTATAAATGTCCAGTTTCCACCCTTGCCGAACTAGGCTGGTATTATGAAGTTAGAATTTGGCTGGACTAACGAGTCTATGCATAGTCCAATCAAAATCTCGCAACGAAATCAAAATCCAGTTTGTAAACTGACGCGCAGATTTCGGCTGATTGCAAGATTTGCAAAGCATGTGCACCGCCAACTCGTCAATAGATATTTTCCAAACACTTTCATGTTTTTAATAAAGGTGCTCGCGATGTAAGACCCGTTTTATCACAACATAGATCTTGATTATCGATCAGATTGTCTTAACTGGGCGCCACCGTTTTTTTTTTAAACAAATGCAAGTGATGGAATCTGATTGGTCCATAAGAGAGGCTTAGAAGGGACATAACTCTTAATAACCACTGGTGGCGCCATGATCTAGTCCAGGAATTCCAGCCAAGTTCGGCAAGGGTGGAAACTGGACTTTTGAAGTCAGTTAACTCTCCTGCCTAGGGAAGATGATAATTAGTAGCAGTGTGGTCATATTGTGAAGTGGGGGCCCAGCATGCAGAAATAAGTGTGATCTTGAGTAAACTAATTTCTGTCCGGTGTGGTTGATTCACTTATTGCAAGTGTTGGATACATAGGTAGAGGGATGGAGAGTAGCTGGCATACAACAAACATCACTGATCCATTGGGCAATATTAGGCTGGAAACCAAGGGGTCTTTGTCATAGCAATAGAGATTTAGGGAGTCCCCAGATGTAAAGGATAGCAGCAAATCTCAATGACCCGAGGGCACCCTTCAGCTTGAACATTGCTGATCACTACTGGTTAATCAAACACTTTCTGTGACACATTTGGGCTTGCATGGCTTTATTCCCACATTCTGCTGACACTGTTTATAACTGAAATACTGTTCAAAGACATTAATCTTGCAAACTCACTCAGCTACAAAAGGCGACTATGCTTGTCGTAAGAGGTGACTAACGGGATCGTTGTTAAACAACAAACAAACCAAACTCACTCAGCTACAGTTGGTAAAAGAGATTCCTAGAGGTTTTACTAATCCAGCTGTTGATGATTTCCCACTGGAAGAAAACCATTGGCATCACAAGTCAGTTATTATATTTATTATTATTTATTCATCCTGTTCAGTGAGGCAGTCCAGATTGTATATGTATAACCAAGAATAATTTGTATTGTACTGAGATAGGAATGATCATAATCGCTAGAGAGAATCTGTCCAATTCGGACTCGGTTGGGACTCATAAGAAAGTCTGGTTTACGACAAGGTACAGATTACACAGAGGTGCAGTTAGGAGTCAAAAATTCAATTTTCACACTGCGCAATATGATGTTTGGATGAGATGGAGTGTTATCTATAAACAGAAGAATTTCCCTTCTCTTTCTATGCATTGTTAGGTCAATCTCAAATAAGTGTCTCGGTAACTGGGAGCGATTGATAATGACCAGCTGTTACAGTTATTTATTGACACTGAGTTAATCTGATTAAGCTGAGTTTCTCATTAACCAGTGAAAAAGTTATAATTAACTAAGTGGACAAAGTGTTCAGATCAATTTGTTTTCATGCAGGATTAGCGTTGTTGTTTTAGCTGACAATTTATACAGCTTTTTTTCAATAATAAATTATTTGTTGGGACTGTAATTCTAGTCCAAAGTCAAAAGTGTAAAAAGTCTGAATTAGAGAGTTGTACATGTAGGTCAGTTTGAGTAATGATAATTTATTCGAGAACTGAGGGGACTGCAGAAAAAGTCCAGTTTCCACGGAAATCCGAATTTAGCAGAGTCTGATTTGGACAGATTCCACTGTATCAGGGAGATGTGATGTTTGTTGCCTGGAACACCACATCTTGACTCCACTTTGTGTAGAGTCCCTGGATCGTTGATGGGGTTAAGCCCAATGAAATGGCGTTCAGCATTCTTGTCATCAGGGGGTGGACTAATGATCTAAGGCGCAGCAGCTTGTAGTTCAGAGTTGTGTCCCATGGCGATGCCAGGATCAGCTGTCATGGGTTTGAATGTTCACTTATTATGATAATTGGTCTGCCAGCAACCTACTGTGATCGTGAATTTTACTTCTATCCTTGTGGTACCGGTAAATGTCTTTGAGCTGCATGTCTTACTTTGGGATTGTTATGATATTTTAGCTCATGTTTTACAATCTAGATCTGGCATTAACGAAATATCTTATAACAGGTCCAAACTTTGGAGTGAGTCTACTCACCCAGACATGTCTCTTGACATCATTTTCCGTACCGGCAGATCTCAGTATTATTAATTATTAATGTATGGAATTTTATTTGCAAAGCTTACAAGACCGAAGGAATGTTTTCTAGACTCTGGCTATGGACAAGTGGCTAAAGTTACAGACTGCAGGGTACTAATTATGCTTAGATCTACTCTGGAATAGGGCACCAGACCAGGATCTGCTTGCAATAAGCCATCTTAACACAGACAGGATTGAACTTCCATACCTTAACATAGACTTACAGTAGTCTTAATGCTAACATTGCTTTGTGCAAGTGGGCCCAGCTTTCTTTTTATCAAATGTAACAATAGTTAGGAGATAACATTGCATGTTTTCAGATGTGCAGGTGTTACTGGGTATTTGATGCCATGAAATTTGAACATTTGAAACCGCCAGCTGACACCAATGTTTCACTGACATTATAAAATACAAATTACATGAGGAGTTTTAAACACAACATACAGCACTTTGGGGAATCTTTATCTGGTTGATTGAAATTCAACATAAATTTTGAGTTGCAGCCAAGTAGTGTTTGAACAATGAAATAAGACTGTCAGTTTGACAAGTATTGTATTGGTGCAGAGGTATGTGTAATGAGTTCCATGTTTCGTGCTTTTGTCACACCAATTATTGTTTAAATGTTCGCAATATGAATTATTTTGAAAACCCTGGTGCTTAGTATATAGTACTGTTTGCTGATTACTTCCCCTCCACCCTGGGTGAGTGAGTGAGTTTTGCGGGGTTTTAGCAATAGTCAAGCAATAGCACGGCGGGGGACACCAGAAATGGGCTTCACACATTGTACCAATATCGGGAATCGAACCTGGGTCTTCAGCGTGACGAGCTAACGCTGTAACCGCTAGACCACCTTACCGCCCCTTACTCTGGATGAGACAATAGGAAACATGTCATACCTGAAGGCTAGCTATGAGTAGTGAACATACAGGTTGGTTTTAGCAACAACTGCATGGTATACCTTAACTGATTACGTATGTCTACATACTCTGAAAGCTTAGTTTTGTTTATAGTTTTGTTTATAGTTTTATTAGCGCCATACTCATAATAAAGTGAAACATCTAAGACTTTTGGCTTTCCTCACACAAAGCTGACCCATCGTGATAGAACTGAAAGTCTCTTCAAAGCAGACTTAAGCCCAACTTGCTCTCTCCGAGGCTCAAGATTCTGTTGTCCCCATCACCGATTATATCTGGGGGCACATTAGGTTTAAGGTGTCTCAATTTGCTATGCAGAGTTGGTTCCCTTAGGAGCCAGGACCTGCTGGTTTGCATAAGTTTGAATGACAGTCTTGTCCTTGACCTATCAGTAGAATATCCATGTTTGACCAATGTAGTAAACATCTCAACCTGTGTCCCTTTTGCCTTGCCTCCCACATTAACATGGTAGGACATACTTTATTTCACCGTAATACTACTCGGCACTTTCAAAATTTACAAGGTAGGGTAGGCGCTTATACAAGGTTGGGGGCACTCTTGGACTTGTGGGCAGGCAGGTATTTTTAACACTGATAAAGTGCAGCATGTTTAGTATATTTACAGTAACATCATGTATAGGTAATGCCTTCTGAAGTTCTGGAAAAGCTTTTTTTTCTTCTATTCAAAGGAAGACTGAAGTGACCGGGGACCATGGAGGCAATGCATTATTTATTTTTGATTCCACATAAAACCAACATGCAGAGATATAACTGAAATAGTGTTCATAACTGTTAACTGTTAAACCCAACTCACTCACTCACTCATTCATGAATGCAAGCAGGAACCTTCTGCCATCAGAATTTCATTCTCAATGGACGATTATCCAGTGTAAATATCTCTGGACACATTTGCCACTGTAGCTTTGTTTGGAGTCTTGTTCAGATGAAACAATGCTAAAAATAGCCATCCAATCAAATTATTTGTTCTTTCGCGATTGCAACTAGCAGTGATGTTACCAGTTCTGGACTCGCATTGTTGCATACTGTCTCAAATACAACAGGGAACCCTTTGAAGCATAAGAGCTTCCCTCCTCTATCGGACTCAAATGAGATCATTGTTGTCTATCTTTAAGATCATTTATTAGTCTTCCAATTTGTGGGGCCGTCGGGTAGCCTAGTGGTTCGCTCGTCACGCCGAAGACCTGGGTTTGATTCCTAACATGGGTTCAATGTGTGGAGCCCATTTCTGGTGTCCCCCGCCTTGATATTGCTGGAATATTGCTAAAAGTGACGTAAAACCATACTCACTCACTCACTCTTCCGATTTGTTTTAATGTATCAAGGGTTTGCTCGTGTGAGCTATGAGTAATAGATCTATGCCAAACTCTCATTTAGAAGAATCTGTTTTGATCGATTGTTGACTTTAAGCGCAGGTGTAATAGGTTGGTGGCAAGTAAGATGGAGCTGGTGACATCGATTCTGAAACTTATCTTTGGTGGCGAATTGGTCCTGGGTGTTGTCAAAATAGAATGGCGAGATACATTGAATAATCAAGAGTGTTAATATGTTTGTAACAAATATATTTGTTCACCACTTCCCACAATAGGTATAAACCATTTCACTTTCAAGACGCAGGCCCCAATGATGACGTGCATGTACATTATTTTGCTTTTTGGGCATTTTTTAGTACCTCAAACATGCTTTATATGTTTTATTTTATTTTGAGTATAGAATAACCTTGCAATTTAGTTGATACCATGGTTACCAAAATGTGTTTGTTTTTGGGCTTGTACAGCTGTTATGTAAATGTAATACTTGTACATATGTGTATATTCAGAATTATTGTTGTAATGTTAATCAGGGATGATCCTCTTGACCATGTTAATCAACAATACCAAAAATGTCAAATAAAATCCAGTGATATGAATGGAAGGATTGATATGTTGTTACTCGCAAGGCCTCATGGTGCACTTCAGGCAAACGCAAGACAGAACTCAAGGCCACGACTTTCTTCAGGCAAACGTAAGACAGAACTCAAGGCCACGACTTTCTTCAGGCAAACGCAAGACAGAACACAAGGCCACGACTTTCTTCAGGCATACGCAAGATGGAACGAATTGTTTGATAGGCATTACTTAGAAGCAAGACAGAACACAAGGCCACGACTTTCTTCAGGCAAATGCAAGATGGAACAAATTGTTTGATAGGCATTACTTAGAAGCAAGACAGAACACTAGGCCACGACTTTTTTAGGCAAATGCAAGATAGAATATTGAATATATTTCAAGTATGATTTTAACATGTTTAAGGGTGAATTCAGTTTGTTATAAAACTTTCTAGTCTACTTTTCAATAGATTTTATTGTTGATACGCTGACTTTTATTAACTGAGCTTATAAGACCAGTCTTTGGACTATTGAAATGACCTACACAGCCGATCAAAGGGAGATAAGTTTGACCTTATGGGTTATCTTTTTACTATGAAGAATCTGTATTGGACACTGATGTAAAAGTTGTGGATCACTTTTTATTTCCAGTGTTTACTTTAAGTTTATATATAACAGCACCTCAGAGGGAGGAAAGCCCAAAGTGACATAAGTCACCGACATTCACCATTTTAATGAAACCAACAAGATGGATATGGTGTTCTATTTTTAACCCATGATCACCTTACCCTGGTGTGGATAATGGACTACTATTACAGCGAGTGACAGACTTTGGTTTAACGCCGCCGTATTTCATTTACATCACTGCGTGTCTGCTTGATGGGGAGGAAAGCTTAAAGGGATACAGTTCTTGAACTTTAACCACTTTGGTAAAACTCACATGCATTGTAATGCTGACAAATGAATCATTATCAGAGTGAATCAAGGATTTGAACCTACTATCTCTGCTGACCAGGGGCCCGTTCCACAAAGCGATCTTAGCGCTACGATTGCCGTAGGTCAGTGTTAAAGAATGGGAGTTACGATCAACTTAGAGCTAAGATCACTTTGTGGAACGGGGCCCAGTGTTCAGGCTCACCCAAGGGACACAACTCTGCACAGTGAATTACATTGCCATAGACGACCGGAACACCTGTTGTCCTTGCATCAAAGAAAACAACAAACATCATAGCACTTGCAGATTTAATTGATGAAATACATGACAAACAAGTTGTGTAACCATGAGGAATGTAGACACACTGCTTATTAGTCTGACAGAAGGACAGCTTCCTTCAATCTCGATGTCATTTCCAGGACTTGTCACATAGGCTGCGAACATAATCTTACACTAGTTGTCGCAAACATGTCATAGCAACCAGTACAATATCTCAAACTTCATTCTTTCACATTTTCCCCCTAAATCTTACCTAGTTCTTGTTACCATATTTGCTTCACACTAATGTCATAACAAAATTACAATACAATTTATTGTGTATAATAGTGTTCGAAAAGTCATTCTAGTAAAACATGGCACAGTCCTCTTATCAGTGAGATTGGGCTGTTTATGTTGTTTTACTTGGTTTAGAGGTCTACGGAATTAACAATCAGGAAAGAGTAAAAAAACATTCTATTAAACTTTATGTGGTAACCAACACCAAGCTTGATAATCTCACTTATGAACAAAAACATCACAGTTCTGAGAAAAGTGCTACATGTTATATCACCTGTTCATAACTATCCACTCACCATAACTCCAAACAGTCTGAACTCGAAAAAATTGTTAACATTCCTCTCAAATTTGACAAAACTAAATTTATTTATATTTCATAAACGACCAAAGGCTTTGAGAAAATATATCATTGAACAAATGTGTTAATACAAGATGTGCCACTCATAAGCAACATGATAACCTATTTCAGTAACAAATTTCCTGTGCCAAATGTATTTAGAAAAATCTTGGAACCTGCTTATGTTGTGAGGATGGACCAATAAATATATTGAGGTAAACCTATTCCGAGATACAGAAATTACCGGAAATATTAAGAGGTAAAATGCTGTTATAACTGGGTTCAGTTTGAGAAAAATGCTTGACAAAGTACGTATGCCTATGTTGTACCTTGAGGAGTGATTGAAACATATATATGACCTCTTGACATATATGCTGATGGTCAAAAGTCTAGCAACCATGAATACTTAAATAGCTGTATTGAAAGTGACATAAAACATACACAAAGTAAATCAATGCCCCATACAACATTTCATTAACGGTAAATAACATCCCACATATATAATCAATTCTAGTCGTGATATTTTACAGTTAACTTGGAAAAGCACTGATCATGACATCATTGAAACCTCAATTTTATAACATCTGATCTTAATTCAATGAAATGGAGTCAATGAATCTATCAATGCTATTTTAACATTATCTTCAGAAAAGTCATTGTCATAACAATGATAACATGCATCATTCTAATATTTCATTTATATATCACATATTTATACTATTCAGTAACATCTCTGTTCCTCGGTCCTTTCATCCACCAACTAATGCTACTGATCCTTAAAATCAGTCACATACCTTATAATGTTTATTGCAATCTTATTGAAAACTGCTGGCAGAATTTATTAACTTGATTAACTTGTTAAAGTGTTATATATGTTATATACGTCACATACTGCACATATATATTTTCAATATTTTCAAAACAATATCAAATTACTACAAACTGAAAAATTCTAAAAAGCATTCAGCACAATCTTTAAATTAAGGTTACGATTGATGTTTTGATTGCTGACAATTTCTGATTATATATACGACAAAATGAAACAAATCATCCTTGACCTTTGTAATACTTAAACAGTACTCGAAATAAATCAGACATGTAAGTGTAGCAAACAGGATGGATCAACTACTCAACACAAATAAATACAAGAGGATCTGTGTGTGTCCGTCTCTTGTGGCCAACAACAAGTATATACATCAAACTGCTGTCCACGGAATAGCCAATTCACCAACTAACAAAGACGGCATCAAACAGTTACATCATTTCATGTCACACATAATATACCGGTATCCATGACAAAAGTCATAGAGCTTCTCTTATCAGAAAATCCTCTCCATACTCCAACACTATATCCTAATAGCTTCCTTAATGACAGCTATAGATCTGCCAATCCACATTGCAATGAATGTGTTATTATTTGGACCACCATTCCTACAACTAAAAACGAAATAAGCTATACTGACACACAATGAAAACACATAATCTTAAACACATCGAGTGGGATTCCAACCCAACGAAGACAATTTTGTGTTTGAATACCTCATGCCTAAATACACTGAACAATCTAATTTGATTATTGTTGCCATTTTGCCAAATAACATAAAAAAAACCCATGGATATGTGTTTTCAAAGTGTTTCAGTTTAGGTTATTTCAAAACAAATAATTCTTTCTCCTTAAACAATAAAATTTACATTTTCTTACATAAACAAATATATAAATAGTTTCATACACTTAAAGTACATATAGTTCTCTGTCAGTATAATTAAAATCATCCACGTTGTATCGTACAAAAATGATCTCCATTTTGTTCTGAGCTACAATCCCTCTGTGTGACATACAAGGACCGAACGTAGGGGCTTGTTTCAACGATGAGCTTATAGTCTGACTGTACATGGATTCCTAGGATGCCAGACAATGAGAAGCAGCTTCTCACTGGGTGCGCAGCTGGTAGTCTCCGTTCTGTGTGATGTAGCGCACCCATGGCAGCGCTTGATACCCGCTCTTCTCAATGATCTTTAGGTAGCGAACCTGCAACAAGTACACAATCCAGCTGAACACAGGACACAGAACACTACCAGTTTCACTACATTTGACTTGTTTTGAGGTCAGGCTTCACAGGCAAGGATGAATGAAAATGGTTTAGCGTCACATTAATAATCTAGGAAGATCACAATTACACTTATACTATTCTTCATAGATTGAAGTTTGTACCAGTGTGGGAAAGTCAAACTTGAGAATTCATTGTAATGAACTATGTCAGTCGTAAATCTTTTCCCAATTCATTATAATGGCATTCTAAAAGACATACACACAAAAATAAGTCACTACAGTTGGGGCAAGAGGAAATATTTTCAATATTGTTGTAATGGCTACATGCACACCGCTGCAGCAATGATACTGATAACGAAGGTCTCTTGCTGGGAAGGAGCATGCCGTTTCAGTGTTGAAGGACAAGAATCGGACACATGATAAGAGGATCTGTCACCTCTAGGACTATAGTTCAGATGTATCCAAGTCCTGATGAAAGCTGTGAGTGTGGGAAAAGGCTAGCCCATCTTCATCTTAGGCGGAGGTTTATGATGTTGGAAGTCAAGACACTGAACTTACCTGAATTCCTGATACAGTGAAGTAAGGAATCTCGAACTTGACATTGATTGGAGGCCGACCCTCAAGGTCCTCACTCATCACGCTGGGCAGACCAAAGTGGGCTCGCATCAAATACTCCTTCCCTCCCTGGAAGAAAGGTTATTGCTACAGTGTTTTAACAGTACGGAACTGTAGGAACTCAATCTGACTGAAAACTTGAATTACGTTACAGCCAACAATATTCCAACCCTATCCCAGGGGCATGTTGGTTGGTTGGTTTGTAGTTTAACGCAGCACTCAGCAATATTCCAGCTATATGACGACGGTCTGTAAATAATCGAGTCTGGACCAGACAATCCAGTGATTGACATCATGAGCATCGATCCACGCAATTGGGATCGATGACATGCATCAACCAAGTCAGCGAGCCTGACCACCCGATCCTGTTAGTCACCTTTTACGACAAGCAAAGTTGCCTTTTAGGGCAAGCATGGGTTGCTGAAGACCTATTCTACCCCGGATCTTCACGGGTCCCCAGGGGCATGTAAATAATCGAGACTGGGTAATACAAACCAGTGATTGATATTATCGACAACAGGGTATGATGATACACAGAACTTGATTTAAGGAACTTGACTTGACTTGCACCAGATGCATGTTGACATGAAAACCAAGTTGCACCCTAGTTCCATAAATTTATCAAAGATGAAGCAGAGGCCGGTCTGCTGCCAGTGTCACATAAATTTATGACGCATTGCTTTAAAACGTAATACTGTGCACATAATCTTGAAGTACCCACAGTTTGATGACGTCAAGCCCAAAGTATGCCAACTAACACGTAAGACAGGGATTAGTGATGTAGTATGGTAAATAAACTTTAGCGGCATTGAGTGTGTTCATAGGTCGGTTTTGAGTGGACAGGTAAGGGTCAGTCAGACGCAAAATTCGAAACCTTTTGATGTCCACTTGGTGCCATCTTCCAGAGGCAAGGGAGTTAACTGACTATTAAAGTCCAGTTTCCACCCTTGCCGAACTAGGCTGGTATTATGGAGTTACATTTTGGCTGGACTAACGACTATATGCATAGTCCAATCAAAATCGCGCACCGAAATCAAAATCCGGTTCGTAAACTGTCGTGCAGATTTCAGTTGATAGCAGGATTTAAAGAGCATGTACACCGCCAACTCGTTTTCAGCAGATATTTTCCAAATCTTTTTATGTTTTTAATCAAGGTGCTCACAAGATTTGATGCATTTCGCGATGTAAGACACAATTTATCACAATATAGATCTTGATGATCGATCAGATCGTCCTGACTCGGCGCCACCATTTTGTGTGAAGCAAAAAAACGCAAGTGATACGAGAGGTGGAATCTGATTGGTTGGGCGAAACCGCATTATCGGTGGTTCGAGAAGGGAGCTAACTCCGTTTGCCTAATCGAAAGTTCGAGGTGGGCCAACATTCGAAAGTAAACGCACTTGTTGTTGGAATATATACTACGTAAACAAACCCGCATAACGAACTCATAATTTGTCTATTTAAAATAAGTATTATGACTTATAATTGGATTAAAATGTACAAATAAGATGGCAATACAGCACTTCTACGAACCTCGCCAAACTAGGTCGTGGGGTCATTAATATTCATGAGTTATTCCTTTTATGGAACAAGTTCTCGGAAACGTCTGAGGCTTGTATCATGTCCGAGATCAATTCAAGTGTAGACATATGTTCAGGCTTATATCGCCACCAACACTTATGATTAGATTGATGTGTTATATTGGAAAAAGTAGAATGAGTGGTATTGCCTCTGTAAATTTAATTTGAAGTAGATTTAAGTTTCTTGCTTGGTAGCTATTTTTGTAAAACTAGTGTGGTCAGCTATGACGCAGTTATTCAAACTTCAAAGACTTTTGTGCCTTTTATGGAATTAATGTCACACGAAATGATTTATAAAGATATTTCCCATCAATATTACAAAATATGAATAATATAAAATGTCACATAATGACAAACGTGAGCCCAATAGCCTAAATGACTTCGTCAACCTAATGAAACCCAGAGATTTAAAAATGTGGGCCCACCTGTTTCGATCACTATAAGACGGGAACAATGTGGGCCCACATTTTAGAAAATGGTTATAAGTAAGCCAGGCTAATGAAGCTAGCAATTTTTTAATGTGGTCCCTCCTTTTGCAATCACTATGACGGAAGAACGTCTACCCACTAGGCGATATACAAATGTGGGCCCACTTGTTTCGATCACCATATATGACGGGAACAATGTGAGAAAGTGATTATCAATATTTAAATAGAATTTTGCGATTAATAAATGTGGTCCCTCCTGTTGCAATCAATATGACAGAAGAACGTCTGCCCACATTTAGGGATTGATTATCAGAACTAATGAAACAACCTAACAAAGCTAGGCGAAATACAAATGTGGGCCCACTTGTTTCGATCACCATAGATGACGGGAAAGGTGTGGGCCCACATGTTAGAAAATGGTTATCACCACTAAACCAATCTTAGAAGATGTACCAATGGAAACATAAATATATAATGCATTCAAACATTTAATTACCTTACGTTTTACCTCAGGGATAAGCTGGGCATTTAATAGCTGGACCAACAACGTGCAGCGTGGGTGACGCCATTTCTCGCAAATACGAAAACAACGGAGATAGCTCCCGTTTGAAATTAGAGTGACCTCCCTTTCCCAATATGAACCACTGATAATGAGGTTTTGCCGATTGGTCCATAGGAAAGGCTTAGAAGAGACATAACTGGCAATAGCCATTGGTGGCACTACGATCGAGCCCAGTAATTCCTGCCAAGTTCGGCAAGGGTGGAAACTGGGCTTTTAAAGTCAGTTAACTCTCTTGCCTCGGGAAGATGACTTTGTGCATGGAGACATAACTATTAGGATGCATTTTTCAATAATAGGTTGCACTTGTGCATGTTTTATATAGCTAAATCAATCCCTGACACACAAACAACCAAGCCACCAAGCCTGCCATCAAACCAATTTCATTGCCTGTTCTTATTGTTATGACAAGCAATAGAGTGCTGGGGTGCTGTTATTATCCAGGTCCCCACAAGCATGTTAAGACACAAAAGTTATGTGCACAGTTACCATTGCTAATACCCTAATCAAGTTGATCCTTTGTCATACAGGCTGTCGTGTACTCACTGGGAAAGACTTGATGCTCCAGACAACACTGCTTATTTCTGGAGAGTATTTACAACTCCCAACAGACGTCTTAAACTTGGGGGAATCCGCATCAGTTGGTACCGGAATAATGATTTCAACATTGTTGGCTGTGGATCTCCTCTTGAACTGACTCTTGGCCTGGAAGAATCACAACATAAAGATCATGGTCCCCGTGCACAAAGCGCTAAGATCATGATAAGGCAGTGAGTGAGTGAGTGAGTTGGGTTTAACGCCGCTTTTAACAGTATTCCAGTTATATCACGGCGTGTCAGCTTAATTTGGGAGGAAAGCCCGAAGTGATGCAGGTCTCAGACGTTTACCACTTCGGTGAAACCCACGAGCACGGGTATGGTGCTGACAAACCTAGAAACATAATCGGGGCGAACCGGGATTCGAACCCACAATCATAGGTTTCTGGCGTGCCCAAGGGACGCAACTCTGCACAGCGAATCGCGGCGCCTTAGACGACTGGGCCACCCGTGCCCCCTGATAAGGCAGTGAGTGTGATAAGAGGTAAAGATACTGTTTTCAATGTAGACCTGTTACCTAGGTTACCTGTTGATTTAATGCTAAATTTAACATTGCAACCTAGTACTGGAGATACTGGTATTTAAATATGATGATAATTGAGAAAGAAGTACCGGTACTTTATTATGAATATTAGCTTCTGCAGTGATGTGGACATCAAATCAGATGTTTCAATCAGAGGTAGTTTTCGTGATTTGAAACTACTGATTGACCAATCAGAATGGGGTATTTTCCAAATTCGTGATGCTTTGGGTTTATGTCACTGTCCCCATATCACCAAAGTTTATGCAAGGAGCATGAACATGTGCTTCAATCAGAGGCAGTTATCATGATTTGAAACCTCTGATTGACCAATCAGAATAGGGTATTTTCCAAATTCATGATACTTTGGGTTTATGTCACTGTCCCCATATCACCAAAGTTTATGCAAGGAGCAGGCAACATGTGCTTCAATCAGAGGCAGTTATCGTGATTTGAAACCTCTGATTGACCAATCAGAATGGGGTATTTTCCAAATTCATGGTTCCATTTGGTTTATGTCCCCATATCACCAAAGTTTAGGCAAGGAGCAGTCAACATGTGCTTCAATCAGAAGCAGTTATCGTGATTTGAAACCTCTGATTGACCAATCAGAATAGGCTATTTTCCAATTTCATGATGCTTTGGGTTTAAGTCACTGTCCCCATATCACCAAAGTTTATGCAAGGAGCAGGCAACGTGTGCTTCAATCAGAGGCAGTTATCATGATTTAAAACCTCTGATTGACCAATCAGAATAGGGTATTTTCCAAATTCGTGATGCTTTGGGTTTATGTCACTGTCCCCATATCACCAAAGTTTATGCAAGGAGCATGAACATGTGCTTCAATCAGAGGCAGTTATCATGATTTGAAACCTCTGATTGACCAATCAGAATAGGGTATTTTCCAAATTCATGATACTTTGGGTTTATGTCACTGTCCCCATATCACCAAAGTTTATGCAAGGAGCAGGCAACATGTGCTTCAATCAGAGGCAGTTATCGTGATTTGAAACCTCTGATTGACCAATCAGAATGGGGTATTTTCCAAATTCATGGTTCCATTTGGTTTATGTCCCCATATCACCAAAGTTTAGGCAAGGAGCAGTCAACATGTGCTTCAATCAGAAGCAGTTATCGTGATTTGAAACCTCTGATTGACCAATCAGAATAGGCTATTTTCCAATTTCATGATGCTTTGGGTTTAAGTCACTGTCCCCATATCACCAAAGTTTATGCAAGGAGCAGGCAACGTGTGCTTCAATCAGAGGCAGTTATCATGATTTAAAACCTCTGATTGACCAATCAGAATAGGGTATTTTCCAAATTCATGATGCTTTGGGTTTATGTCACTGTCCCCATGTCACCAAAGTTTATGCAAGGAGCAGACAACGTGCTTGAGTGAGTGACTGCTTTGACAGTTATTTACATATTTATATATATCAGGAAGTCAGCATAACCATGATAACTTGGGAGGAAATCTCAAGGTGAGTGAGTGAACTTAGTATAATGCTACAGTATTACCATTATATCACAGCATGTCGGTTGATAAAGGGTACTTATCATAAGGCTTTACTCTTATCTGAACCAATGTTACTGGCATCACTTTGTTACATATTTCCAGTCTAGGAACAAGTCCTCAAGGACAACATGACAATACAGGTGTATGTTTACCTTGATCATGTACTCCACCCTGCTGTGGGCGTGTCTCTCAATCACCGACTCCACCCAGATCAGCGGCTTCACCTGCAACAACACAACACAATAACAATAGCAGAGAACAGATAAAAGGGCGACAAGGCTCATGCCAATTGGCTGAAACAACAACAGCAGTTGGATCTGCTATCTGTCGTAGATCTTCTAAAACTTGCTTAACATCATTAAGTCTGTCGTACATTCCATTTTTATTTCCATTTTCCGAAAAAAATATATCTTTAAATATTCCGCATCTTGAACACACGATCCCAGCAGTGAAATGCTACAATACTTAAGAACATGATTTCGCCGAATTTATTTTAAACAAAATATATATACTAGCTTGAACCAAAAAACAAACAAAAAACACACTGCCCGCCCACACAATATTTTCAAAAGCCATTGCCTGAAAAAACAATTCTTTTATTGTCTCAAGCCTTAACAAAGTGTGGCCCAAGGGACACAACTCTTGATGCATCAGATCAAAATGACTTCAGTGCACTCACCTTGAACTTGAGACTGGCAGACAAAATGCTGGAATAAACTACCAACAAGTCACAACATAACAGCTGCCTTTACAGTGCACCCAGTCAGCCATTAGTCCATTCATACTCAGCACTAACATCTCAATAACATCTCTACGAAGGCTAAAGATGCAGCTCAGCATGACTTACATGAGTATTGAGCCTGTAGGACATGAGTTCGAACTCTCCGTCTGGTGGGATGAAGGAGATGGTTCTATCATTTTCAAATCTGGACAGTCGCACACACTGATGGAACTTAACGTCCTCGAGTTCCACTGACTTGCTCTTCCCCCCTGCAATAGATCACACACGTTCTTACATCTAGATCACACTACAACAACATTGTCAAGATCAGACTGGATCATTTATAATTAAAGCAATGAGGAACATATTATTTATGGAATAATGATTCCAACATGATCTCGGAAAACAACTTGATTTTGATCAGCGACTCAGGACCTGAAAGTGCTGATTTTATGTCTGCACCGAAAAGTTTCCATTGCATAATCTTTCTGTGTACAGAGATTAATCCAGGATTCCAAACTAAGTGCCCTTGCCAGGAAATCTGGCCAAAAAATTATCATTACTTTGATCAATAGAGGTTATCACGCGAGTGTGTTTGGGGATGGTAAATATCCTGCATTAGGAATAAACATTGTATTTAGCGAGCCTTGGCGAGCTAAATACATAGTGTTTATTCCTAATACAGGATATTTACCATCCCAAAACACACAAGCGTGATAACCTCTTTATCATATAATGTCATTCTTTAATTCTGTGCTTTAAAATCGCTTTCCCTCTCTTTCCCTTTACCGAAACATTGCGAGTTTTCCTGGAATGCGCGCATTTATATTTATTACGTCACAGGGTAAGTGATGTGTCAGTCGAACAGTGACAGTAGCCAATATAGTTCCAACTGAAATCTGTTTCTTATACAGTGGCGAAGCAACATATACGCAAAACAACAATTGTTTTTAATTGCCTTTCGCGGCAATCCATCGGTCTGTCCGCTAGAGTAACTGCCCTTTGTCAAAGGGAAACTACTCTAACCCTAGTCTATGAGGCGTCACGGCCACGGTCATACGTTGTTGACAGTCGGTCTGCCCTGTTATAACGTTAAGAAGTGTAGTCAAATGTACACCCAGAGACAAAACGAAACAAGGTAACAATTCAAACATATTTCGGCCAAATCCAACTATTTTAATTTGTGGAGACGGTTTCAAGCCGCAGAGGTCTACAAGCACAGATATTATGGCTACTGGTCCCGCTTGGCTAGGCCTCGTGCCCTCGCAAAATTGTTTCGAAATTTATATTTCCAAAGTTGCCAAAATGCCTTATCTACGTCACAGTTAGATACTGATTTCCAGCATATTAGAGTGTTCTGTTGATAATGATAGCCATTATCCCTGTAGTTTATCCAGATTCCCGATGGTTAATTCTGACTCGATCGCAGAATGACGAGGGCGACGCCATGTTTGTTTATAAACAGTGAAAGTAGTCCTACTTGACCTTTGATATTTGCATCTCTATCCGCATATGACCCCAACGGATATCGTTTTTATCCGTTGGCTTTATCCTGCCGAGAAACCTACCCATTATATGATAAATAGAAATATTTTGCCTAGAAAATTCCCTGTTGTATATTTAAACAACCGGGAGAAACACTGCATCACTCTGGAAAGCAAACAATGAAAGAAAAGGATCCATACATCATCCAGAAGATTTCAGCTGACATCATCTTTCAATCAGACTGCAGCTTACATTCACATTTGCTGAACATTAACGAAACTCTGTGTTACTCATGTTACGTTTGTTGCTTAAAGCCGCATTCAGCAATATTCCAGCTATACGATGACGGCCTGTAAATAATCAAATCTGGACTAGGCAATCCAGTGATTGATATAATGAGCAGCCATTAGGGTACGATGACGCATAATCTACTAAGCCACCGAGTCTGACCACCCGATCAATTTGGTTGCCTCTTACGACCAGGTAGCTAGGGACCAAGTTTAACCCATAAGCCGCACAGGTAAGTAACAGAGGACAAGTAGCAGGACTGGACCAGCACATAAAGGTACCATTACAAGAACAAAGTGTGGGATGAAGATGAGTCCTATTGGTCTCATAACTGTTCCTTTTCATCCATGTCATGTCACGAGTCCTCAGAACACAGCCAATACTTGGGTTCAGCAAATAGCATATCAGTGTACATAGTGAATAGTGAGTGCAAACAGCGCTATCACTTTCAACTCAAAGCCCATGCATTTGTGTAAATCTCAAGGCACATACACCTTGAGTGGCACTGTTGACAGCCGCACGATAAACCACACACAATATGAAGAACAAGGCACCCTAGCCACTTATTTCTTTAATAACAGTACTACATGTGACTGGACCTGAGCCTTTAGCTGTTCAAAGCATGGTAAGATGAAGTCAAAAGTCGATTTAACATGTATTGATTAAAATAATAATACACATTTGAAGATGACAGGCATAAACGGGACTTTTTAAATTATTTGGGGAATAATGTTGTTTAATCGATGATAACAATGCAGTGCTTCGAGCATACATACACATGAGTTATCAGTGGTTATGGGCTTTACAAGACTATTACTATTAACCTAATTATCATTGTATAAACATCATTATCATCAACATAAACCTGACAAACAACATTTCATATTCATGAACGAAATATAACTAAATATCAATATTACTCACTGCCTGTACTTTCAAACAGAACTTTATCATTTAGGCCGAGGCGTAGTTCAGGCATTCCTGACAGAAACACCCTCATTTTGATTGCTCCTACTATCTCGCTCCGTAACACATTGCCGTTGGCACTCACCTGTGAACAGAGAAAACATCTGACAACATCACTCTAGTTGAAGACAAAGCAAGATGGAGTGTTTATTATAGTCAATACTACTCCAAACATTAGTGGGATACTGGGCAATTAATACTGTTACGTAACTGGTGTACATTAATTGTATATTTACTTTCGTTAACTCTAATTGAAGCTGAACATGCTCCAGTTGCATGGCAATATGGAAACTATTTGTATGACACCAGGGGTCGATTTAACAGGTGGCCTTCTGGCCTGAGGCCAGTTAAATTTGCAAAGGGCTTGCTGAAATGTAAATTACTCAAAATTTCACCATTTCTCTGTGTATATGTATAATTTTTTTTAACTTGGATGCATCTCATGAATCGTGTAATTTAGATGAGAAAATATACAGGGGCGTGAGGTCATGGTTAGGTGAAAGAAAGTAAGACATCGATTATCTCAGTGGAATGACAATCGGCTGCCATTTTGTAATGTTGCTTACAACAACAGGGGTTCTAAAATTTCTTGAGCCCCCCCAGATAACTCAGTCGCTATGTGACCTCGGGTTTGGCTGCTTCGGGTACTCCATCATTTTAGTAGTGGGCCCGTTAGTTTGATGACGGGCCAGTAACTTTTAAAAGGAAAAAGCTCTGCTGGCTACATACAAATTTGTAGTTAGATCTACCCCCAGAATATCCCTTTGATTTGGTGGGTGGGTTCGGTGAATTCGGTGAGTGAGTGGGTGGGTGGGTGGAGTTTAACGCCGCTTTTAACAGTATTCCAGTTATATCATGGCGAGTCATTTTTGGGAAGGAAAGCTTGAAGTGAGTCAATGAATGAAGCGTTCAGACCAATGAGCACACAGGCCTCACACTGCCTCAATATCAGGCAATGGTAAGTTCATGCACTGAGGACTGCTCATTTGATTACACACCATTCTATTCTATTCACTGGAGAAAACTACCTCCATGCATAGTGAGCTTCTAGTAAAACACTACTAAGAACAACATTCCATAAGTTAAGCCTAGAAATGTAGAGAATTCTACTGAAAGGTATGTTCAGTTGACTTTATGCCACAGATCTGAGTACACCTACGAGAAGATTAACAGATTCTATGACATCAAGAAAGACTTCGTTCTTCCTGTATTTCACGCCTTCCGATCGCCACGACACAGCATTGGTGACAGCCATGGGTGGACGAGGAGCAATCTCCAACTTGTGACTGTCTTGGGTGATGTACCTGTAACAGACACATGCAATACAGATCCATGATTGACATAACAATATTAATTACTCATTGGCACATACAAATAATGACAAATGTCAACTCAATGAGAATATTCATAATCCAGGAATTTCATCCACATGATCCAAGCAAATGCAAGTTCATTTTAAAAAAAATTGACTAAAACCATTTTCTTAATTCAGGTTAACATTCATATTTGGCAGTGGTGACTTGCATCTCACTGATAACAGGACCGACCCGTGAAGATCCGGGGTAGAATAGGTCTTCAGCAACCGATGCTTGCTGTAAAAGGCGACTCTGCTTGTCGTAAGAGGCAACTAAAGGGATCGGGAGGTCGGGCTTGCTGACTTGGTTGATGCATGTCATCGTATCTCAATTGTATGGATCGATGCTCATGATGTCAAACACAGGATTGTCTGGTCCAGATTCAATTATTTACAGGCTGCCGTCATTTAGTTGGAATAATGCTGAGTGCCGCGTTAAACAACAAATAACCTAACATTACCTTACCTAACCTAACCCAACCCTACCCAACCTAACCGATAATAGGACAAATAAAGAAAATGGACCTAGTACTTCGGTTTACATCATTGCATTGAATGCAATGCTCGAATACGCCCAAAGAAGTCTTTATTTAAGAAACTAAGGTTTCATATTCTCCTTTCCATTGGCATGTAACTGAAAACTCTAATAAATCCCTGGATCAAAACTTTGGATGAAATCATCACCATTTTTCTCTGGAACATCCACCATTCTTACTTCCGATGCCTCAGGACATAATGTGTCCCGAAAGATTGTTGGTTATCCTCTAATGGTTACATACTGCTCCACATGGTATACTCACTCTTGTAAGATCTTGCTGTCAGTAGTCTGAGGGTAGCCAAAGTCCATCACCTCATCCAGAAGCTCATAAATGACAACAAAATTGTCTCGGATACTTTCCTCTTCCAACTCTTTAAAATACTCCACAAATATCTGTAAGAAAGGAGATATCTCAACTGTGACATCATGGCCAAAGTATATCAAGCACTGTTTGAAATCAAAATCGTGAAATGGATGAGATTAAATACTGTTGTAGTACCCCAGGATCCCCTTCCACAAAGCGATCTTAGCGCTCTGATTGTTGTATGTCTGTGTTAAAGTATGTGATTCATGTTCACCTTAGCACTACGATTGCTTTGCCAACAGTGAAACAGGAATACCTACATACATCCGAAACACAAGTGTCAAAATGTGTGGTGTCACCCTGGGCAATAATGCCTCTGTTCACCCAGCAGGGAATGGGAACCAGATATGTGAGGTGGATGTAAAAACAACCCTAGCACCCGTAGGCAGCTTGGGTTATATACTCCCCAGGGAGTTGAAAACGATAACTGGAGTGCATACGGATCCACTGGTCGGGGATAACAAACTGCACATGAGCAGATACCAGTATCTGGAATAGTGTGGTGTATAAATGTATAATATAATCATAAGATCTTATTTAACTTTTCATTTTTTAACCACTTCAAAGTGTTTTCTGAAGAACTAAAATTAAAACATGGCGTAATATGGCATGAGTCTTACATCTCTTCCAAACTTCAGCAGCATCATTATTTATAAGTCTCAAAAGCTACAAATTCCAAATTTAACAGTGCTTTTCACACAGGGCAAAAGCAGCACTTCTGTTGTACCTGTACAAGTTTATGCAGGAAGGAGAACATCAGAGCCGCATTTGCGTTTTTCTTGGAAGTGGCCACCAGGTACAGGTTGTTGTACTTGATGTAGATGTACGCCAGATCACCATGTTGGATGATGGGGGATACATTGCCCTCCTCTTCCTTGTCCATCACTAAGGTCATGAACTTGTCAATCACAGACATGTCGATGTCACCCCGGTAGTTCCGACTTATCAGAACCTGAAAATACAGACAAGGTTGAAATAAAATTGAATGCCACTAGTCTGCAAAAATGACCTGCAACTTTTTCTCATATTACTAGTCATGTGTCTGTACATGTTCATATATTAAGAAGTTCAAAATGTTCAAGTGGTAGAAACATAGTCACATGAGCAAGTACAAATAGAAGAAAAAATAATTTTAAGTGTTTCATTAACTTGAATTTGGCATTTTCAATGGCCATGAAACATAAGAAAGGTTCTTATTATCATTAGCATACCTTCAAAAACCCAAGTTTTCACGGGTTTAGCATAATAATAGCATTACCTTTCCCTTGACATCAAGGAGATAAATGGCTGAAGCAGACATGGTGAATCAGTCAGTGACACCTACAAACAAAAACAAATATGATTTTTTAGATAAGGTAAACATGGTAAAGGACATAATAGTAACAGCACTTTTTGTGGTCAACAAATTTAATCACATGGCATAACAAATAACTCTAACAAGCGACATAACTCTAAGTACCAGAAAATGGTCTTCAAATGATACTTGTATCATAAAGCATCAATTCCATGGTGTATACATGATATATCATATAGGCTTCCCTAACTGTATACTGTATTTAGCGTGATGATGTAATAAGAGTGAGTGAGTGAGTTTGGTTTAACGCTGCCTTTAACAGTATTCCAATTATATCAGGGTGTTTTAGTTTAATCATGTGAATGTGGGAGGAAAGCCCAAAGTGATGCAGGTCGTAGACATTTCCCACTTTGGTAAAACCCATGAGCACTGGTATGGTGCTGACAAACTTAGAAACATAATCAGACAGAACCGGGATTTGAACCCACAATCATACGTTTCTGGCGTGCCCAAGGGACGCAACTCTGCACAGCGAATCACAGCGCCTTAAACGACTGGGCCACCTGTGCCCCTGATGTAATAAGGAAATTTAAAAGAGGTGAGCGCATTCAAACCATACACAAGTCTAATTTGTTGTAAGAGAGTGTGCGGACAGTAGTGAACAAATATAGTTCAAATGTTACGAGGCAACACTTTTATACCACTTCAGTGCTGCTGTTTTCATGAAAATTGTAGCGTTTTAGTATCATATAACCAGTCACTCGCTTTATCCATACGATGTCTCTATATAAATGAGTGCGCACGTGTAACAGCGCCGGAAGTGTGTGTTGTGCGCTAGCAGACCACATGGCTGCCGACTACACTTGACTGAGTGTATTGACATGTAATGAGAGAATACAACCTTTCCCCGGAAAGCCAAGTGTTTGTTGTAGCTGCCAAAGTCATCATATAAATTGGCGACGAGATAAAACTGGATGTCTTAGCGTTTTTTGTGGACATTTTGTGTGATTAACGTCTGTCGTGTTTCACTCGCTCCATAAACATGGCGTCGTCTACCTCCGGGAAGATCGACGAATTTAATACAGAGACTGACAGCTGGGACATTTATTGTGAGAGGTTAGACTTGTACTTTACGGCTAGAGGTGTTGATGACGAGGATGTTGTGATGAAACGAGCTATTCTGCTTAGTGAAATGGGTAAGACAGCCTACACACTTCTCCGGAATTTGTGCGCTCCTACGAAACCTAGGGAAATGAGGTTTGCTGAGATAGTGAAAGTCATGCGCGATCATCAACACCCAACACCGTCAGTGATAGTTGAAAGACTTAAATTTCACAAGAGGGATAGAAAGTCTCAAGAGAGTGTTGCAGCGTATGCTTCCGAGTTGCGCAAACTGGCAAGTACATGTGACTTTGGTACTACTCTTGATGATTCACTTAGAGACAGACTAGTTTGTGGCATTAATAATGATGCAATACAGAGGAGATTATTAGCAGAGAAAGCTCTGGATTACAATAAGGCTTTTACACTAGCACAGTCAATGGAATTGGCAGCAAAGAATGAAGAAGATATTAAAGTTGGTGCTTCAAGTGTTTCAGCAGCTACAGGGGGTAACATGCACAAGATGTCATCATCTCAACATGCTCCTGTCTACCCGCCATGTGACAGATGTGGTTTACGAAATCACAAATCTCCGGACTGTCATTTTCGTACCTCAAAGTGTTACAATTGTGGTAAGATTGGCCACATTGGGAAGGTATGTCGTCAGTCACAGAATAGTAAAGGTTCTCGTTGTGGACGTGGCTCGTATCGATCTAGAGGTCAAGGTCGAAGTCGGGGTCAGCACAAGCGTTCAGCGACAAATCAGGTCACTCCTGATAACTATGATGATGTTGAAAGTGAAATATATGACATTTACAAGATGGAGACTAGCTCTACACCTTTTGTTGGGAGGAGAGAGAAGGAACCACCAATGTTTATTGATTTAGCACTTAATGGTCTGCCATTAAGCATGGAGCTGGATACAGGTGCAACATTTTCAGTGATTAATGAGGACACTTACAGATCGTTAGGGAAAGATCCACCCAAACTAGGACCTCCTCATACCTTGTTACGTACTTACCTAGGTGAGAAGATACCTCTGCTTGGTTCATGCTCAGTGAAAGTGAACTACGGCAAACAGTCAGCAGAACTGCCAGTGATTGTAGTGAAAGGGAGAAGAGTTAATCTCTTTGGTCGCGACTGGCTGCGACATGTTCGTCTAGACTGGGGAACAATCCTCAGAGTAGATTGTGATGATGTGCAAAGTATCCTTAACTCACATTCCGATGTCTTCAAGGAGGAACTTGGTGAGTTGAAAGATACAAAAGTGAAGATTAACATATCTATTCCTTCACAACCACGCTTCTACAAGCACAGGAACATGGCCTATGCCTTGAGGGACAAGGTTGAGAATGAACTTGAACGGTTAGAGCAGCAGGGTGTCATAAAACCAGTGCAGTACTCAGAGTGGGCAGCACCCACCGTACCAGTGTTGAAGTCGGATCAGTCTTCAGTGCGCATATGTGGAGATTACAAACTAACAGTCAACCAGGTTGCTAAACCAGATTGTTACCCAATACCCAGGATTGAGGATTTATTTGCATCACTCTCAGGTGGTCGCAAGTTTACGAAATTGGACATGAGTAATGCCTACCAGCAGATAGTGTTGGACGATGATTCCAAGAAACTCACCACAATTAACACCCATAAAGGTCTATACGAGTACCAACGATTACCTTTTGGGGTGTCGGCAGCTCCTGCTATCTTCCAGCGGACAATTGAATGTCTTCTCAGCGACTTGCCACATGTGTGCGTCTACCTCGATGATATTCTCGTCACAGGTGTTGATGATGCAGAACACAACAAGAATCTGAATGAAGTCCTTGACAGATTGCAGAAAGCAGGTTTGCGTCTTAACGCTTCAAAGTGTCACGTCAAGAAAGACTCAGTCACTTACCTGGGACACCGGATTGACGCACAGGGACTGCATCCATTAGAGGAGAAGGTAAACGCTATTGTGTCCGCACCAGCTCCTCAGAATGTGACAAAGTTAAAGTCATTCCTTGGGATGGTACAGTACTACCAGAGATTCCTGCCAAATCTCTCCACGACGTTAGTGCCACTACATGGGTTACTACAAAAGGACGCTCCATGGTCATGGACCAAGAAGCATGATACAGTATTTCTAAAGGTGAAATCTCACTTGTCTTCATGTAAGGTCTTGACTCACTACAATCCAGACCTTCCTCTCAACTTAGCAGCTGATGCTTCTCCATATGGAGTAGGTGCCGTCCTGTCACACATCATGCCAGATGGTACTGAGAAGCCTGTGGCGTTTGCGTCATGTTCCTTGTCACCTGCAGAAAAGAACTATTCACAGCTTGATAAAGAAGCACTGGCAATAGTGTTTGGCATAAAGAAATTCCACCAGTATTTGTTCGGACGAAAATTTCAGCTGTTATCAGATCACAAACCCCTCATGGGTCTACTTGATGCAGAGAAAGGCATTCCAGTGATGGCGTCAGCCAGACTCCGGAGATGGGCCTTGATGCTGGCAGCGTATGATTACAGTATTGTGTATAAACCAGGCTCAAAGTTAGCAAACGCAGATTGTTTGAGCAGATTGCCTCTGCAAACCTCTGTGTCTGTGCCGCCTGTTCCAGGAGACACAATAATGCTCCTCGAGAACATGGCAGAATTCCCAGTGAATGTGCGACAAATTCAGTTTTGGACAAGGAAGGATCCCTTGTTAGCTAGAGTGAAGAAGTTAGTGGAATGTGGTTTTCCAGAAAACCTGAAGCCAGATACAGAGCTAAAGCCATATATTCAGAAGAAAACTGAGCTAAGTGTTCAGGATGGTGTGATTCTGTGGGGTAACAGAGTAGTGGTTCCACCTCAGGGTAGGAAACAGTGTGTAGATGTGTTGCATGAAGCTCACCCTGGAATAGCTAGGATGAAAGCTATTGCCAGAGGTCTTGTATGGTGGCCGTGCATTGATTCAGAGCTGGAGAACAAGGTCAGGACTTGTTCCATATGTCAGGAGAGTCGTTCTTCACCCTGCGAAGCAAAGTTACATCCGTGGGACTGGCCGTCCAAACCATGGTCACGTCTGCACATTGATTATGCAGGTCCCTTACAAGGTCAAATGTTCCTCATCATCGTAGACTCTCACTCTAAGTGGATGGATGTTTTCCCTGTCAACAGTGCAACTACGAGTGCCACTCTTGAGTGTCTTCGGAGAACATTTTCCATTCATGGTCTACCTGAGACAATAGTGTCTGATAATGGGACATGTTTCACAAGTGATGAATTTGCTATATTCATCAAGAGAAATGGAATTCAACACATCTGTACATCCCCTTACCATCCAGCGTCCAATGGACTGGCAGAGAGGAGTGTCCAGACGTTCAAACAGGGATTTAAGAAGCTCAGCGGCGGTTCCATCAACACCAGGGTGTCAAGATTCCTGTTCAGGTATCGTAACACTCCGCAGACTACGACAGGGTCATCTCCAGCGCAGTTACTATTTGGAAGACGTCCACGTTCCCATCTTGACTTGCTTCACCCTGACATCGGTGTTAAAGTTCAACATAAACAAGAGAAGCAGGCACACTACCACAATAGACATACAAAGTCACGGGAGTTCGCTGTCGGTGATCTTGTTTACGTCAGGAACTTTCTTGGTAAGCCTAAATGGTTACCAGGGGAGATAATCCAGTGTACAGGTCCTATCTCCTTCAAAGTCAGCTTGGAAAATAACAAAATTGCGAGGCGACATGTAGATCACCTCATCAAGCGTTATGTGGACCCCGATGCTGTGAAACCAGAATCCCCAGAATTGTTGGAAGAAAGTGAAGTGTCGAAGTCTGTCATCACTTTCTCACCAGAGCTCCCAGAGCCTAGTTCTGTACCAGTATCACCCGCAGACACGCCATTTCCGCGTACCAGGTTACCTACATGTGACACTAGTCCAGAACTGTCCTCATCTGTTGAGTTGAGAAGATCGACTCGTGAGCGTCGAGCTCCAGATAGACTAAATCTGTAAACTACTGTATTTCATTGTTAAGTGTTTTGGGGTTTTTTTCAGATTGAACTTTAAGGTGCTTGCTCAATTCATTTATTTCAGAAACCAAGTGAATAAACATTAAGTTTGTGAATTTCAGTGTTCAAGAATACTTCAGTGAACTTTATGGGAAAATTTCCTTTGAACCTCTGGAGTTGATCACTATTTCTTTCTCAGTGACTGATGAGTTAGTAACATTGTTCACTAATTGCTTAAACAACAAGTTGTTAACTAAAGGGGGAGGAATGTAGCGTTTTAGTATCATATAACCAGTCACTCGCTTTATCCATACGATGTCTCTATATAAATGAGTGCGCACGTGTAACAGCGCCGGAAGTGTGTGTGTTGTGCGCTAGCAGACCACATGGCTGCCGACTACACTTGACTGAGTGTATTGACATGTAATGAGAGAATACAACCTTTCCCCGGAAAGCCAAGTGTTTGTTGTAGCTGCCAAAGTCATCACAAAAATATCTGTAATATTCACAAGAAAATCTGGATTGTCATGCAACTTGTGATCTTAAACCATGTATACATGGTATAGAGAGGTGTTTATAAATAAAAATTACTAACAGATTGGTCAAGAAGTTGGTCAGTGGGTGCTTATTGAAGCACTGCAGTGAACATAATGTGGCCAATAGACAAATACAGCAGTGACTAGTAATCATAGCAATACTACCTGTTGATTGTCATGAACCCTTTCTATTGATTAATCTTTCCTGCTTGTAAAAGTAATGCTAGTTACCTATAAATTCTTGGCTGAGGACCACTGCTATCATGGCTATGACTCATCTCTCCAACAATGACCAAGGTTAGTAACATAAACATTAATCTCCATAAGAATTTGAGGATCATTTCTGTGATAAAATTCCTGATCATGTTCGAGGGATTCGTAATTGGAACCTCATCAATAAATTCAGCACCATGCTTATGTTCACTGTCCATAGACATCCTACATGCATACATTACGAGCCACGTACTCATTAATTAACCTGAGACTACCAACTCAGATGATTAACACAATCAAAACATGAACAGGATATTGGCCTATGGCTGTATACGACTAGTCTTGTCAATTGGAACTCGTTGTCATGTTTAGGGCATCATGGTTACTGCCTGTATTATTCACTTACCATATACATGACTGCGGTATGTATAAAGATAGTATTTGATTCACAGTCTATTCCTCTCCCACAAACAGCAGACTATATCTTTAGATATGAGCAATTATTTACCAAAGCCAGCTGGAAAAGCAGCTCGAACATTGTAATAATGGCACAAATCACACATTGTTAGTTTCAGTTTTATAAACAAGGAGATATATTCAAAGGGGCCAAGTACCTGAATTACCACAAAGATCGTCAATCGAATTATTTGGTTTCCAGTCGCCGGTTCATATCATTTTCTCCACCTCACATAAAGCGGAAGCGGCGACCATTACAGGTGCGTGTCACGCATGCGCTAAGATGGGGGGGATCACTTCCTGTTTCCGTGTAAACAGACTAAACATTTACCTGCGGCGGGAAGCTCAAATAACTTATCAACTGCGTCCTAATTACTGAGGTAACTTGTTGTCCGTATTCGGCATGTGTTATATCAGTCCATATAGTAACGGTTCTTAGAAACATGATCAACATCGATCGCAAGCCTGAAGAAAGAAATTGTGGAATGGAATTTTGTTGTCATGATAACATCACTACCTCTGACAGGCACTGCAGTATAAGTTAATAACCTTTGAATATTTCCGGTAAGTAACATCACATATGACATACACAGAAAACATATTTGAGACAATATATATTGGCATAAATGTCCCTGAACCTCTTTTTCAATTTCAAACTTGTCAAGTTGAAGTTTGTAGTGTTTATATTTTTAATTTGATGCTGTAGATCAACAGTTGATATTAATTAATTATTAAATCAAGCATATATAGAGCTACTTATCCAGATATACTCGCTGCTCAAGAGCGCTCAGTCGTATGCTCTTTGAGTGAGTTGGGTTTAACGCCGCTTTTAACAGTATTCCAGTTATATCACGGTGTGTCAGCTTAATGTGGGAGGACAACCCTGAAGTGATGCAGGTCTCAGACGTTTACCATTCGGTGAAACCCACGAGCACGGGTATGGTGCTGACAAACCTAGAAACATAATCGGGGCGAATCGGGATTCGAACCCACAATCATAGGTTTCTGGCGTGCCCAAGGGATGCAACTCTGCACAGCGAATCGCAGCGCCTTAGACGACTGGGCCAGCCATGCCCCCTGCTCTTTTGAAGAGGATGGTCTCGAGCTTTGATCTGAAGGTCTTACCATCTTCATATCCCCTGACATCAATGGGCAGTGAATTCCATAGAGTTGTTCCTGCTTTTCGGAAGGTTCTGTCGCCATATGTTGTTCTGCTGGTTGGTGAAGGGCAGTGAGTTCCTGGAGTATGCTGGGGATAACCCATGGATCGATTTGTAGAAAAACATGATCAGCTTGAACACGATCCTGAGTCTCACAGGTAGCCAGTGCAGCTCTTTCAGGACGGGTGTAATGTGTTCATGCATTGACTTACATGTGATGAGTCTGGCAGCAGTGTTTTGCACACGCTGTAGTCTATCCAGATGATGTTGCTGGATACTATACAGATGACTATTACAATAGTCAAGTCTTGATGTTACGAATGCATGGACTAGGCACTTGACTGATGCTGTGTTGTGTCTACATATCTTGCTATCTGCCTGATGTTCCTGATGTGAAAATAAGCCGTCTTGCACGTGTTGCTAACATGGTTATCCAGACTAAGTGTTGAGTCAATGATCACGCCTAGATTTCGGGCACAAGAGTTTTGCTCAACCGTACAGTCCCCAATTTTCAAACAAGGAACTCGTACTTTGGACTGCATCTGTTTAGAGCTGATAATCAAGAGCTCAGTTTTGTCATCATTAAGTTTGAGAAAGTGGCTTTTCATCCAGCATCTGATGTCATCTATGCAGCATGAGATTGCTTTAAAGGCAGTGCTGACTGATGATGTAGTCAACGGTCAGAATCCCAGACACAATTGTGTATCATCAGCATACAGATGGAAGCTTAAATTGTGAGATCTTGCTATATCTCCTACTGGTAGGGTGTAGATGGTGAAAAAGTATTGGGCCAAGGACAGAGCCTTGAGGCACTCCAAAACTTAAGTTCATACTTCCTTGATCTTACTCCATTAATGATGGCTGATTGATAGTGTCCTGAGAGATATGAAGCAATCCAAGATAAGGCATCTCCAGTAATGCCAACTTCGTGATTCGAGTGTTATCAGTAGATTGGAATGATCTATAGTGTCAAAAGCCGCCGATAGGTCCAAGAGCACAAGAACTGTAGCTCCCTGAGAATCGACAGCATGAAGTAGGTCAATCTGCACATGCTGCACATGCAACAAGGCTGTTTCCCTGCTGTGGCCAGTCTTGTAGGCTGACTGCATAATTTCACCTACATTATTTGCATGCATATGGTCATGAAGACGTGATGCTACCGCACGCTCAATCACCTTTGAAATAAATGGCAGGTTGGAAACTGTGCGGTCGTTTTTTTTAGAACATCTTGATCTAAGGTTTTCTTCTTGAGGAGTGGAGTTATCAATGCTTCCTTTAGAGAAGAGGGAACCTCACATTGAGACAGTGATTGGTTTATGATAGCCGTGATGGTTGGTATGAGGACACTTTGGCAGTTCTTAAGTAGCCATGTTGGACATAGGTCGAGAGAACAGGATTTGGTCAGACTCTTTGCCAATAGTTTTGTCACTTCTTCTTCACTTGCTGGTGGGAGGTATGTCAAGTGAACGCCAACCAGCCTAACCGGAAGATCACAAGCGTCAGTATGACGTGTCAAGTGAATTTCAACCGGTCTAGCTGGAAGGTCGCGAGCGCCTGTTGACACCATACTGTCTTGTGATTCAAACAGTTCACTGCGGGTGTTTACAATCTTTTCCGTCAAGAAGTTAATGAATTTGTTGGCAAGCTCATCAACTGTTGTATGAGAAGGGAGAGCACTCTGCTTTTTCTTGAAGAGCAGTGAATTTCCAACTTGGAAAACTTCTTTCTGATTTCCTGCACTGTTTATCTTTGATGTGAAGTATGATTTCTTTGCATCTTCAATCAATTTATTTACGATGTTTCGTTGAGCTGCGTGCATCTCACGATGGATGGTCAACTTAGTTCTGTGCATCTGTCTCTCTAGCTTCCGACAAATTTTCTTAGCAAAACAAACATCTTCATTATACCAAGATGTCTGGTGGCATACAGTCACTCTTTGTATTTTCATAGGAGCATGTTTGTGTAGGGTATTTCGGAGTGTATCCTCATACAGCTTGACCACATCAGACACAGTGTCTACTTGTTGAGAATTTATACAGGACTCAATATCAGAGGAGAATAAGGACATGTCGATGTCCTTCCACTTTCTACAACTGATCTCCTTTTGAGTTCTGTTAGGTTTCTGAATGTTTTTGGAGCACAGTATGCAGAAATGATCGGAGAGTACCGAGTGATCATAGATAAAGTCATGACAACAAAGTTCTTCAGCTCTAGAGATTATTAAGTCCAGGATATGTGTGTCGGATGTAGGACATGTTGAATTAGATTTTTGGTTTGAGATACAGATTTTACCTTCTGTGCAATACTATCATATGCTTTGTCAACATGGATTTTGAAATCGCCACAAATCAGTAATTTTCCACCGACATTGTTCAGTTTATCTGTCAGATCTTCGAATTCGATGAAGAAAGTATCCAGAGGCGTAGATTTGGGTGGTGGATACACAACATTGAACTGTATGATGTCACCGCAAACTTCAAGTCTTGCTGAAAGAATCTCAAATGGAGATGGTTCCAAGAGCTCTGTCATAGACAATGGCACATCCACCGCCACGTTACCTTGTCTTGGTATATGAATGAGTGTTGCGCAGTGGAAGGCGACAATGTTCATGTGTCTACCTTTCGTCTTTCCTATTCTACTGGAAATTATACGATTAATGGGGAACTAAACATAATTCTATTTATATGACATAATGGGGAACTAAACATGATTCTCTTCTTAATGAAAAATAAAGAAACTATGCAAGGTCCATGACCACGAATGCAGGAATGAATAATTGACTATAGGAGCAAGTACACACTTTAAGTTTCTAAGGGCCACGAATATTGTCCCATCTAGTTTATACCAAGACCACGAATATTGGTTCAACGATAACTAGTTCCTATAAAGATCACAAATGTTGGTCAACGACAGTAAAGTGTGTCTTGCTCCAAAGAACGAAAAGCCTGCACTGACGATTGCAATGCAACACGTGTCAGCATTCATTTTCTGCACGTGAAACGAAAGCCACGATCTGATTTCTGCGAAGCATGTTGCGTTTGTGCTAAATGTTCATGTTACATGAACCGAAACAATGTTTGTTTGGTTTTTATTATTTTTTCTCCACAACAACGAGTTTGTATCCAGTGGGAGTTATCTTCCTCATGGCTATGTGATCGGTATCTCCTGATCGAAGCCAAGTTTCAGTGATAGCCAGAAGGTCCATATTATGTTCACATACAAGGTCACATGGTTACTGGGGTTTTGTCAACATATTGATTATGTGTTTTGGCTGATCTTACATTTATTTCACCAAATCTAAGAGAGGAGTTAGAATTTCTGACAGGTTGAAAGGTTATTCCAGGAAGCTTGTTTCGAGACCCTCCTCTAGTGCCCCTGTAAGTATTATACACATGATCGGTGAGTTATTATGTGAAATAGTTAAAACGCCAACAAGCTTAAACCAAACTAACAAAAGCATTATCATTGATTATAAAATCTTTGTTTACACCAATCTATTTCATGAATTTTGACATTTAACACAAACTAATGATTTCAACTTCATCTCAGTGCTCATCATATCATGTTTTCACTACCTGCAGATGAAAGGCTGATAAAAAAACAGTGGCGGTCGGGTAGCCTAGTGGTTAAAGCGTCTGCACGTCACGCCGAAGACCCGGGTTCGATTCCCGACATGGGTACAATGTGTGAAGCCCATTTCTGGTGTCCCCTGCCGTGATATTGCTAAAAAGCGGTGAAAAACCAAACTCACTCACTGATAAAAAACAATGACTTAGTATTGTCTGTCTCAATTAGGACAGGCCTTCCTATCTATCGGAGTAAAATTATGAAATTCAGAAATATTTACCAACACATTGTTATAAAGACAGCATTATTTGATTAAAAGGTTTTTAAAATGTGAATACATTGAAATATTATAGGATCCTTGTGTTATTGGTTTTTGAGCCCAAAAGAAGTATTACAGATAAGTGTCTAATAACAATCCCACTAAGCAAAAATTATGTCTTGGCAATGTTTTATAATTTCTCTAAAAATTTACACCATATTTACACTTGTCTGACCTAAAACAGCTTTTTGTCATACAGTAATTTATTCCAAATTTAGACACAGAATAT